TGGTGGCGTTTCTCAGTGCGACGCCCAGGACACCCAGTGCCGCAGCCAGGCCGGCCTGACCAAGCGCGAGGCCGCCGGCACCAACGTCCAGACCTTCACCGGCACCCTCGGCGGTCTCCCTCCCCCGGTCATCCAGAGCACCGGCGACCGCCCCTTCTCCGTCGACGGTGACACCTTCGTCGGCAAGGGCGCCGCCCTCGGCCGCTCCTGTGACGTCCAGCATAACGCCTGCGCCCGCGCCGCCAACAGCGGCCAGATCTCTGGTGGCGTCTCGCAGTGCGACGCCCAAGACGCCCAGTGCCGCAGCCAGGCCGGCCTGACAAAGCGCGAGGCCGCCGCCGGCAAGTTCGGCTCCTGCAGCGACCCCTCCATCGCCTTCAAGTCCGGCCTCGCCGATCGCCAGGGTGAGGCCGCCTTCATCGCCAACAACCAGAAGGACTTCGCCCACGGCTCGGCCCAGAAGATCGGCATCATCGCCGGCTTCATCTGCCAGCGCCTCCAGGACAGCTGCAAGGCCTCCGCCGCCGTCGTCAACAGCTGCAAGGCCGCCCAGGCCGCGGCGACCGCCGCCACCCAGGACGCGACCGCCGCCAACGTCTTCAACAGCAAGCTCATTGGTAACTAGAGGACACAAAGTGTATTATTAGTGGAGAGGATGAATAGGGAGTCATTTGGTTAGGAAATGGGGTTTTTCTTTAGCTCACATCACGAGCATGTATGTTGGTCTAGGTGGCATTATTATTATTCTTTACAGATATCCTACGTATGATTGAATACTATGGTTGTGTTTCACATCCTCTTCAGCCTCGTGTTCCTGGGTTCCGGAATTCACGCAAACGCCATGCTCATAATCATCCTTATCGTCGTGAGACTTTTCCAATCTGCACCCGGGGATGCTGTGCCATCTATCCAAGATCCGCCGGCGCACTCACAGAGGGCTGTATGCGAGGTACTCCCCGGTGGCCGTGTCGTGGGTCAAGTTCGTCTGGACGGCCTTGCCGTTCTTCAAGCTGCCGCTCTCGACAACGCCCCCGGCGACGACGGAGCCGTCCCACCGGTGCAGCTTGTTCTCGCCCGCCAGGACGGTGAAGTTGGCGAGGGATATCTCGTAGCCCTGCATGACCCGGGTGGTGGGGATGCCGAAGAAGGAGGCGTTGACGGCGTCGTAGCCGATGCTGAGCTCGTAGTAGCCGCGGTAGTACAGCTCCTGCCACTGCAGCTCGCGGTTCGCGCCCGTCAGCCAGGCCGAGGCGGCGTTGGCGGCGGCGAGCGAGGTGTTCTGGCCGACCGGGCAGGGCGAGCTGACGGCGGAGCCGGCGAACTCGACGCCGACGGAGCCGGCGCCGGTGGCTTGGTCGTAGTCGTGCTCGCCGAGCCAGACGAGGTCCGAGACCCACGAGGCGTGCGAGTCGCCGGCCAGGAAGATGTTGTTGTCGACGTTGCCGTCGTACAGCACCTGGAAGGTGCGGTTGCGGTTCGCCTGGTACCCGTCCCAGGCGTCGTAGTTGAGCGGGTTCTCGTCGCCCAAGGCCGCGCTCTCGTTCATGCGGCTGAAGACGATCTGATTGCCGATGATGCGCCACGCGGCGCCGCGGGAGGAGCTGTCGCGGACCGTCTTATAGAACCACGCCTCCTGGCGGGGGCCCATCAGCGAGCGGCTGGCGTCGTCGGATATGGCGTGGATGTAGTCGGTGTTGGTATAGACGTCCGTAATCTGAAGTATCCCCGGTCAGGAGTGTCGCCCTGGCAGACGGGGTTTTTTACTCACAGCGCGGTCGTACTGGCGGGTGTCAAGCATGACCAGGTCAAACAGATTACCAAAGCTAAACTCTCTCCAGATTCGGAGGTTGTCGTCCATGTCGACTTGACGGATGGGCACTTGGGGCCGTCAGCGTGTGTGAGAAGCCCAACCAAGAAAGCCCAGACTTACTCCACTCAAAATAGGCACGCACGGCGTTCATCTTGCGCTGGTCGACCGAGACACCTCCGTCGGCGATGAACGAGCCTTCGGTGTTGTTTAGCTCCGCAGCGCCGTCTCTCCACGTGTTGTCCGCCACCTCTGTCACGGGTCAGTATCGACCTAGAGTGGCGGCCTTGGCCCAACACGTACCGTGGTCATCCCAGACGGGGATCCAAGGGAAGTTCTGGTGGCTGGCAACCAAGTCCAGGTCGGTCCTGTAAGTTGCTAAACGTTTGCGGTAGTCGTACAAACTGCGATTCTGTCAGAAACCGCCATGGCCAACACGAAGAGGACCACGTACGTGTAGATCTGACGGTCGGGAAGAGGGATGCGCCCCAGAGAGTTGCCCCAACCATACTCTCCATTTGCGTATTCATAGATGTAGTCGCCAAGGTGAATCACGTAGTCAACCGAGTCCTTCCGCACGGGGTTTCCGTACGCGTTGAAGAATCCAAAGGCTTATCAAGGGGCAGGGTCAGTTCAAGGGTCGCCCGCAGAGAAAACGGAGAGAGCGACATACGATAGTTGCTGCAGGAGTACACGGCAAGCTTGACGGGCGTGTCGACCTTGGAGTCCTTGGCCGGGATCGTCTTGGTGCGACCGACAGGGGACGTGTTGTTGGAGTTGCACACACTGAACTGGTAATCTTGCATCCTGCGCGTCAGCGTCCTGAACACATACATAGACGGGGGGTCGGGGACGGGGCAGCTCACAGTACACGGTGAAGGGAGCTAGTTTCCTGGCCTCGACCTTGACTGTGTAGTCAACATCGGAGCTCGTGTAGACAGTCCCGGCGTCCACGACGGGGTCGAGAGTCCTGCTCGCGCTGATCTTCCAGTCGACGCAGACGGGCGAATCGCTCTTCTCGACGTATGGCTCGGTGCTGTGATCATACAGGGGCACGTAGCCGCTAACGGTCACGTTGCTCCGGTCGTTGTCGGCCGACGGCGCCGCACGGGTCCAGAGGATGACGCTGTCCTCGAACGGGTCGCCCGAGGCCACGCCGTGTGTGAAGTTGAGCTGGGCCGAGTCCCAGTGCGGGCTGGCGTACGTGCGTCTGGCGACCTTGTTGATGGACACGCCGAGCGAAGCGTGGTGCTTGGACGGCGAGAAGTAGTTGAGGTTGCCGGTGAAGGCCCCCGAAGCCGAGGTGGCCAGGGCCAGGACGGCGAAGAGCGGCTGGACCATGGTGGGATCGGGCCTCGTCTTTTTAGTCTCACGGTGCCGTATGTAGGCGGAATACGAGTGAATTACCAAGCACCTGTCGAGGGAGCGGGCTACACGTCTTCGTTGCCAACAGGCAGAATCATCCCCCTTTATGAGCCCTTATTCACACCGAATGCAGCGTCGCGTAAGAGCTTCGGAGCTTCCATCGCAGCTCGGGGTTCTTTTCCCCCTTTCCAAGAATTAGGCTTTGTCTTTCCTTCTTCTTGTTGTAAATGCCAGCCCGTGGGTAAATGTCAACATCGTGATTGGCCATTGTGGAAACCATGAAATAACATGGCAACGTTAACTTCTGATGATGACGGAATGATCAGGGGGACCGCAAAGTAAACAACGCAGACCCCTCATTTTATCGGTTCCCAGCTTCCGAATGGGCACTGGGCCCGCGGGAACACTTCAATAGATTGAAAATCTCGACGGAGATCTTCCGGGCTGCCCGCCACACGTGGAGGGAAATTCCTCGATGATTGGCGGCCTTGACGAAGTAGGTTGCGTCGGTCTGGATCTCCAGCACCGTTTTCTCCGTCTGGGGGCTTTCCCGGACGCCCGGGAATGAAAACCCAACTGAACGACCGGACGGGCATATATAGAGAACTTAATCTTACGATTGGCCGGTTGTACAAGGATGCTCAGCTGGTTCTTCCGTACTGGCGGGAATAAGCCGACATGTAACGTCATCAAGTTCAGGGGTCCTATGGGTTGAATTGATGAGACCATACGGAAGATTAACTTCAGTGATTATCATTCCGATATTTCATCCAGTTTCTTATTGGTTGAAGGCCCTATCCAATAGCCGCTTACACTTTCTTGCAAGCACGCTTCCAGCTAGCTTGCACCATTTTCTACGGCAAATTCTCTCATCTTCAAGCACTGTACGAAGATGACCTCAACGACATCTCGGACGACCATTGTTTTCGCTGACACTAACCCTTCCAAAGCCTCTCGCCGCTAAAAGCGACCTTCCAAGGCCACTATGGACAAAGACGCTCCTCAGGGAGCAGCTCAGATGCCAAAAAGTGGCCGATTCACCTCGGGCAAAGCCACGAAGCCCATCTCGAGTACCATTCACTTCTCCGGGTGGAGTGACATCGGCCTCTCATCTCATCGAAGGGTTATCGAGCACACCTTTACGGTTGATGCTCAGCCCTTCACCGACTTGGGTTTGGGTGTTCATCCAGTTACGTTACTCTTCTGGTAGAAAGTACATCACTTCGGTCTCTTCCGATACTACTGCATGAAAATGTGGTGTTACCGCGCTCTCTTCTTGCAAAATAATACAAACTGAAACGACCTCACAACCAAGCAGAAGAACTTCCTGAACATCATCGGTGCTGGCGGCGAATACAACATGACGTGGCCTTAGGCCGGCCCATTTTCTGTGAGACGCCTGGCACCCCAGCAGTAATGCTTTTTCTACTTCTATTTCAACACAAATTGTCTTCGGTCTTCACTCTCTGATCTCTGGTAAAGATTAACTATTTGTCTCTTGGAGACAGCTGGAACCCCCCCTCTGCTTACATTAGGGAGGAGGAATAGTCATGATATTAAGTCGGGATGGGCAATGGTAATCACAAATCTTGTTTTGTAATCACATACATATTATATTGATCGATACATGTAATAAATCCTCGTACTAGCGGCGCAATACAACGGCCATGCTGAGGTTACTGGCCCTCAACCTTTTGAACAACCTTCTCGACAACCTCGTCCAGGTTTTCCTCCGCAATGCCGAGCTTGCTCAGGTCGCCGACCTTGGCATTATAGTCGCCACCCCAGCCCTCGCGCATGTGGTTCGCGTAGAACGCGACAAAGATGGCGCCTTGGTCGCCTTGCTTGAACTTCTCCTCCGCTTCGGCGACCGTCGGCGCGATGTCCAGCACCTCGACCTCCCAGTCCTTCTCCTCAGTGCCCGTGGCGCGCAGGACGCTGTCGAACATCTCCCGCTGCGTGATGTAGAACGACTTGAGGTACAGCGGCCGGTTGCGGAACGCCTCGAGCTCGGCCTCGGGCAGGCTTAGCAGGCCCGCGGTGCCCTTCGCCGTGTTGCTGAGCGTCGTCGTGGGGAACTTTACGGCGTCGCCGAACAGCCGCGCCGAGCGGCCCTTGATGTCGATGCCCCAGAGGCCCCGCTCGAGCGACCAGTCGAACCAGGGGTTGTTGACGACGGCGACCCAGCTCATGCCGAGCTCTTCGGCCAGGTTGCGGAACTGCTCCTTGATCGCGAGGAGGGGGCTGGCGTCCCGCAGCTTGGACGGCACCGGGTCGGAGCCGAACTCGGTCGGGAGGACCCACTTGACGCCGGCCTTGGCCGCCGCGCGGATGAGCGACGGCTGGACGGTCATATAGCCGTCCATGCCGAGCTGGAGGACGACGACGTCCTGGCCGCGGAAAGCTGAGACGAGAAATTCCTCGTCGGCGTAGTCGCCCACCTTGACAATCACGTCGGCGGGGAAGGTGGCGGACGATGCGGCGCGGGTGACAGCGGTGATGGTGTGGATGTTTTTCTCGCGCAGAGCGTTGAGGGTGACGCCGCCGATGGTGCCGCTGGCGCCGACGATGGCGATCTTGCGTCCCTGCTGTCCAGACATTGTGATGATGGATCTGTGCTTGATTGCTCCTTTGATATGGTGGCGGTGCTAGGTTGCTTCAAGGTGTATGCAGGATATGAGTTTTGTCGGTATTGCTATTAATGCTGACGCTGTTCTATCTGGTTGTCATATTCACGTCCGTCTGGGGCGGCTATGGCCTCTATTTAATGTCCGCCACAAGCAGAGCAAACCTCAATAGATCTATTGAGACATCCCTAGCCATTTCCATGCATCATGTGGAAAACCCCCTCCTGCGGATGATAGAGTTTCGAAGGAGAGCCTCTCCGCAGGAGGGGACAATGCTGGACGGTAATACTATGTATGGCGTGACTAATGGAGGGGACGATTTCTAAGCCTGTCATAAAGGATCCAGAACTTGTCTTGTCATTGCACCGGATTGACGCCCACTGCTACGGCTCGGAGATAAACAACTGCTGCTTCCGGATAGATGACGGATGCTGCGGACTTTGGACATGCTTGATCGAGCTAGCGCCAAATTTACATCCGCAACTCCCCTGGTCCCTGAGTAAGCAGGTTGATTGTCAGCAGCTGTTAGCATAGCGCCATTATTGGACGTTTATGTTTGGAGGGGTTGGTCGTTCATCGGGGCTTTCAAAGCAGAACGGGAAGCCGCGCGGTTTGTGAGAACAAGTCGTTCCATAGTAACTGTCTATGGGGGCGGGAACAGAAAGCTTTATTGCTGCAGTACGGGGTTATTGTTGTTGCAGTCATAAATGTTGTAGTAAAGTGTGATTGTCAGTTATTGTCCAACGTAGTATAAAGAGGAGGAATTCACTTGACGAGTGACGTCTACTAGTTTATATAGATATTGTGCTCGAGTCAAGGAATCAAGGAGAAGGAGGAGACAAGATCTTCTCGCCGCCGTCAAAGATTTCCACCTCGGTACTCTCAAAGTCCCTGGTCGGAACGTTGTTGTGGAAGAGGAAGTCCAGCTCCTCATACGTGCGCCCCTTCGTCTCGGGCAGCCGGAAATAGGCCCAGACGAAGGTGGCGAACGCCGAGCCACCCCAGACGAACCCCGTCGTCCCTTTGAGGTTCAAGGCCGTCGGGTTCATCAGGTACGGCTGGACGGTGCTGGCCAACAGGCCGAAGATGTAGTACGTGAAGCGCGCGACACAGATGGTCTTCTGGCGGAGCCGCGTCGAGCCGACCTCGGCGGGGATTGCCCACCCGAGCTGGCCCACGGACAGCTGGAACGTGAAGGTCCAGACGAGGGTCAGGCAGGCCTGGACCCAGCCGATAAGCTCTGCCGCCGCCTCCGCGCCCGGCGCGCGCGCGATCTGGTCGAGGACGCCGATGAAGAATAATATGGCGGCCATGCTGGCCATGCCCCAGAGGTAGATGCGGCGCCAGCCGAAATACGGCATCAGCGCTAGCCAGTTGACGACGGTCCCGACCAGAGCCAGCGCCGTCCCGCCCACGTTGAGATCGTAGTTGTCCTGCGGCTTCAGACCGGCCTGCTGGAAGAAGTAAACCGAGTTGTACGCGAACGTCGAGCCAGAGAGCACCTGCCCCGCAAAGGCGACGCAGGCGATCTCCGTCCGGCGCCGCTCGACGCCCCGGAAGCAGTCCCAGTAGCTGGTCCCTGTCTGGTGGGCCTGCTCCAACCGGTCCGTCTCGATGATCTCCCGCAGACGGGCTTTGGCGTCCAGGCTGCTCGCTTTGCGCCTCTGTAGGCGGGCCAGCGCCTGCTCCGCCTCGTCGAGCCGGCCAGCCCGCACGAGGTGCCACGGGGACTCGGGCGCAAACAGGAGCGCGGGGACGAGGAGCACCGGCCAGGACCACTGCAGGGCGAAGGGGATGCGGAAGGACCACTCGTCCCGCCGAGGCAGTAGGCCGGCGAGGACGGCGGCGGATATCAGCTGTCCGATGATGAAGCACATATTGGTCCAGGTGGTCAGGTAGACGCGCAAGGCGAGCGGGAGGACCTCGGACGCGTAGGCAGGGGCCGAGGAAGCAAAGACGCCCCAGGGCAGGCCGCAAGCGATCTGGCCCAGCATGAGCATGACCTTGTCGACGGCGAAGAAGGTGATGAAGATGCAGCCAGACAGCACGCACAGGGAGCCGACGAGGGCGGCCTTTTGCCCGTGCCGCTCGACGATGAAGCCGTTGGCGAGGACGCCGACAATGCAGCCAAAGGTGCTGCTGTTCCCGAGGATCGCCTGCCACATGGGCGACAGCTGGTCGCGGCCAAGGCTGTCCTTCTTATCGCCGTACTTCTTAGAGAACTCGGGGTGAGCGAAAAAGCTGCTGATGAGGATAGTGTCATAGCCTGTTTACTGTGGTCAGTGTACACGCTCTTGCATCTTGCAGTCTTCGTTCGTATTACATGAGCCGGCTTATCACTCGTCATGCAGTCGGATGGCTTACAAGACCAGTAAGCGAGACCGATGGAAGTGGTGAAGAAAGCGAGTGGGAGGAAGATGAGGAGTGAGATAGAGATGGGCGCGATTGACATACCCTCCATGATCACACACAAAGACACCACCAGACTCCAAAATATGGCCATAGGATACGCACGGATGGCTTCCCGGCGCGTGAGGCTTCGCTCGGCGTTGATCGCATCCTGGATCCATCCCTCGGCTTCGTGAAGGCCGCGGGTGTGGCCCGGCCGATCGTGTCCCAGGCTGGAGGAAGCATGGTGGCCGTCAACCGACTCGAGGTCGTCCAGCTCGATGTCGTCGGTGTCGGAAAGCAAGGAGTCGTTCCCAGAAAGAAGGGCGAAGGCCTCATCGTCATCATCGTCGGCGTCGTGTGGGGCGGACGCACGGTGAGAATCAAGGGGCGGTTTCGGCGAGCTCCGCCTGGAGGCGAGCTTCTCAAAGCGGACGCCGTCGTGTGAAGAGGCCATCGTGTGCTCAGGTCACCATTTCCCTCTTTGTGGTGAAGCCGGGCTCTCTGAGAGTGAAGCGGTAAACGACGAATTCTGGCAAACTATATACTGGGCGATGAGAATGTTAATCTGATATACTTTAGACCCTCCCCCACTTCGAGTCATGTCGGATGGTGAGTTTACCTACCTAAACGTTGTGCTGCGCCACAGACGCCGCAGCGGACCATGCGCAGCTTTATGAGATTTGTCTTGGATGATGATAAGATGCACCCTATGGAAGCCGGTCATGCAGCAGCTGTGTCACTCGGTGATGAACGGACGAGGTTGAAGGGCTCTTAGTGTAGATGATCGGGCGGGGGTGTCCGTCCGTGATGGATGGCCGGATGAGCTGGAAGCTTCAGCGTTTCAGGAACCATCCGGCAGATCAGCATCTTGTCTTGTGCTTATGTAAGGGATGCGTGCTATGTACACGGGCCAAGCCGATTGGAAGAGTCTACCGTATCTACTGGTTAATTACGGCTTTAGCTACTGCACGAGCTAATGGTACATAAACAACAGTTGTCCTTGATGGGACATACTAAAGTAAATCACTCAACAGTTAACCATACAGTTGCTCATTAACTTGAATCCCTATCAGTATCTCGAACGCCACCAGTCACATTAAACAGCATACAGCTTCCACCATGGAACAACGAGAGATAGTCGAGTACCACTTCTACTGTCCGCCGGGAGTACAGTGCATCCTAGCCTGCGGAAGCAGCGCCTTCATCGGAGAGGTGGATGATTCGACTATCCTGAAGTATCCCCTGGAGCCGGGAGGCGATTTGACGCGCCTCGAGCTTGAACATAAGATTCTCACTGTAGTTGGTCGACATCCTCGCATTATCGGCCACAAAGGGTTCACAGAGACCGGCCTGTACCTTGAACGCGCAGTCAACGGGACAATCTTCAAAGACCTGACCGCATCAGATGTTCCCGCTCCCTCTCTTCAACAAAGGCTGGCATGGTGCCGAGAACTTTCCGAGGCAGTCGAACATGTACATTCAAAAAGGGTGATCCTTTGTGATATCCAGCCTGCAAACGTCTTGGTTGACCGGTGTGCGCATCTCAAGCTAGCCGGTTTTCAAGGGCGCTATCTCTCTGAGGACGGTAACATTATATTGGATGGATGGTCTGGCGAGCCGTGTCGGTATTTCTGTCCGCGAGACGATGAATTCGCAGCTAACTTCAAGACGGATTTCTTTGCGCTTGGGTCTACTATTTACTTTATTATGACGGGACAGGGGGTTTTTCCAGATATCGCTAGCGGAGAGGCTGGGTGGGATGACGAGGTTAAGTCACGGTTTGCACGAGGTGCTTTCCCGCATGATTCTACTGCCTGTGCCATTATCACTCAGAAGTGTTGGATGCAACAGTGCAACCCCGCGGGAGAGGTTCTCGAGGATATCAGACGTGCCGAGCAGGGTTTGGAGTTAGCTTTGAGCTAGCAAACTTGACCAATATCGAGGGGTTTGAGGCTCGTAGAGTACAAAGACGGGTATAACGAAGAAAGATTGGGTTTCGAGGTCTATGGTTTTGAGCGTATACTCTCAAATGATTGAGAATCTGTTTTTAAATGTATATCGCAACCTTTTAATGTAAATATTTAACGAATGTGTACAAAACATATCGGCCCACTCTGTTGCACTTAACTACATCCTCTAGTTAAACCCCTCAGTCCAAAACCGCTAACAGAGGCCGTTGGAGCCTTCGCCTCCTGACGAACTTAGGTTTAACCTTTTGGACAAATATGCCCTGGCGCCCTCACCAAGGAGGTTCCGGTCCACACCTTTCTATATCCTGTGTGTTGGCTTTGGCTGCAAGGAAAGAGGGTAGATACTTCTTTTTCATGCTTCGGAGTGTTGGTGCAGTTCTGCCATTTGGTTTTTGTGGTACGTTCCTCACAACCACAAGCCATCTCAGGACGTCTTTTGAAGGATAAGGTGTTAAGTCCTGTAGATTTATTACATTATAATACACTTTGTTCTATAGAAAGACCTGCGCACTTACGAATATAGATATCAAGCTTTGATATCAACGAGGCTCAGCCAGATTGTGGGGTGAAGAAGGAGAAGATGGAAGTATGAAAATTCACCGTCAGATACTATTATCACGCCACGAGAGCGAACAGCCTGGAAACTCGAAGCTTTTGCATACCAATGCCAACTGAACCTCGTCCTGCTGCTGGCATCTTGCACAGCCTGTTCGCTGCACATGGTGAGTCTGTGATCCCTCGCTGCGATGTGCGGACAATATGGTGATTGGTACGCTTAAGAGGCTGTGCCAATGTGGCGTCATGAATCCCGCCATTAAGCCTCGTTCCAACGGACGGATGGAAATGATGTTAGCAGAGTTACAGTCAGCAGACGGCAGAACTATCATGGTAGGGAGTGCGTCGTGAGCTTCGTCATATGCAGTGATGGCGTGAGGTTTTGCGATGCTGCTGCCTGTATCACAGGATACTCTATACATTATAGATGTGACTTTCTGCTCAATTCGACTGGATATTGGAGCAGTAGTGGTCCGATTGACGGTGGAGGCTTCTAATGCCGAAGAGCCCAGGGCTAACGGGGCCTGCATCTGTCAACCTTTTCCTCGCAACCACGGACTTCCCCGGACTCATCAGGGCCCAGCTCCGGAGCCTCCCCGCTATGGAGGACAGAGAGACCTGCACGGAGGGCGCGTACGTCGTCACTGGCTGGAAAGAAGGTCGGGAAAAGACTTCTGACGGTTTCTGCATCCACTGGTGCACGTCTGGGTGAAGAACCTTAGCGACGAGAAGTACCAGGGACGAATCTGAGACCAGCTGGCTGCGAGACCGGAGACAATCGAACCCGTGCAGTTTACTGTTCTAACATCTATCTATAAATTACTCATTGTGGAAAAGCGTGTCACAGGGGCAGGCAGCGAGTACGTGCTTTTCGCGTTCGTATAGCTCCCATAACTCTGCATCTTTTCCTTTAATAACTTTTCGAAAATTGAGGCGTCGACTTGTATCATCAGTGTCAGAATTCCCGATACCACAAGGCACATCTTGTCGACATAGCAATAAGTTGTAGCCCTCAAAGCGTTCATCATAGGAAAAATCGCCGAAGACCAGTAACCGCAATGGTCGAATGCCGGTAGGTCCAAATGCCCACTGAGCAAGTCTAACGAATGACTTTCCTAGAGTCGGAAATCCGCATACGGGGGGGTATATGGTATTAAAGTCGAAGGGCGAATCGTCCCACTCGGCTAGCGCGGCCCAACTTGGAGAAAAATCCAGGTCCGGGCCTGACTGTCTCATGTGTAAAAGTTGCAAAGATGTTTTTAAGGCAAAGTCAAAGACAAAAGTTTGCTGATTACAATGTCAGCCATACATTATTATATTTGCAAGGGGCATTACTTACCATAGAAAGAGGCATGCAACAAAGCCCGAGACTGGTCAGATCCAATCTCCCTAGACAGAGAGAGTCGATGGGATCCAAGTAACGGAACACAGGCGAATCAAAGGAGCGGTGGTCAGGAAATGATCCTTGTGGCCGCCGGCGCTGGCCTCAAAGTCTCACTCGCTGATGATGCACAAATCTCCGAAGGGAAGCACGGTGATGTAAGACTGCTCGCCAGATTTTCACTGAATAACGGGGGACGGGTGTGAATAAAAATAATTCCTCAAGGCCCTGGAATCTCTGAAGAAAGATCGAAAGCGTCTCGTATAAGGCATCCGAGTAGCCACGAGACGACCACTGAAGCTCGAGAGATCTCAACTTGAGAGGTTCCGCACGTTCATTGAACAGGCGAATCAGTTGTTCCCACCCCTGACAATGCTGTAACTTGAGCGACTGAAGTAAACTAGAATCGAACACAGTGTAAAAGCGCATGAGTCTCTCCTTACACATATGTCTGCCTACTGAGGTGAATGAAATAGCCGAGAGAGCCAGTCTTTTCAAAAGAGGAAAGCTCACGATAGTATTATACTTATCATATGTCAGGGTAATATCATATCCGACGGGATCTTTCTGTTGGCCTTCAGAGACAAGCTCTCTGTTGCCAACTACCTGACTGTAATATGTCATGTCGATCTCGAGTTCCTCGAGTTGATGCGACCTTTGCTCGAGCACCTCCGCTAGGGACATGAAGTCGGTATACAGCAATAGCCCTGTCCAAGAAAGGCGTTTAAGGTGTGGGAATGCCTGCAACTTATAGCTATAAGACGTTACGTCGTCGTTTAAACCGCAAGCGCCATCCGTCACTAGGCGAATGGACTCAATATTCTGTTGTTTCAAGCAGAAGTAGCCGGTGAAGCCTAAAAGAGACTGCGGCACGCAGGTTCCCATGGCCCAGCTGTGGAGCAAGTTAACGTTTGAGGTGGCTGAGAGACAGCATGATGAACTTACTCGAGCGAACGAATTGCCCCATGCTCACATCCTCTGAGCGTGGCAAATGGAAGTACTTGTAGTCAGTTAGGTTCGAATCCTATCGGCGTCACATTTTGGGGTTGTTGGCACAACTGTTTCTTTCTGAGTACAACCTTAAGTTCCTTGGCTAGATCCTCGACTAGACCCTCGACAACCTCGGCTCCGTTTTCGCGGTAGGGCCACTGCCGTATAGCGCCATAATCTGCTGTATGGTGCATGCATCGGTCACTTTGTTTCGTCCTGAAGGGAGACCAGACTTTAATGTTCCGTGTGTATCCAAAGCGGCCCCTTTTTGCGGCGGTCTCAAAAGAAGAAGCCCCCAAATTCTCGATATCATGCTCGTCTGCATACAAGGAGATGGATTTGTACAGGTACGGCACTGTCTTTTCAAAAATCCTCTTGGAAACTTTGGACAAATTGCTGAGGTCTTTTTGATTGATTAACTTACACCTTGTTAACTAGATTCAATAGACCTGCGTGTTTTCTCCCACCAGCTTCATAATCATGGCATAGACCTCCTCAGGAATATCCTCAAATGTCGGCACACTCATCTTTGAGTGCTGATTTGTATCACGTCTTGATGAAGACCCGGGTTGGGTGTCTTTCGTGATTGCGTGGGAAGCGATCGGTTAAGATTTATTAAGAAGAAGAAATGACAGGAACAACAAGGTGGGGGGAGTAAAGCGTCATTTACCTACTTATATGGGGTACACCGCGACCGAAGCTAGATCTTAGATCAGTTGACGCAGGGCACATACACCACACGGACAACACCAGTACACACACGCCTTACTAAGTGGTGGTAAAGCTAGTATACGCTCGGTCTCCCTTGCTACAACAAAGACCAGTACATTGCGGAGATGCTCACACATGTATCTATACTGTACAACTATCTGCCATAGCTGTTAATAATATCAGATTACCTGATTTGAGGCTGTCAGAGAAAATGGTGGGTACTGAAAGAAAAGGTCAAAGCCCTGTATAAAAGTGAGTCAATTAAGAGGGTTATCTGTCTAGTCTAGGTTTCTTGCTAGTGGTTCAGATGTGAGCAATACCCCTTTTTAGGCGCAGGGGCCTCGACTCTCAGCCTTGGAGTCACAAGAGGCCAAATTGACATGGCCTTACATTGGCGAGTTTGACGCAAAGCCAGACCAGCAATACTGTACATATCTAGGTTCGTTCATGGCTCAGTGAGACGGGGATTCCCCCGCACATCCACCATCAATCATCAATGACCACTGCCTAGATATCTAGTCTCCACTGACCAGAGACATTGCTTCTTCCCAAGGACGAGGGACCCCGCATCGCAGCGACCAAGCTGCTCAGAAAAGACGCTACTGGAAGGGTTACCCCAGCAAGATAGTGGACCGTGGGAGCTTGACACGTTGACCGTGCGGGCAGAATGACCTCGGCCACAGGAGGTAATAATAGATAATACTAAGTACCATGTAGTAGTGGCCAAGCAGGTCGATGCAGGGGGGAGAGCGGCTTGCTTCGGTTGCATGGTGTGGATGCCGGAATCGTGATAAACGAACCAATACACAATGCGGGGGAAAAGCTACCGAAACCCACCAAAACTTGCATCCTTTCCAACTCCCTTCATCAACTATCCATCTTCTTCGCTGACATTCATTCCGCGTGTATCAATCTCCCCAAGAACCGGCCAGCCACCTCCAGCCCCGTCTGTTCGCCATTAGTTCAGCTTGCCCTTCTGCCATCACACGTGTTCCCTCCCTGTCGAACACAGTCGGTGTTGCGATTGAAGCAGTTCCGTTGTCGGCCTCTACCCCAGAGTCCAGCTGGCGAATAGGATCGTGTAAAGGAATTCACTTGCCCAAGTTTCCACCTAGCTTCATCATCGCCAATACCACGCAGCATGGCCACCATTGTTGAGAAGCGGGATGGCCACACCATCTATCGGTCTCCCGATACCATCGACGTTCCCAGCGTTGACCTGCTTACGTTCCTCTTCGGTGAGTGAACGGTCGCACAACCCATTCCTCGCCGCACATGTAATAATCGGCGACGCTGATCGATGTCTATAGACTTACCGAACGAGAGACTTCGTGATGACACAATCCTCCACGTCGACGCGGCTGACCCGTCTCGGTCCATCACAAAGTCTCGTCTCGTGAAGACCGTTAAACAGCTAGCCCACACTCTGCGGCACCGCTACAACATCCGCAAGGGCGACGTCGTCCAAGTCGTGTTCACCGGCCATTACATGGCCCCGGTCGTCTTCTACGGCATCATGGCTGCGGGGGGCTCCGTCGCCGCTTCCTCCCCGTCGTCTTCCCCGCCTGAAGTTTCCCGGCAGATTAACCTGACGGGGAGCAAGATGGTGATCTGCACCCCCGACATCAAAGCCCTCGCCGTTGCTGGGGGCACGGCTGCCGGTTTGCCAGACGACTGCATCCTCTACATAGGTGATAGCCAAGAGTTCCAGCTGTTCGAGGCAAAGTCCGACAAGCAACTATCCCCGTCGAGGGAGGAGCTCGACTGGGAACGTGTCACGGACCGGACGACCCTGGAGAACACGGTCGGGTGCTTCATCTACAGCAGCGGCACCACGGGCATGCCCAAGGCGGTCAAAATTTCCCACGCCAACATGGTCGCACAAGCCTTGTGCATCACCACGCCAACGATTAAGTATTATCACAAGAACGGGCCCGGGATGAGGTTCATCACACTCGGCCACTTGCCCGCGGCCCACATCTCCGGCCTCCAGGCCTACATCATCAACCAGACATACATGGGAGGGGTGGTTTACTGGATGAAGAAGTTTAACTTTGTCGACTTCATCGAGAACATCAAGAAGTACAAGATCAACTACCTATTTAGTGTGCCGCCCATCTACCTCATGATCGCAAAATCCCCGCTCGTCAAGGACCACCTCGACAGCGTCGACTTCGCACTGACGGGGGGCGCCGCGCTAGGCAGGGAGACCCAGGTGGAGGCGCAGAAGAAGATGGGCCGGGGCAAGGCGCTCCTCGCCCAGACATGGGGCCTCAGCGAGACGACGGCCGGGTTCACGCTCCTGCCCCGCCACCTCACGGACGACACCGGCAGCGTTGCGATGATCGTGGCCAACTGCGAGGCCCGGCTGGTCGATGATGAGGGCAGGGACGTCGAGGTCGGGCAGCCCGGCGAGATGTGGTGCCGCGGCCCGATCATTACGAAAGGGTATTACAAGAATGACAAGGCAAACCAGGAGGCTTTCGTCGACGGCTGGTTCTGCACCGGCGACAGACTATCTTTCAAGGACGGGAAGTTCTACTTTGTGGACCGCAAAAAGGTTTGTCCATCGTGTCGTGGCGGAGAAAGATACTGTGTTAAACTAACACGGCCTAGGAACTCATCAAATACAAGGGCATTCAGGTGGCTCCGGCCGAGCTCGAGGCTCTGCTGGTCACACATCCCAAGATTCAGGATGCTGCCGTCATCGGCGTCGACGGCGAAGGCACCGAGCTTCCAAGGTACGGAGAAAAGATTGCGGCGTCCCACGGCACCACATGTACTAACCACTGCAACAGGGCATACGTCGTCGCCGACAAGACGCAGATTTCTGCCGAGGAAATCCAAAAGTGGGTGGCCGAGCAGGTCGCGAGCTACAAGAAGCTGCGCGGAGGCGTCGTCTTCATCGACGCCATTCCCAAAAGCCCGTCCGGCAAGATCCTCCGTAAAGACCTTAGAGCATTGGTGAAGCGTGAGGCCGGTGCGAAGCTTTGAGGCAACGAAATTGGCGGTCGTATATCGCCATCCAGGGTCGATTCAATGGGCTCTCTGTGGGTGGCATTGGTGACATGGTGCGGCCATTCAGGTTTCCGGGACTGCAGTCCAATGAATGGTTGGTTGACTATAAAGTTAAGCAACGAGAGCCAGTGGTCCGGCCCGTACAAATCGATGATCAACTACAACCTTAATTCTGAACTCAGAACTCACTTCGTCCCACGTCTGCGAACGACTCTACCTATCTCCGAAATGACGAGCTTATAAACGGGTCCATCTATGATTTAAATTCCTCTCTTGAAAACTTTTCAATTCTTCTCCTCAAAATGACCAATCCTCCCCTTCAAAACATTTCTCCATACTTTCGCTGAAGACCAAATCAACAGCAACAAGCCTGGAAGCCCCCATCTGCAGTCATCTATTTCAAGATACCTGCCTAACCTTTCGTGGCCTTAATTATCTCGCTCTTTGCCAATACCAGCAAGACAGCGATCATGGGTTTACGTACAGCGCTCCGAGAGCTTGTGTCGAAGCATGACGATCGTTGGCTCGAACAACCCGCCATGTGCTTCCGCGATGGCGACCAGCCACTCTCGCCCTACAGCAACTCCAAAACTCCACTGGCCGAGATGGGCCACGACACCAGGAATGGAGTACACCTTGGACAGTCCAGGGTCTACAAGATTCAGAGAGAAACTCCTCCCAAAAGCAAACCCGTTTCCTCCCCAGCTTCCACTGCGAGAAGCACCACGATCACAGACTCGTCTGTATCGTGTCGCGTCGGGACCAACACGCTCTCCACCGAGAACCGATACACTTTAGCAGAGGCGGCTGCTCGTGTAGCCTTCGCCGACCGTTGCGGCAGCTGCGGATCGCGGGCTCGCGTCGTTTCAATCCCGCCCGGTCCCTCGACCAAGGGCAAGCCTGTGGGCGCCGTCAAGGAGAAGCCTCTTCCCAGCCGGCCAAGATCGGTTCATGGAAGCAAAACACCCAGCTCTTTGCGTAGCGCTACCACATACGAGCCTCAATCGGGCCCGTCAAGCTACTTTACTCGCGAGAGCGGAGAGAGGAGCCAGAGTGCTGCGAACACTCGTATTTCGACCCCTCTCACTCCGGGCCACAATGACCTCCACCATCGAATTACAGACTGGGCCTTTGACACTGCCTCGCACAAAATCTCCATTGAGAAGCCCCTGGACATGGTTTCCGAAGAAGCGTCCGATGAGAGGAGCCAGAGTGCTGCGCAGAGCACCCATATTTCAACGCCTCCCACACTAGGTCACAATGACCTCCACTGCCGAGTTAAACACTGGGCCTCCAACATCCCATCGCACAAAACCTTCATTGAAAGACCCCTGAATATGGTCTCTGAAGAAGCGTCCAGTGCTGCGCAGAGCACTTATATTTCAACACCTCTCACGGCAGGTCACAATGACCGCCACCGTCGAGCTACACACTTGGCCTCCAACACCACCTCACACAGAAACACCGCCTCACACAAAACTATCATTAAGAAGCCCCTGGATATGGTCTCCGAAAAAGCGTCTGGCGCTACTATGCCGTACCCAGTTTATGAACCCACCAAGCGGAGGAGAAGGGGGGGGAAGAAGAGCACCGTCGCCACGAGTCACCTGGCGAGGCGATCTATGCGATCAGAGACTGAGCATTGAGATGCAGCATGAATGGGACAAGGGGCGGATCATCTGGTTTCTCCACGGACGGAAACGTTAAGAAGTTCACCAGGATTAAGCTGGATTTGACCTCTAAAAAGCGTCGTTTGTTTCTAGTCAATAGTTGGGAATCGGAGCGAAGAAGTTAGCGCCTGGACAGTTGAATTCCAGAAACATGCTCGACTATAGCTGACAGGAAGTGAACCGACTTGGCGAGAATGTAACGTTCCATTATTTGACCATGACAGGTGATTGATCTTGTATGTCTTACCTAGGTCTTTCTCTTGTATTGTGTGAAGCCTCCAAACTGCATGTCCTATCAGTATTCCGAAAACTGCATATTCCACGCACCGCACCAGGTCCGGCCAATCTAGCCAATATATGAAATTATATGTGCATCGTACGGTGTACCCCCCCATCACTCAACGCTAGGCAGACGGACTTCATCTGGCCAAATCCTCAGCGGGCTGACTTGGCGTCAGTCGGTAGCACCGGGGCAAGAGCCTACATTTGGGAAGCGAGTATTACCCTCAAGGATCGTAAGCTTCGTAGCCCGTCAGCAAGAGGTTCCTAGGTGCCGTTCGATCAGATGAACACACCCACCCACACACGCATGTCATCATCAGCCCTGGGCCCACCCATGCGCAGTTTCCTTAAGAAGTAAACGCTACTTGGCTTCGAATATTGATAACCGGTGAGCCTCCTGGTTGTCAGATGCATTCCAGGGAGTACTTACTCTGACGTGAGAAACCACGAAGCCAGAAGTGACCAGTCGGCGAATGCATGGGGGGCCCTTGACAGCGGAGGCGGGACCATCCGCCAAGGCAGCTCCCGCCGCAGTTCAACATCGATGACAGGGATCCGGTCAGACGCTGCAATATCGCCATCCTCGATGTACGGCGGGATCCTTCGATGGCATGCAGGCCCATTCTCGTGCAGTAGTTCATCACCCGGCGCCTATCGATATTGCATCTGGACCGTCTAGAATGTCTTGACTGGTAGTCTCGTATGGTATCAAGTCTTGTAGCGTTTGTCGGCGGGAAAGCCTCCACGAGGGCTTTCTTCCTGGAAGCCGGTAATGAGTGGAATTTTTAGTGTCGATCCAGCCGAGGGAGGCCACAGTCTCAGTTTTCGCATGACAGCGCCACGTTCGTTAACTTAAAATACTAGCTTCGAAGACCCTTAGAATTCTAGGCCTTGGCTACTCAAGGATTTTCAAGGGTAACTCGAGGTCCTGCAGTCAGAAAATGCCACCAGGTGGTTGGGGCCACGCACGTCACACTGGGCCGGTTCGCGAGTGGCTTTCCTCCCTTGAGCAGGGCTGCGCACCCCCCGTTTCCATCTACAAGTCGAGAGAGTGCTATTCGCCTCCTCTCAGCCCCTTGCGTCCCTTCGGCCAAGCATAGATCCATGACGCAGGAAGTTGGAGAGGATGCATCGAAGCGAGGTCTAGGCAACAGTGCTCCCTTGGTGTCGATCTTGGAACTGTAAACGTGTGTAGGGTACCGCTTATGAGAGATCTTGCGATGTATACGGGTGGTGAGAAGATGGATATTATAAGTAATACCCGTCCTCGCAATGTCGTAAGAGATTTCTACACCATTCACTTCATATCAGACATTTAAGAGTCAAGCTGAGATCATCATACGATATTCACCATGCGGCCCTCATTCTTCACATCTGCAATCCTCTCAGCCACTCCGGCGTTAGGCTTGGTCCGCTCGCCCCAGCCGTCTTTGACCAATGGCCAATACGTCGTCGGAGGCTATGGCTATGCCAACCGAGCGATCTTCGACTTCAAGAGCAGAACCACCCTCCCCGACGGCTTGTATGCTAGCACCTGGCCTATTGGCGACACTCACAAGTTTGACGCCTCTAACGTCGTAGTTGGCGGAGGCTACCTCAACTTGAAGGTCCCCGGTGGCCAGAGTGCAAAGCCTTACAGCTCCGCTGAAGTATCCACAACATTTAGCAACATCAAGTACGCTTCCGTTCGTACTGTCGCCATCTTTAGCGAGCCCGCTGGTGTCTGCAACGGTAAGCAGAATATCCCTGAACGTGTCGTCAAGGTTGTTGAGAAGCAAAAACTCTGACAACGAATCAGGCATCTTCTTTTACAAAAACGACACCCAGGAGACGGATATTGAATGGCTTTCCGATGCGTCGTCCCTGAGCAACCAGGGCACCCGCAAGGTCTGGTTCACCAACCAGGATGCCGACCTGAACGGCGTCAAGACGTACCAGGCCTTCCCGCCCCCTGCCAGCCCTACCACGACCGAGCACGAATATCGCCTGGACTGGACTCCCGGCCGTGTTCGGTGGTTCGTCGACGGCAACGAAATCTGGAACACCACTAGTGATGTTCCCAATACTACCGGTCCCTGGGTCTTCAACAACTGGTCCAACGGCGACAAGGGCTGGAGCGCCGGCCCTCCTGCCACCCAGGCCGACTTCAAGATCAAGGACATCTACATGTACTATAACACCGCAGCCTCTTAGCTCGGATAGTGAGACCTTCTTTTCGGAGTTCAGGGCGAGGGTTGAATTATCTGGCGGTGGCATGTATCAGCATTGGTCTGATAGCAGTATTGGTAACGAAGTGTACGAAGTTAGTGATTACGATGTTTATGCTTCAATAGCGTCCTTTGTAACTGATATAGCCACCTTCGACTCCTTCAAAATACAGTAAAATGTTAGAATGTTGTTTCCATTGTCATTCAGGTGTCTGTGTACGACATTAGATACCCACAGCTTCATCTATGGATTCTATAGCTCCACAAGCCTTCACTGACTGCCTTCATCAACGGAATCGTGAGGTTCACTGTTCAGAATCGAGCCTCAACGTCTCTTATCAAGAATTGTTCACATTACTTGACAGCCGAAATACATGGTAGATATAGAGTGCAGTCACGAGATTCAGGGTGGTGCTGTAGAGGTGGCGGGAATGTGCCCCACATAGCTATATAGAAGCCGGTTGAAAGTGCAAGCGGTATTATAAATGGTCTAGCTCTATCCCTAAGCTTTTATAACAGTTACTAACAAGTATTCGTTTATACATGGGGAGATAGGATCGCAATGGTATAGATTCGAGTATATGCAGCTTCCTCTGTTGCAATACCCTGCTCTATTATGCTTATGATCCAGACATTCTATGTAGATTTCAAACCAAAACGGCATAGTTGATCATGGGTGTTAATACCAGCCTAATTACGTGCTTTTTCATACGGCTGTGTATTGTGATGCCGACCCAGTCACTGAAGCCGTTGCCGCCGAAAGCAAATGAGGGACCCCGGGTGGCTGCTAGCGCATGGCCGAGCATCCTCTCTGAGTCAACTACCCATAGCCATGGTCTCCTCATCACCATTCCCAACCAAACAAAACAACCAACATAGTCAACTCTGAGGCTGGCTGAAGTCGGGTTGGTAGCTCTGAATGAAGCGTTGGTTGCCTCTGCCTCGGCCGCCAAATCCGTTGGCAATTGATGTTGATTCCTTCCGGAAGACTGTTCTACAAGACCGTTTAATCGTTGATCATCCTCATACTGCTCCAGCGCTGCCTTTCGCTATTCATCCCAATCATGATGTGCTCCGAAGACTCCAAGGATGGCATTTGCCAATGGTAAAGCACGGTCCCATTCAGACTCATGGCCCAACCCCCAAAAGAATATTCTCATTTTCTCCCCCATAGTTCTTGGTGTCCGTATCCCCTTCTCGAGATCGCTTCTATCAAATCATTGTCCCTGTTCTTGCTCCCACTGTGCGCGCACCGGATCTTTTGCAAACCGAGCAGCTAAAGAACCTACCAGTCATTTTATGATACTGCGGTGGGGAACGATCAAATCTTGCTACGCAAAGACGTTAAGGCGGAATGAGATGCAGAGTAGGAGTCTTTTGACCCTCCCTCCCGCGGAGGTATCGTTCCCTCATGCAGATCCGTCGGGGTAACGAGGCATCCTCCCCTAACGATGACATGATCAACCATGTGACAGCCACAGCATCACCGTGCCAATCAAGAGCGTCGGCAGCAGTCTAGTCCCTGGAAACAGGTCGTCCTTATGGCTATGGAAAAGGCTGTTGAGCCTGTGAGCGTTAATAATGATGCCGAGCTCCCTGCTGCACTAGATGATTTCGTATTGCGGATCGAAGACCTGGCTAGAGGCAATGGAATCATTTCACACACCGAGAGGGTTAGTTCAGATCCTCAGAACCTCCCCCCCCCCCCCCTTCTGAGCTGACGTGGTCTTGTGTTTCAAGGAAACACTACATTAACCACGTAGAGCATGCTAGTTTAGGTGGATTAATTAAGAAATCTTCCTTTGCCCCGCTGTGGTCATCTGGTTAAGCTCAGTTAAGGCGTGATGAACTTAGCCTGACACCTGCCCTTCAAGACTGTAAATAAAATTTGGAACGACGCGGACGATTACTAGAGCTTTCAATACTTTAAGATGTAATAGAACTATTTAATATGCTTAAGATACACCTAGGGCACTCCCTCTACCTTTTCTTTTATATCTGGGGTGTTGCAAGCCTAGCCTCAGAACCTGGTGTGATTTTGTTGACTGTAAAGTTATTTAAACAGCCTATAGCACTGGGTTCTAGATTCATCCTAACTACACTTGCGGCTCTAAGGCCTCTTATTATAAAAAGAAGGTTGACATTTGCGTATTTGTGAACGAACAATCTTCTTGTATAGGGGGATGCGTTGGATGATTCTGGTAGAGAAATTCACGTGACACCGGTCCTCCGATACAGGGTTGCGTTGCAAAATGAAATGTAAGGGAATATTTTGGTAGCCTTGAAAACATGTTTCTTATATCTCATCTACTGCTAACGCTAACATTGTCAGATGTTAGATTCAGGGTCATAGAAACTTGGCAGTATAACCTCCCTTGGTCCCTTGGTGCCAATGCAACTTTTGTGCCGCAATGTCTCACTGCGTTCCCAACCTAATTCCGCCACGTAAACGGCCTCCGATGAGCATTCCTCCCAACATATCAGAGCTTTTGGCTGAAAAAATAGCTCTCGTGAGCTTGGCGGTGATTGGTCTCTCTCTGGAATGTCAAGGGGTAGGCCGGACCAAGAGGTAACATGGAGAGACAGAGAGCAAACAACAGGATAATACAGAACCCCAGACGCACTCCCCGGCCGGCGTAATTACGGGTGCCCGCGTGCAGCCGGTGGAAAAAGACCAGGGTTCCTGCTGGAAACCGGCATCAGTGCCACCACAAGGAGAAAGCCGGCCCCCGATGTCGAAAACGGCGCTGACATCATGGGATAGGTTCCGGAGAGATATGCATTTTCGAAAGAAGATGGACGTGGTTCAGGAGCTAAGGCGGTTTGTCAAATCGCCAAGCCCGTGTCAAGTTGTCTCAACCTTTTGATAAAATGTCAGGTCAAGGGGGAAGACAGTGTCCATCAGTTTCTTCTTCAGGGTTGATGAGAGAGATGTTCCTGTGCACGGGACCGGTTGCAAGCTCGCGACACCCAGCCTTGGCGACGTGTCCCCCGGCAAACATTCCAGTATAAGACACCGACCCATGCCATCATGATCAGGGTGCAAGGGATAGATAATTATTCACGCCCCCCCCCTCCCGTTGGCTCCCTCCTCCTCTGTAATTCTACCCAGCCGTCGTGTTATTTCGACAGCACAGGCTTGAATCGTCACGTTTCTCAAACGTTTTTTCCTCCGTCACGCTTCACAGAAAAAAATCAAAAAAAGTCGGTGGGCTAATCGAAGGAAGAGACGCCATTAGACACTCGTCTGCGGAGGGAGGATGCGGGACGACAAAACATCATGAGCGCGCTGAACCCCTTCATCGCGAACGGAACCTGCTTCCACGGGCCCGACGAGGCGGTAGAAGAGTGGCTCCCATGCGGCAACGTCGTCTTTGGCGACAAGTCCTGCTGCCAGGCCGGCGACATGTGCCTGTCGAGCCGCGCTTGTTACAACGGCCGCTTCGGAATCACTTACCTCGCCGGTTGCAGCGACCCCGAGTATCGCCACCCGAGCTGCCCGGACAAGGGCGCATTCAGCGGTACGTTTTCTTCGTGACGAAGAGGCGGAGAAGAGGCGAAAAGGGAAGGATGTTTCTCGAGAATCTGGGACGAGCTGACGAAAGAACTCCCCCCCGACGACTTAGACCAACCGTGGGCCGGCCTGGTGTACTGCAACGGCACGTCGGAAGAATGGGTTGCATGCGAGCAGTCCGCGCGGCCGACGACCCTCACCTCGGCCGACGCGTGCTGGTGCCCGCAGACGTCCCGCACCGTCGCCTTCGCCGACGCGGCGACGCTCCGCAACGTCGTCCAGCTGCCGACAGCCCTGGGCGGTAGCGTCATATGGCAGCCCGGCTTCGTCCCGATGCCGACACAGCCTAGCGGAGCGGCCCCGCCGGCGGCCACCCCAACGAGTGACCCGATGACGACATTTGCGAAGATTACAACGACGAGAGCAGCCGGATCGAGTTCACTGCCGCAAGCGACAGACACCGGGACGAGTCCGGACGGCGCAGACGCCGGGCTAAGTACGGGCGCCACGGTCGGCGCTGCCGTCGGCGGCACCGGCGGAGGCGTATTATTGCTCGCCGTCATCGTCTACCTGTGCCGTAAGTGGCGTGAGTCCCGGACTAGAACGCCGGCGGAACGAGAACACGCAGAGATGGACGGTACGGGGCCCGGACTCCTGGAGTGGAAGCCGGGCTCGCGCAAATCCAGCGCGAGGACGGGGCAGACGGCCGAGCTGGAGTCGCCCGCCGCGGCGCGGCCCATGTCGGAGCTGGACAACACGCAGATCGTACGGTACGGGTTCCGCCACGACAATTTCCAGGCGACGGGAACGAGACCGATGGGTCCCATTGCCGAATTGCCCGGATGATGTGTTGTTGAAGACGGGGGACGGAGAAGGGGTAGGGTTTCCTGGAGAAGGGTTGGAGTACATAAACTAGATGGCCTTGAAGTCTCGGACTGTAAACGGACACGAAAGACCGGTTGATATAATTGACGATGCTATGGGACTAATGGATGAATTTGCACTATTGTATAAAGTGAAAGATCGCCACAGACGTTGTCTGATCCATCTGGCAAGTTCACAGGGCCAGTGACGCGAGCTCAGCAGAGGTTGCCGTTTGGCTTCACATCTGAGGCCCCAGATTACTAGAAAGCAGGTTACGCCAGAAGCCGTCCTGGCCCACCTCACAGAATATACTGGCCAATATGCCATCGGTCCCATAAAGAAAGTTGATCTAGAAAAGAACGCCGTGACCCGAGTATCCGAGCCTCGGCACGGGGTCCTAAGATATGCCCCCCCCCCTCTCTCTTCACACTATTTGGTCTTCTTCTCCTCTACAACCTCCTTCTCACCGACGTCCTTCAGCGCCTCGACATCCCGCTCCCATACGACGGCCAAGGCGGCGCCGCAGGGCCCGACGACGGGGCTCCACATGACCAGCTTCCCGAGGTCCGACACGGCGCCCCTCGCGCCCTTGCGCTGGTACGCCATGTACGCGACCCAGGTCCACGTCGCCAGGGACGCGCAGTACATGTCCCACTGCAGCAGCCCCAGGATCCCCTTCTCGAGCGACGCCATCTTGGCCCTGGAGACGGGCGACGGCGGCACGAACATGCGCTTCAGCATCGCGGCCGTGGGCTCCGGGGCCCCGCCCGAGGCCCAGAAGGCGTAGCCGAGCGCGCCGCACGAGATCAGGGCGACGACGGGCAGGACGGAGGCGTAGACCCTGCTCAGCTCCCTGCTCGTGCGGCCCCACGCCGCCGCAGGGGTCCATGCCCGGGGCACCACGCGCAGGAAGGCGATGGCCCGGGAGAAGGCGAGCTGCGCGATGCCGGTCCACAGCGGGAAGACCTGCCAGGCGGCGAGGAAGACGTCGGACGTGCGCGGGGCGATGACGTGGGGGGGCGGCAGGGCGGCCAGCAGCGTCGGCAGGGCGGCGCCGAGAGTCACGGACCAGAGCACGGCGCGGGCCTGGACCGGGTCGACGGAGATGGCGGCCGCGAAGGCTCCCGGGCCGACGGCGTGCGGGATGGCGGAGGTGTAGGTGTAGAGGAGGAAGTATATGGGCAATGTGATGCCGATGGTGCAGAGCTGCCACACGAAACCCCAATAGGTCGTGCTGCGGGGGATGTTCAGTCTTGTCACTGGCAGAGGGATTCATGACCAAAAAGAAAAGAGGTAAATAAAAAGGGGGGGAAAAAAACTCACTATGAGATCAGCTTCCCCCGGTTACCGGCTCTCAGGCCTTCCAGCTGGACGATGACCTGCAGCGCCAACATCTGGCCGATCATGAAGACGGAGAAGAGGGTGAGAGCAGGGTCCTTGCCGGTAAGGATGGGCTGGAAGAAGCGCACGAGCATGGTCAACATGCTGTCCATGGCCTTGGAGGAGGTGAAGGGGATGGGCTTCCCGTGGAGCTGCTTCTTGACGACCTTGAAGAGTCCATTGGCGACGGAGCGGTCGTTGATGGCGACCTTTGCGACGTAGAAAATGGAGGCGAAGACGGTCGTGAACACGGCTTGAGACATGTTTGCTTTCGAGCATACGGGGGGGGATGATGCTGTGGAGGTTGAGTATCTGGGGACAGCGGTGAGGTGAGTCGAGGTGTGTAATGGTATGATGGAAACAATGTCTCCTCTCGCTTGTTCTCGTCGCGTACACAACTGGGACAAAGTGGGGAGGGGGGACCCCCCAGTTGGAAAGGAGTTTCAAAACCGTCGATCAGCTGATACGACCACCTTCGTCTGATGATGTGTCCGCAAACAACCTCGGGGTGACGAATGGGTGAGTGAGTGTAGCCGTTGTTGAGTGGAGAGAGGGAGGAGGGGAGGGAGGGACCGAGAAACATGCACATATTGTTTACTATGCAAACTCTATCCTCCGATTGGGACTTTCCGCTGGCTACGAAGCTGGGATGAAACTGTTTATTTGTACGAGGTGTAAATATCTGATGGGTTATGAACGTTGAAACTATAAACATCGAAGCCTTTTGGGGGTATCCCCCCAAACACCAGAACTCTCTCCCAACGAATCTCTTTTTATATCAGTGAAAAACTGAGAATAAGGCGGTAGACATGGCAATGGCATCTTTCACCCGGCGGCCGTCACTATGCGCTCGATAATCTCGGATACGCGGCGATGCGGGTGATGATGTAGTACAGAGGCGCCGCTTTTGATAGTCAGCTGCTGGCCTCGCTCTCGGGCAGCGGCTGGGGCAGCGGCTGGGGGGCCTCGAGCCAGCCGCGCGACGCGGCGTCCTTGATGCTGGCGAACCAGATGTTGGCCATCTTGACGTAGCCGGCGTCGTCCGGGTGAGTGCCGTCGACGAGGTCGCTCGCCAGGGGGCCGGCGTCGGTGTGCATGTCGGCGAGCACCAGCTTCTTGGACAGCGCCTGCTGCTGCTCGATGAGGGCCCTGTACTGGTCGTTGACGCGCAGGACGCAGGCCTCGGTGGTGGCGTTGCCGTTGACGAGGAGGGTGGAGAGCACGATGGTCGCGCGCGTCGAGGTGGCCCAGAGGTAATCGAGCATCTCGAGCATGCGGGCGCCGGCGTTGCCGGTGTCGTAGTTCTGCGCGCAGTCGTTGGTGCCGGCGTTGATGAGGACGAGGTTCGGCAGCGTCAAGGGCACGGAGATCTCGGCCTTGGCCAGGACCTGGTCGATGCGGAAGCCCGGCCAGCCCTCGTTGGCGTTGTTCACCATGGTGCCATTGGGGTGGAAGCCGACCATCTCGACGGGGTTCCCGTCGGCGATGAGCAGGTTGCGCAGGGCCTCCCGGTAGCCGTTGCCGTCCGTGGACCTCTCGCCGTACGTGATGGAGGCGCCGAGGGGCATGATGCGGAGGGAGACATTGCCGCCGACGAGGATATTGACGTCGGCCCTCCGGTGCATGGCCGGGGGTTGCCAGGTGGGGACGGCGCACACTTCTTGTGGGTTAGCAAGTCGTTGTCGTCACCGTCATCCTCGGGGGAACATGGAAGACGTTGCAGACGGAAGAGATCATACCGGCAGTGGCCGAGGCCAAGAGGGTGGCGGCCCAGCGGAGGAGGGAACCGTTGGAATGCATGACGGAGTTGCTGAGAGTGAGTTCGATACCGGGCTTCGATAGTGAGGAACAGCACAGGATGGAGCTTCACGATGAGACAAACATCTGGGCAATAGAGCATGTTAAATACAAGGCCCGGTGGCACGAACAATATGCACATCGCTGGGGAACGGGACCGCTTGGCGTCAGGGACGCCCCTTGCACTGCACTCTTGCTTGCACTAGGCTCAGTCTATTTCAGGGAAGCCCCCTTCAGAGCTTCAGAGGGGGTCCGATGGGGCTCATTGGGATGATTGGGATTTACATCAAGCATGACACCAAGCTGCGCAAGGACGCGGGGTGGTTAGACAGGGGTGACAAGGCTAGCTGGCGTACGTACGCTACGGGTGACACGGCACTTGATCATATACCCTCTTAGTGTGCGGATAAGGTGGCACAGATACTCAATGATGGTTATACAGTTGAAGGAAACACAGCAGAAGAATCATACCCAATATTCTACACAACAAATGAGGATGACGCGGCACGACAATGCGATGGGCCATTGGAGCACCGGACAAGGGCGAGGTCAGAAGAAGAATAGTCGAGGGAACGGATGAACGGCATCGCTGTTCTAATGATATGGTATGTTTGATAGACTGAATTACGGGCATGTCCCTAGCAGCGTGCGGACTCCAGTCATGTATGTATAGGCATGTAGATGAGAGGTCTCGGATGAGGCCAAGGGCTGCGTAATGTAGTGTAGGAGCCGGGACTTGGGTAGATGTTCCAAGGGCAGAATTAACATCTCTCCACGCCGCTCCCCGCATGACTGCGGCCATCAAATCGAGGGGAAGAAGCAACAAGAGCAGCAGCTGTGGGCCCCCAACCCCCTTGACGGTCCATGGCTACGTAGGTGTACGCACTCGGGATCCAAAAGAATGGCCGATGTCCTATACCACCTACCTATCTACCCACCTACAGACACGCCACTTTACCTTTGTATTAGTGAAGAAATGCTATATCGCTCCAATATGTCTGAAAAGGACTAGGATTATATACCAAGTATAGTGTATTAAACTATTGGATGCTGTGGAGGTTACGTATGTCAGGCTTCCAAAGTCCTGGTCCTTTTTTGGATATGGTTGAGATCGGCCTTTTTTCTGGAACCCGAGTACTACGTAGGTAGTAGCCCTCTGGAAGAAGTTCAACATAACACAGGTGACAGTAGAAGCAAGCAATGTTGAAAAGCCCCTAGGGTATAACCAAAGGGGGAGAGGAGACAGGGGAAAGCGACCTTTCGTCCCGCATTAGCCACCTGCTTAGGGTTTCAGCACCAACATTGTGTGTCTATCTCCCACCTCGCTCGTTTCTCCCGAGTCACGGCCGTTAAAACACGGCCGCCAGTGAGTTTCCCACTCGGAACCACTGTAATCCTGTAGGATGACTAGCACTAGAGGGATTTGTCTGGGGCGGAAAATAGGCGATGAGATCAACGGATCATGAACCCTGTGAGTGAGAGATTTTGGTTGTTGGAGGAATCCGGCAAACCTAGACAAAGACAGAAAGAAAAATGATGCTCATGCTGTTTCTTCGGACATCCCGTGAGAAACTCCCACCCCTGCCAGGACGGACGGACCGACTCTCAGATGCCCATGAGTCCGTCCCTTTTTCTCCGAACTCTTGGTCCCAGCAATAATTTCCCGACGGGCCTTTCGGTTTCATCTTTGGCAGACACAGCCGCAGCTCTCTAGCCTCCTCCGCCTCCGTCATCGGTTCCTACTGACTCACGCTGACTCCTACTAGCCGTCTTACTACCTATGTATGCAGCACCGTCCGTCCCTTTTGTGTTACCTAAAGTGACTCGGACTACTCTCTTTTTTCCCCCGGGACTCGTGCGTCAGCATCTGTGCGTAATACCCGTTCCTGCATCTCTCACGCCGTTGCTGTTCGGATTCCCGAACCCGAGGTCCGTCGCTGGACGGAAAGGATTCTCTCCCCCCTCCCCCAAAGCGGACGCTGTTTGCTCGGTCCATGATCGCACGACATCGCGCAGCGGAGAGGTTTCGACGCGTCCAAGTCCCTTGCGATCATCGCCTGACGTCACGATCGACGGTGACGGTGTATGTGTGCCAGCAAACGGCGCACGAACAGGTGTGTTTCCATTTGGGCTCGGATGGAATATGCACCTCGTGTTCGCCTTCTCCATCGACAATGCCCTCCCACTGAAGACAGAAAACACAAGGGAGGTTGGCGATCGCCTCGTCCTCGGTGTGCGCAGCGCGAAGCGAGCCGGGGTTCATAAAGCCCGGAGAAGCTCTCCCGGGACTGCAAAACCTCCGCGATCCAAGCTTTTCCACGCGAGTCGCCGTTGAGACCAAACACTCTGTAACCATGTGTGATGAACAGTCCGGTCTGCCTCCAAACTGCGTGCTGAAAGGGAAACGTTTGTTGACCGAGACAAAGCGCCGCCGTTCTTGGCGTCGTCTTTCTGTCTCTCCTTGTCCACACACCAACCCATCGGTCAACTTGACCGACGAAGCTCGAGTTCACCGAGCCACACACACACACACCTACACACACACCAAGTGGTCCTCTCTCTCTCTCCCGCCCACGGCCTCGAATCGTCCCAAGGTGTCGCGGCTAACCCTTTGGTTTCCTTATCAGGGTCCGTCCCAGACCAACCCACCCCGTAGCCGGCGTCATCTGATGAACTTCAGGGGCAGCGCATTTGTTTCTTTTTAGTCTTTTTCGTCTTCGCGCTACCGGCGAACGCTTCTACCACTGCGTGTGACCGGTGACAAGTGACAGTTTGGTCTCATCTTGACTTTTATCTGCGGCCAATGGCCGTCTCCGTCATTACACCCCTTCCCAGCGGCCCGCTGGAACGCGCCGTGCTAGTGCACGCACACTTTGCGTCTTCACTCGAGATAATTCATACAAACACGGCCAATGTGACCGGACCTTATCGCTTCCCAGTATCAAAGAAACGCAGCATCAGAAGCCTGGTGAGCGAGGCTCATATGACCCCGAGTGCCCATCACGATGGGCCTCGAGTCTGTAGGCATGTCGCTGATACACTGACGGAGGAATGAGAGGGGGACGGCGGCCCTGCGCCCATCTTCGACCCACGATAAAAGGATGTTGCCCCCGGAGGACGTAAGAAACTCTCTCTCGCACGTCGCCGGATTCACGGAAAACCACATCCACGGCGCGAAACCACTGCTGTTACGTTACGTCTTGTCTGCTGCCGAGACGACTGCCGAACAGTAGTCATCACCATGTCGAAACCCCTCCCTCCCCGCCCCAGCGACGAGCGCTCGCTGCTGCTCCCCCTCGACGACCCAGGCCCGGACCCCTCCGACCTCGTTCTCTTCCGCCGCGCCGTCGGGATCAACGTCCGCTACGACGACGGCGGCGACGCCGACGACGCCGCCCTGGAATCCTCCCGCGCCGCGCCTCTCGGAATCTACGCCGCCGCCATACGCCGCCCACCGCCGCCACCGGGCCCTCCGCATCGGCACCGCGATGACATATCCGCGCTGAGAATATAAACGGAGCGGGGGTCTATCGAAAAGCCCCAGCATTGTCTGAGAGCGCCCGTGTTGCATTCTCGAACGATGGTAGCCAGGGCCAACTCGTCGTCGGTGCCATACTGAAGGCTTACCCGCCGTGTCTGTATAGCAATGAACCGCGTCAGCATCACCGCGCTGGGCGCCGTCAACACCGTCGTCGCGGGCGTGCTGACCTGGACCAAGACCCGCGGCCTGCCGGACGTCCTGCGGCGGCGCGAGGCCGAGCTCCGCAGGGTGCAGGACTGGATCGAGGAGACGGAGGCGCTGCTGGCGCTCGGCGTCGTCGGCGAGACGCGCCAAGAGGTCGGCGCCCTCATCGACGAGGCCTTCGCGCGGTGGCACCTCGCCAACGAGCGCGGGCAGGACGGCAAGCCGGAGGCGTACCGTGGCGACGAAGCCGATGACGAGCGGAGGAAGGGCAAGGGGCCCACGACGAGATGGCTGCGAGGGCGGTGAGGCGTCGTATCGTTACAGTTTGGTACATGTTGTTAGATATACCCCGGTCTTTCATGCGTTTTGAATTGGCAAATACCCGTCATAGTCTCGTTACAATCTAGCCACACTGCTGCCCCCGTGGATCCTCCTGAAGGATTACCTCTTCTTCACAGCTTGGCCCTCGCAATCGCACTATTCTCCCCGCTCCTCTGGTTCCTCGTCCCCCTTTTCAGGAACGGGATGTTGTCCGTCACGCCGGGCATCTCGTTCTCGCACCACTCGTGCCCGCCCAGCCCGTTGACCAGGGCCCCCGCGAACCCGCCCCCTCCGCCCGGCCCCCCGACCAGGACCTCTTGATCGAGCGACCCGACGCAGATGCTGGCCTCGTCCTCCCCCTCGACGCGGTAGTACAGCCACGAGCTGCACCGGTCGCAGAAGCCGCGCTTCGCCACGGGAGTCACGCTGTACTCCCGCAGCGTTGGCGTCCCGCCGTCCGACGACCACCGCAGGGGCCACGGGACGTGGTGAAAGGCGACGAAGAGGGCGCCCGACTGCTTGCGGCACTGCGTGCACTGGCACGTCAGCGCGCCTGACGCGAAGTCGTGCGAGGCGGGGAAGGAGACGGTGTACCGGAGGGCGGCGCAGAGGCAGCCCCCGGTTATGGTCTTGGGCTTGGGACCCAACTCTGCCGAGGACATGTTTTGGATGCCCATTTTAGGAGTTGTGGACATGTTGGGCGGTTGACAGCGAGGGTATCGTGGAGTCAGGTTAAGGATTCTTGACGGCTTGTGGATATAAAGCCAACGTTGGGATTCGGCAATGGAGAGATGTATGATATATATCCGTGGAAGTTGGAGCTTTCAGACGTGTTTTCTTGAACAATCTTGAAAAGAAGAGGAATCTCGAAGCCGCACTCGATGCCTTGTCAACTGCTTTTATGCCCAGACTTGCGTGGCGAGATGTGTACGTCAGAGTTGTCAATAACACGCCCTTTGGCGCGGGGGACGGGAGCTGGGCGTTGTCACCGAGCCGTCGATAAGTTATCAAGAATCACAAGATAAGCATCTCACACAATACGGCCCAAGCCAGGCGTCCTATGCAATACAACAAATCAAGGGTGAAATGCCATTAAGTCATTCTTGTTCTTGTACTGTCTCTGAATCGGCCGTTATACCTGCGTCCCTAGGCTCGATGTTCCCCGACATCGTCCCGTGTCGCACATTCATTATGCATATGCCCGCCTGAAGTGACATACCTACATCCCCTTCTCCCTGTCACTTGGCACATCACCGTCACCCTATACCGCTCACCGGTCCTCGTCGTCCTCGGCGACCCAGTACGCCTCGACCTCTGCGATGCACGTCCGCGCCGGCACCGTCACGGCGATGTGGAACCCGCCGTAGTCCGGGTCGTCGTTGGGCATGATGAGGAACGCGCCGCTGCGCGTCTCGTCGCCGTTCAGCACCCGCAGCGTCCGTAGCGTCCCGTCCGCCGCCGTCTCCTTCTCCGCCGCCGCGAGGATGCCCGTGAACGTCGCCTCCCGCCGCAGGCTCCGGAACCGGACGTTGAAGCCGCGCCCGACGACGAGGAACCGCGCCCCGCCGCCGCCGAGGCGGATGACGAGCCCGCCGCCGGGGCCGGGCTTGCCGAAGACGAAGGCGCGCTCGACCGTGACCTCCAAGTCGCCGAACGCCCGCGTCCACTTCTCGCCCTGGCCGGACGGGTCGACCTCCTCGTCGAAGAAGAAGCCCATGCGGTCCTCTGGCCGCGCGGCGAGCAGGTACGGCGCCACCTGCGCCAACAGCTTGAACTCGCGGCCGACGACCCCGGCGCCCGTGTCGATGCCGAAGGGGCTCGCGCCCAGCGCCCCGTACGTCCCGTACGACAGCCACACCCGCCGCGCTCCCTTCTCGTCGCGCCGCTGCTCCGGGATGAACAGCGGGTTCCCTTGCGCCGTGTAGTCCCGGCACACGGCCTCGTAGTCGTGGGAGTACAGGTCGGGCGCCAAGAAGTCGAGCGCCTTGTTCTCGGTCAAGATTGTGTTGTGCCGCCAGATGTCGAGGACGTGGGGGCAGGGGCCGCCCGAGGGATACACGCCGGGAACGGCGCCGCTGCAGAGGTCGAGGTCGGACGAGTCGTCGGAATTGAGCCACGTATTGGTGTACATCGGGATGTCATACTCTCTCTTGCCCGCGGCGGCCACGCGGCCGACGTACGACGAGATGTGGTAGGCCATGAAGGCTTCGTCGGCCGCCGGGCCGCCCCCAAAGACGTCGTTCCACGAGTGCGCGCCAGACGCGAGAGGCTCGGCGAAGCGCGCCCTGAACTTGGGGTGCAGATCGGCCGACCGCCGTGTCAGGTGGGTGAGCAGGCCCTCCGGCACGGGTTCCGCAAAAGCCTTGTCGGCGCGGCGGGAGCGGTCGCGCGAGTCACCCAGCAGGCCGGTCTCGTTCTCGACCTGGATCATGAGGACGGTGTTGTGCTCGGCGTCAACCCGGGCAAGGTGGCGGCACAGCTCGGCGAAGGCGCGGGAGTCGGCCCTGCACCCCTCTTCGCTGAGCGGGGTGACCATCTCGATGGTGCGCTTGACGCCGCCGGCCTCGAGGCACTGGACGCGGGGGAAGCGCTTCGTGTCGCGCTTGACCCAGTGCGGCGCATATGTCGAGATGCTGTTCTTGTAGGTGCCGAACCAGAGGAGCACGAGGTGCATGTCGTGCTCCCGCGCGCCGGCCAGCACAGCGTCGAGTTCCGAAAAGTCGAACCGGCCCTCGACCGGCTCAATGTCCTCCCAGGCCACGGCTCCGAGCAGTGTGTTGATGTGGTTGGCCTTCATCGCGGGCCAGATCTCGGCCATGAAGCGCGCAGAGGACATGGAGGAATTGTGCAGCTCGGCCGAGAGCATGAGGAACGGCTTGCCTTTGAGGATGAGCTGGGTGTTGCCATTGCTGCGGCGGAGATGGGGGGGCCGTAATCCTGGGGATTTCTCGAAGGCCGTCATCGTGGGCGAGAGGTCGATGATTCCGTGTAAGAGCAGCGTGAAGATATCAGAGAGAGATGAAGAAAGGGGTGTTGCATGAGGGACAAAGACGGAGGAGTATGGTCGGGATAACAGAGTAGATACGCTAGAGACGGCCTATGGTAAAGCCTCGCTGGTTGAAATAAGCCCAGATGGCCTTCGAGTGAGCATGATATCATCGGGCTGCTTCTACGTCGCCGGACAGCTTTAGGAATGGTCGCCGTTAGCACGGCCTCTGTTTGCCCTTTACTTCCGACGGCGGGTTGCTTCTGATACATTCGTCCACATGGGATACCGCCCGCTTGTCCACTTGAATCGCTTCAGACCGAGAGACTCCCGCACATTTGCGGCTTCAACCGGGGTGTAGCAAGATCGCCTGATGAGTAGGGCCGATTTACATCCCCCCCCCCCCCCCCTCTTCGGCTTTTCTTCGCAAGACCAATAAGCTCATGCATGAACCGTACGTGTGCTGGCCCGAGCCATGTTCTACCGGTACTAGAGGACACAAAATAGCTGCTGGACAAGCGTGTAAGCGTCCCTCGCAGTCGATACACAGCGTCCGGCCTAATTTAGGTTTGTAGGATAGTGCTGAGCCCCGATATGAATCTAATCTCGGAGATACTTCGTATGTTTTGAGCCCTTGGCCCTCTCCCCCCTCGTAGCCCGCAATGATACCGTACCCGGTTCCCGAGTCTTGGGAGAAGAGCTACCCCGCAGTGCAATATAACGCAACGCACATGAGAACTATCGGATGGATGCGAGGAGTTACAAGGTTTTTGCTTTCAGGCGACCACCTCGGAAATGATAGCCGTCCTCGGTCCTCTGGGGAGAGTTGGTTGTTTTATATTAGGTAATTATATTTGTTAGTATCACAGGGATCGCAATCAAGGTAGCCGCAATAGTATTAATTAACTATTAGTAGCTAGGGTGAAGATAATAATAAAGGAAAAGAGAAGAGGTTGCTGCTGTAGGTATTTATAGTAGTGTAAGTAAGCCGCTAGGGTAAGTTACGTAATAGTAAATTACATAACTATAAATTAGCTTTACTATTAAATAGTTAAATATCCTAACACTAGTAACTTTCTAAAGTAAAGGAAAATTACTATAAATAGCCTAGATACTACCTAGTAGCTAAAAAGCTTAAAAACGTAATAAAAATTAAAAGCCTAAAAGTATTTAATACTTTTTGTCTATATAATTTATTATATAGCTTAAGAAACTTATCCCTTTATACTAATCTAAACTATCTTATTTCTAACTAGTTATTCTAGTATATTATTAAGTAATAATTTAGTAAATTTATTAGTAGGATTATTATTACTTTATATTTATTATACCTTATAGACCTTATATTACTTATATAACTACTAAAGGGTTATAATATTAATTATAAGCCTTTTTTCTTTTATAGTCTTAAGCTTAATAAGGTACTTATAAAGTAAGTATAAGTTAGTATAAAGGATTATTAATATATATAGTAGCTTAAGGTAGTTAGTAATTATTATAATAGTTATACTAAGTATATAAGTAATATTAGTACTAGTAACTATACTATAGATCTTAAAGGCTAGTACACTTTAGGTAACTTACTTATACTTTATTAAGCTAAAGTAAATAATATTACTAGTTATAGTAAATTTATTACTTATAGTAGTACTTATAGATACCTTATTAGTAAGAATAATAATAAATCCTAGCTATAAAGTAAAGTCCTTATTATTTATAAATAATCTATTTATAAAGATAAAAAGCTTTATAGATTTAAAGTTAAGTAGATAAAATAATAGACTATAGTTAAGGTTATTTATTTACTATATAATATAATAGTTAAGTGCCTTAATCTTATCTATATTAAGTAATTAGTATTATACTATAATAAAGTAGTTAAAGTATGCTTTAGGCTAGTAGACTAATATAATATATATACTATAGGCTTATTACTTAACGTACTACTTAAGTGCTTATAGAGATTCTTTATTAATAAGTTAAAGTCTCTTACCTTAGCCTTTTTATTAGAGAAAGAGCTTCCCCTTAGTAGTTAGAGATACTACGCTGCTATTAAAGGTAAGCAGGTTATTAATAGTAAGGATTTACTTCTTCTTAGTAGTAAATATAGCCTTAGTAAGCTTATTAGCCTTATAGGTAAAAAAGGATTTATTTAAAAAGGTAATAGTATTATTAGTCTATATACTAATAATCCTAAAGTCTAGGCTCTTTATATTAGTAATTAGTAGGTATAAATTAAAAGTTAAAGTCTTTATCTAGAGCTTTTCTTTATAGTAGTAACTATATATTACCTACTAGTAAGTGCCTACCTCTATAATACTATATAATAGCTTTACTACTTATATAATAGTGCCTTTTAGATAAAGGTTCTATATCTATAATAGAAGGTATATAAGAATTATATAATTTAATAAGGTAGTTAACTATATATATACCTAAGTAATATTATATAACTAAAGTAAGAAATTATTATTATTATAAATAAGAGATAAAGTAAGGGTAAGAATAAGGCGCTAGCTAGCTTACTAGATTATAAGTAACTAAGTAAGAATTACTTCTTTACTATTATTAGTATATCTTTAGATAACTAGGTAGGATTTCTTATATAGTTTTTTATTCTAGCCTTTTACCTTATTAATAATCTATAATTTAAATATTTATACTTTAGTATACTTATTCTTATTATATTAAATAAAGTAAAATACCTTATAGGTAATAAGCCCTTTAATCTTAGTAGTAGTTACTTACTTAAAAGGCTTCCTTAGGGTAGTAATAATACTTTTTTTTTATAGTTTAATTAATAACAGTTAGTTAGCTTCTTTCTTTATTAAGATATACGCTATACTTATAGTAGTAAAGAAGGTAGTAGGCCTAATAGTAAAGCTAGTTTTATTAAAGAAATTAATATACCTCTATAGGCAGCTAGCTTTTTACTTTAGCTATAAGTATATAGTAATAGTAATACTATTATATATTTTTTTAATAAGCGTAAGGATGTTAGTAGGTAATAAGGCTACTACACTATTATTATTATTCTTTTTATTACTTTACTTACTTACCTTAAAAAGTAGCTATTATTACTTATTATAAGTATCTTTAAGGTATAGTTTAATAATAGTTAAATAAAAAGTTTATAGGCCTTAAGGGAGGTTAATAGTATAAGTAGTCCTATTACTAGTAATAAGGCAAAAGGGGCCTTACTAGCCCTTTTTCTTATACTAGATACAGACTATAGATTAAAGCAGAAGGGCTACTATTATAGTAGTATCTAGGCTATTATATATAGTTACTACCTTATTAACTTACTTTTTTATATAAATCTAGTAAATAGCCTTTATTACTTTTCTTACTACTTTAGCTTTTTTAAGTAAGGTTAGTAAAGGTAGTAATAAGTTAGAGATTTATAGGTAGGCACTAAAGACTAGTAGTATAGGTACTAGGCTATTTAGGCTAGCTATATTATTAATTACTTTAACAGCTAGCTAAAAGGTAACCTTAGGTATATAGCCCTTACTATAAAGGATATTATATGTATATTAAAGGGGCGTATAGTATCTTTTAACCTTACTAATACTATTATAAGCTTTAATTAGTATTTCTTTAATATTAATATAAAGTAACCTTACTAACTACTTAAATTTACTAGTATAAAAGTTTAGGCTAGTATTAGTAATAATCTAGTTAGGTAGGCTAAGGTAGATATTAATTTAGTATATCTAAAGTGCCTCTTATATATACTTTATAGTAATATTTTTAAGTAAACAGGCTACTTAGAAAGGTATTATAGTATTAACTATATATAAGGCTAGGTAGTTACTATTAAGGTAGATAATATTAATAATAATCTTATAGTTAAAGTTATATTTATTATTATATAAAGTAAATTTAAAATAACTAGGCGCCTTTATATTTATCTAGTAGTAGTAGTAGACCTTAGTTAATTTCTCTTAGGCTATAATCTTAACTTTATTACTAGATTATTAAAGGACGTAATAGAGCCTTTTAACTAATAGGTAGCTAAAGTAATAATAAATTTACTATAACTTAATATCTATAAGATAGTAGTAGGTAATATTTTACTTATATTAATTAAGTAGTATCTATATATAGCCCTATTTATAGACAATAGGTATAATAGTGTTACCTTAGATTAGCTTATTAGTAAGGTTATTAAATTTAATACTATACTAATCTATATTTATAAGGTAAAGTAGAAATAAGGTGTTTAATAGTATTATATAGAAGGTTAGTGTACTAAAGGGGGTTAGTACGTTAATTACCCCTTATAATCTAAAGTAGTTACTACTACTAAAGTAGATTTTTACTTTACCTACCTATAACTTATCTATAGCTAGATTTCTTTTTATTTAGTAGTAAAGGGCAAAATACTACTTATATCTAGCTGTTAAATATTTAGCTACGCTAGAGTTAGGTATAATACTATAGAATAAGATAGATAAATATTACTTATTAAGGGTAAAGACGTCTACGTTAGGTAGCTTATTATTATATAAATTCTTATGTAAGGAGTTATTTTTTATAAGAAAATAGGTTATAGATTAGTTATATAGTAATAAAAAGAGAGTAGGCCTATTAATAGTAAATAAGTTAAAGAACGTTATTAACATATAAAACGTAGTGCCTAATTCTTTATTTTTATTACTTTTTATATAGTTACCTTTTTTATCTAAAGTAAATAGCTTATATCCTTTAAAGTTAGTTATAAAGTAGTTAAAGGCTTTAGGTAAAAAGTCTGTTAGATACTGCTTTTTATACTTATAGTAGGCTTATTACCTTTTGTCTTTTAAGTGCCTTATTAACTAATAGTTAGGCTTACTATATATATAGCACTTCTTTATAAATAATAATAAGGGTAAAGGAAGTACTTATTACTATAGATTACTATTAAAAGGGCGCTATAGTGTAAAGTTACTATAGCTATAGTTACGTTAGCTAAATTACTAGTAACTTTACTAGCTGTTATAAGTATAGTTAGTCTAGTATTAATTATTTACTTCTTTAGTTAGGTATTAATATATAGGTTATTTAAATTATATTACGTTACTAATTACTAATTAGAGCTAGCTATACACACTAGTAAACATTAAAAATAGATTAAAAAAAGTAAAGAAGTATTTCCTATAGCAAGAGTTAAGTAATTAGTTATAGAAGGCCACATTAGATAAGGTACTAATCCTTATAACTATTCTTATAAAGGTAGTTACTCTCTTAATAAGTAACTTTAGGCATTTAGCCTTACTTTTATCTAGATTATCTAAGATAGTCCTTATTAAATTAGTCCTTTATAGCTTAGTAAGGTAGGCCTAAAAGGTCTCTTTATTCTTAAAATTACCTCTTATTTATATAACTATAGTAATAAAGTTAGTCTAGTTATAAAGATAGTTAGTATAGTACTTTATAGCCTTACCTTTAAGTATAATAAAGAAGGCGCTTATAAAGTGCTCTTACTAGATCCTAGCCTTTATATAGTAGTTATAAAAGATTATAAGCTTTAATTTAAGTAACTTATATGCCCCTCTGCTATACTTTATCTTATTAGGGTATAATTTAATAAGGTTAGTAAGCTAGTAAGTTATAAGTAAGGTAGTAGTAACTAGTGTAACTAATAGGTAAAAGTAAGCGTTACTTACTTACTTAAATAGTAAAGGAATAAAATTTAGGTTATTATATAATAAGGCTAGATTAATAGGCTTTTATTAACCTTTCTAGACTTAAGCGACTTATACTAAGGGGGTAATAATATAAAAGGGGCCTAGTTAATCTTATATTAATATTATTTCTAGTAGTAGGTTTATAATATTTTATATAAAGTTAGGTTTATTAATCTTTAAGTAAAAATCCTTACTCTTTTTTTTTCCTTCTTTAATATCCTTAAGCGTCTACGCCTTTAGATTATTAGCCTTAAGGGTATAGTAGATTTATTTAGTAATAGTTAGTAATTTTACTATTAATACCTATATACCCCTATATATTAAGTAGTCTTTAAATTTAATAATAGTTTTATAAGTAGTACCTTTAAAGGTATTAAGTAACTATTCTTTAAAGTCTTTAGTAGTATATCTTTATAGCTATTAACTATATAGCTATATAAAGCTATATTATATTATTTAGAGTATAATAATAATACTTAAGGCATTATATTACTTAACTTAGGTAAGGCTATTAGGAATATTAGCTAAATTAGTTATACCTTATAGTTATATAATAATAAAGGGCTAGCTACACTTTAAGATAAAATATAGATCCTTAATATCCTATAGATAAATATACTCCTTTACTTTAGCTAGTGCCTATAGTTTACTTTACTTTTTACTTAGTCCTTCCTCTACTATTATTACCCTCTATTAGCCTTACTAACCTCTTAATTATAGGTACTTACTTTTTACTTATAAGGTTAAAGGTAAATCTATATATTAGAGGAATTACTACTATTAGTATAGATAATAATAAGATAAGTAGATAAATAATATAATATAAGGAGGTATAGGTAAGAGATAAAGTAAATAAAGGGATAAAATAATAGATAAATAGATAGTAGTAAATAGCTTTAAGGAGGCCTTATGCTTTAGTAATATAAAGAGATAGCTCTAGAGAGGCCTTACACTAGATCTTACTTAAAGAACAAGGGGAGATATACGCTACCTCTAAAAGGAGATATATATAGACTTTACCTTTTAGTAAGCAGGATACTATAGTTAAAGATTTTTAAAAAAAGAAAGGTAAGAAGTTAAGGTTATATACCTTACTTAAAGGTAAATAATAAGTAGTCTTTTTAAATTAATTAGGATAATAAAGTTAAGTAAAAGTTATATTAGTTACTAATAACTATACCTTACTTAAAAAAGAAGAGAAAGTAAAAAGGATAGTATAGTTATTAATAGGTATTTAAAGGATAAAAAAAAGTAAGTAAATTAAAGTAATATAAGTAACTTTTACCTTTTTTACCTTACTTAAAGAATAAAAAGAGGTATACTTACTAAGGGTAACGCTTAGCTACTAACTATCTAGTTAAAGAAAAAAGTTATAATTACTATAGGCTATACCTAGCTAATAACGTAATATTAGAAGTATATAAAAGTAAGGTTAGTAAAAGCTATTTATTTATAAATACTATATTAAAAGTAGATTACTTAGGTAGTTCTTACTTAACTACTTTATAGCTAGTCCTACTAGTAAGATCTTATTTAGATAAGAACTTATAGAAGTCTATTTACTTATAATCTTATATAAGCTATTACTACTATAGTAAGATAAAAACTTAATAAGATAAAAATCTTAATAATTAGAAAAAAAAAAGGTTAAAAAATAAAAAAAAAAGAACTTAAAGAAACTTAGGTATAAAAAAAAGATAATTATACTAAATACTATAAAGGTTATTAGTAAGTAAGTAGTATATAAAGAAAAAGACTTCTCTAAAAGTAATAAAGTTAATAGTAGTAATAGTAGTTATTACGTAGCAGACATAAGGCTTAAAGGGTTATTTACTAGGTATTATAAGATCCTAAGTACTAATAATCTTTAGGCTAGGTAGCACTTTAATACTTTAATCTAAGCTACTATAGTAAGTAAAGTATTATAGCCTTTTCTAATAATCCTTACTAATCTATAGTAATAGTAACTATAAAGTTAACTACTAATTAGTGTTAGTATTATAGGGATTATAATTAAGGTAGCTATAATAGTATTAATTAACTATTAGTAGCTAAGGTAAAGATAATAATAAAGGAAAAGAGAAGAGGTTGCTGCTGTAGGTATTTATAGTGGTGTAAGTGAGCTGCTAGGGTGAGTTACGTGATAGTAAATCACGTGACCATAGATCGGCTCCACCATTGAACAGTTGAATATCCTGACAATATTCTTTTACGTCTTGAACAGAGACCGGCCTGAATACGTATCTCAGTAACTTGATCCGCTTTCTGTCTCACACACACACACACTCTTTTCCTCCTCCTTCATTGCCTGCTACTCTGTGGGCCCTCAGCTATTATGGAGGGCCCCGGCCAGCAGTCAATATCGTCCAACTTCCTCAGCAGCTTCTCCAGCTTGATCCTCGCGCTCTCGCTCACCAGCCTCTGCGGGCCGCCCTCGCCGCCAATGTTCATCTGCTCCAAGTACGCCGCCCCGCAGTCCCGCAGCTTCGGGATCAGGCTGTTGCCGTTCTGCTCCAGGACGTGCTGCGGCACGCGGTACAGGATCTCCAGCAGGTCGTCGACGATGCGCTGGTGCTCGAGCGCGCACGTCTTGACGGCCGACCCGAACTTCTGCAGCAGGTTGGAGCGGATGTTGAGGCTCGTGATGAGCAGGTTGGCGATCTGCGTGTCGTGGCCCTCCGTCACGAGCGGCGGCCGGGACAGACCCCCGCGCCAGCGCAGCTCCGGGGGGAAGTTGTCCATGATGGCCTGGATCCTCAACAGGAAGTGCTTCAGCGCCTCTTCCTGCCCGCCGTAGAGGCTGACTGGCGCCGTCTGCGCCTCGTGCCACGTCAGGAAGAGGTCGCTGAGCTGGTTCAGCCCCGGAACGTACGACGTCGTGTCGCCGTGCCACGGCGGCAGTTCCGCCGTCGACAGCTGCGGCCCCGTGTCGAGTTGCGAGTCCGTCAGGGGCAACGGGCGCAGGTGGGCGCGGTTCTCCTGGTGGGAGACGAGGCTCATGGACAGTTTTCCGAATATGTCTGCACTGCTGCAACAAGTAATGGATGTCAACGGTTGACCGAGGGCTGTTCTCCATCCCATTCCCAGTTTTCCGTGGAGGTATCAATACGTACGTGGGAGCTTTGGGAGACGGTATGGGCTTAGCTCCCATCGCTCACTTACCAATATGCCGCAAACAGCAGCCAAAAGAGCCGCTTCAGCAACTGCTGCTCAGACATGTCCAGATCCGCCATGCGGTAGTAGACCAGAAACCTCACCCCCGCCGCCGCCTCAGACATGCCGTGGAACGACCCCATATCCCCGAGCCCGTCCTCGTTCATCGAGCTGGCCGAGGTGCCGATGTTGTACATGGTGATGCACCAGTCCAGCGAGTACGACGGCTTCCTCAGCCCGTGGTCGAGGAGGCGGTGCTCCTCGATGAAGTCTAGGCACCGCTCCACCGTCACGGGGCCGTAGTATGTCCGCCGTAACGTGGCCGTGGTGGCGGCGCAGACGCTCACCAACAGCGCGCAGAACGTGCGGTCCGTGTTGGCTTCGCCCGCTCTGAGGCGGTGCATGAGCCGCCGCCGGTGCAGCACCGGCGCGAGCGCGTGGACCTTCTCGAACCAGTCGTCCAGCATGCGGTAGACGAGCTCCTCGGGAGCGAAGAGGGAAAGCCAGTCGCTGTGCTGAGCCGCGTTAGCGCTCGGCGGGCCAATGATGGCGCGCAGGTCCGCCGCTGAGCGGCTGGCGGTGCCGGCAGCGGCAGCGACGACGACATGGGACTGAGTGAGAGTGCGAGACTGAGGTATCTGAGCGGGGTATGAGGAAGTGGGTGAGGTCTGGTAGCTGAGACCTTGGTCCGGCGATGTGATATCTGATACGGATGCCGGCGGGCTCTGAAAGCTGGTGGTGGATGTCGCGGCAGAGCCTTGCTGCTGGATCCGGCGGTGCTGCTCTGCATGTCTGCAATTCTTGGTCAGTCTATGGCATAAAGCCAGGCAGAACCCAGCGATGCAGAGCCCGGAGTTGAACGAAACTTGTTCGGCGGCCCTCTTCGCCTCCGCGGCCGGTCATGTGTGCAACATATGTCGAGAAATGTGCACCCTTGGCATCGGCCTTCTCCCGGTCCGTACAGACACTGTCGACCATGTTAGTCAAGCCCGGTCTTTAGGTGTTGGTGAAGTAAAAGTGAACCGAGTCATGGCCGCCGGGTACTTGATCTAATGGAGTATTACGAAAGCAAGCACAGATGCTTGGGTAAAAGAGACAGGCGTATTGTATGAGAGATTCAGTAAATATCCTGACTCACCCTAACTTTACGGTCCCGGCAGGCGTCGCACGCGTTCTGGTTCCTGACGATCTTGGGCCTCGGCCTACTGCTACTATTGACGGGCGAGGTGAGATCCGTTGACGATGGGGAAAGAGGCCTGGTTGCATTCGGCGGTTGCGTTGCTCCGTCCAGCTCCATGGCTCTCGGATAAACTGGTCGCAGGTATTCTATCGGGTAGTCCAAGGCCGCAAAGGATGGGTACCGGTACCGTCAGGTTACATCATACCACAGCATGCAGCTCGAGCTTCGTATGCTACCTGGACGGACACATCAGCTGAAGCTGGGCCGCTCTCCTCCACCTCTGGGCTGAGGTACGCGGGCCCCTGTTTTGTTTCGTTCGGTGTGCTGGGTTGGTTCGTCCAGAGATCAGGTGTCTGGTCTCGATCCTGTGTTAGTTCTCCGGTTTGACTTGATCTGTCGGATCGGCTGTATTGTGGATAGAACTGGTCTTGTCAAAACGCGGCCCGCGTGGGTCACGGTTGTTCCGGTAATATTCCCGCGTTTGTGCTGTCTCGAAGAGTCAAACCCCAAGACTAATGAAGACTGGATAAATGAGGGGTTGAGGAGGGCTATTTGGGGGGTGAAACGAGAGAGAGAGCACATTGAAAGAAGCCGGTCCGAGGAGAAACATCGGGGCTTGTGTATGTCTAAAAGCATACCTACTGGACAGCCATCACATTTGCAGGGAAAAACCCTGCATCAGGCCGTTATGGGTCGAGTCGCGAACGGCATAGCCCCAGACGGCTCAAGAACTCTATTGTTGCCGCTTCTCCGTTACGGACGGTGGAAGTATGCTCCGGCGGGTGTTCTCGGCGATCATTGATGCAACTGAGTTATGCGTGCTGCTTACTGGTTGGGCCGAGTTCCCGGGATGCGCGTTCTCTATGACTCTATTCAACCAACCACGCCACTTCATTCCCTGCAAAAAGGATACCACCGGCACCAAAAGCGGCCATACGAGCAGAATCCCCCAGATTCCAATGCGGGCAGCTCATTATTGGACCCTGCCCCCCGGGCTTCGTTCTGTCCCCTCTTGTCTCTAGGTTCTTGATGTTTCGCCCCCGAGGCAGACCTGTCGGTCCACTGTCGATCAAAGCCTTGGATATCTCTCTTGGTAGACCCCGAACTCGTTTGCCGACTCCTTGCAGGAACAAATAGCAGTAGCTTTCGTTCTTCGAACCGAGTGGTCTGTTTGCTCGACTCCTTTGACCTGTGATCGGGTGTAGCACCTCGGCCATCACCGTTGCGGCGGTGGACTATCGAAGCGGGATCACTTTATGCACATCGAGCGGAGTCGACATGAACTCCACTGTAGGCCTTAAAGGGGCTGATAAAACCACAGAATTCACATACTAGCTTCAAGTCAGGCAACTTTTCCCACATGTAGTCTTGGAAGCTTACTTATGCTGCATTGGGTCAGTTGAAGGGCCCTTTCTAGCATGTTCATTACTGGGAAATCCGCTCCTTTGAGATCCGAAACCAATGCGTCATCGTAAACCCGTGTTACGATGAATGGTGGTTGTTTACACTGCGGCTGTTGTTCGATAGAAACGACTTCTTCGAGAGACGAAATATGGCCGGGGGTGAGCAAGTCCAACGAGCCATCAACATAAGCAACTTGCTGACTTGGCAATGAAGAGGCACCCTTGACTACCTCGAGCAATATTTCCGAGCTCCTGTCAGCAACAAGCTCAAGTACTGACATGGCTGATCTCACACCGTTTTTTCCACGAGCAAACATCCTGATTTTGTCCAAGAATTCCTGGACCCGAAGATCAACAGGTCTTGTCTTGAAATTGGTGGTAGAATCACTGAGACCCCGTGAAACGCAATTCCGTGACAAGTGATGATCTGCGTGAATGTAGGATCCGGTCGATGACAGCAGTGGTGCTTGTTCCGCCTGGCCTTTGATTTCCCTTGATTGATAAATAACGCCCGTAAAAGCAGCATGTTTCGCCATGCCTCAAGGTAGCTTATATTGCCGGATTTGAGGCGATTTCCAGCTTCCAGTCAACGGTTAGGCTTTTCTAGCACAGTCCGTATTGTTAACTGTTACGACTGCGTATAACACTTTTGCTGTTCTCATAATGGACGTGGATATTTAACCTTGATGGTCGTACCGAACTTGTCAAATTTTGACCTACAATGTAAGACGTGATGTGATGTTGTGGCTGACTGTGATAGGTTTGGGAATTTGTGTTCCGCCACAAAGTCCTCTCGACCTCACCCTTGATGATGTTACTCCTGTCACGTAAAGCCGTTACTGCGAGCAAGTGAGGCATATATTAGAACCCTTCGCTTCCAGTTCTGTTTTCTAATTAATAGCAAAGCTGATACTGACATTTCCTTTCCAAAGTACCTTTCCTCCCACTGAAGCAGTTTTAAGATCCTCCATACCATGTCCGTCGCGAACACAAAACAGCCCCCTGGTGTTATTGTCCGATTTTTTGTTGCCTGTCCGCGCAGCGGCTCTACACTACTCATGAGGGTCTTTGCTGAATCCCCTGAGTGTGGTGTCACCAGTCGATTGATGCTCATGGACAAGCCAGGTCCCGGGGTGCAGTACGCACCAAATCACTCAATCTTCCAGTATCCCGACCAGCATCCCATATATCAACAGGCGATTGACGCCAGAAAGCGGTTTCTCGTTTCTAAAGAAGAGCTTGGAAATGACACAACAAAGGGCGAATGTCTCTACGATCTGTTGCCCAGCGCCTCTGCATACGATATGGCTCGGTCAATTTTTCTGATCCGCAATCCCGTACGTGTGTTTGACAGCTGGAAGAGTCTGGGATGGACAGACTTGCAGAGTCTGATAGACTGCTATAACAATTTGTTCAGCATGCTGGATCGATCGGCTTCGACAAACATATCCTGTCTGCTATACGAGCGACTCGTCTACGACCCACATAAGGAAGTCGGGCGGATCTGTGCTCGATGGGGAATACCATTTTCAGATGCGAGGCTCAAGTTCACGAAGCCTTTTGGATCATTCCTCTTCAAGTCTGAAAGAGAGGAACTGATCTACGTCAAAGACGGGCCAGTCGGCATTTTCAAAACCGTGGAATCGAATTCGTCGATAGTCCAAGATGCGCCGTACCACGGCCTTCTCACGCGAGATGAAAAGGAACAGATTGAACGCACGTTATGTCGCCCTTACCTTGGCTGTTGGAAAGATAAAGAAGACCAACTCCGGGCCACTCTATCCGAAAGGGTGTGGTTTGGCTTTGATCTCGACGACACTCTCCACGAGTTCCGTTTAGCGTCTTCCGCGGCAACCGATAGATCACTAGAAGTGATATCGCAAAAGTATGGGACGCCATTGCATGTGTTGAAGAAGGAGTATTCCGAAATTCTCCGAATCAAGACTTCAAACGCATTTGCAGATGGGAAAACGTCCTTTGACTACAGAAGTGAGAGGTTTACTCTACTCTTTGAATGCATTTCGCAGACACTCGGTGCCACGTTTCTCGCACACCTCCTGGAGACATATGAGACCACTTAGTGAGATCTCTACAACTCAAATTCGGGGCTCTCAGTCTTCTCAAAAAATTAAAGAGATTAGGAAAGAAAACTGTGGTTGTTACAGAAGGCCCACAAGATGCGCAAGAACGTACTATACATCATTTGGGTATTGCTGAGCAAATCGACACCTTGGTAACAACAAACTCATTCGGCATATCCAAGGTTGACGGACTCTTTTCAAGGGTCCTACAACATCTCGGAACATCGTCTGCGGAAATGGTTTATGTTGGAGGCAATATACTTCGAGACATGGAGCCTGCGATGGCTGAAGGGATACTATGTATACACTTTTCTGAGGCGGCGAATTTCTCTCTTGACGACTATCCGCTGAGGATCAACACTTTGTCAAAGCTTGAGTATATTGTCTCGGAGTAGAGAGCAAAGACTGACAGTGGCAATAAGCGTATGTCGTAAGTATAGGCTTTAGGCGTCCTGGGTCTTTTATGTAAATTACCTGTTGCGATGTTGACCATCGCCTAGATATCGGCGGTATGGATTAACGCCGAACGGCCGGAATAACTACGGCCGATTTGCCGTAGATCCACCGGATTTATAGGGATATTACGCAGTAGATTTGCCGCGCAATCCCACAATAGTTTTTTTTCCTTTACGTATAATTCAGAACTAGTATTTACCCCTATTATTTATTACTGCCTATTAATACGTATAGTTAACTATATTACTAACCTAGTAAAACTAACACTAATTAGTAGTTAACTTTACTATAACTACTACTAAAAATACTATAGATTAGTAAGGTATTATAAGAAGAGGTAATAACGTTATTAACTACTTATAGAGGCCTAAAGTAGGCCTTACTAAAAAACGTTACTATAAATACCCTTATAACGCTATTATACTATATACCCTTATAGGTTAATTACTAAAATAATAATACCTAACCTCCTATAGTTAGTAAAGGCCTAGTAATTTATGTCTATATATATAAGCCTTATTACTTTATAAAAAGTACTCTTAACTATAAAAAACACCTTACTTTACATACTAACTTATTATTAATTAGTAACTATTTACTTTTTACTTTCTTTTTATTATAAGCCTATAAAGCTTACTAACTTTTTTTTTTAAATATTTTTTCTTATTTTTTTTTAAGTTATTTTATATTACTAATATAACAGCCTTTATTATTTATAAGCCTATTATAAGCCTTCCCTTTTTAAGTTTTTATTTAACTATAAGTCTTTATAATTACCTATACTACTAGTAGTAAATCCCCTAATAGATATATACGCCCTTTAACAGTAGTTAAGGGAAACGCCTGTAACTAAGAGGTAGTTAGGCTAATAGAGGGTAATTATAAGTAAGTAACTAAGATAAGCTACTAAGGTAAAGAAGGCGTAAGTAACGTATAGGGTAATAACGCCACTAGGCAGCCTAGGGTAATTTACCTTAAGTACGTGCTACTACCTAACATAGCTAAGTAAGCAGAGGTAATTATAAGTAAATACTAAGTGCTAGAAAGGCTAGAAGAGTTTATTCTTACTAACTAATAGCAGAAAGACTATATTACTAAGTTACTATAAGATCTTATAGCTACTAAGAGAAGGAATATACTTACTACTATTACTACGTTCTATATCTCTAAATATAAATACTATAACTACCTATATAGTATCCTTTAAGAGAAGGCGTAATTTAACTTTAAAGATTAGTTAACTAAAGACTTTATAGCGTTACTATATAAGGTAACTAAGGAGTTATATAACTACCTTACTAGTTAAGAAGTATAAATTAACTAATTAAAGAATTTAATAGTTACGTTATAACTTTATAAAGCTACTTATAATAATAAGTAAGTTATATAAAATAAAGAGATAATAGCTACTATTACCTATAAAACTAAAAGGTTTAAGAAATAGCTAATAGATACTAATTTCTATAAAGATATTACTAATATAGTAGTATTACCTATTAAGGCTATACTTATAGCTAAAGTAACTAAGTAGGTAGTTACTTATAAATTACTAGTAATTACTAAGGTAACCTTATATAATAATTTATTATTTATACCTCCTCTAGCCTTATTACTATAGAAACCCTAGATAATAGTAATAATATATAAAGCCTAAGTCTAGCTATGTTTTTTAACTATAGTAACGCCTACTATAACTACTACTATAATAAGTAAGTAAAGTAGCCTAACGCTAAGGTAATTAACAGACTTAATAAAGTTCTATATAAATAACCTAGGTTTAATATATAGTAGTAGCCTATATAAAACTATTAACTTAAAGTTACTGTTTTTCTATAACCTTTATGTCTATATAAGCATACTATAAAACTACTATAGCGTAGTAGTAATAGTAATACTTAAAGGGGAGCTATATAAGTATTATACTACCTTATTACTTAGTTATTTTAATAATTTTAACATAATAATAGTAAAGCTTAAATAACGCTTTAAAAGTAATAAAGTACACCTTTTACGCCTAGCTAAGCTTTATTATACCTCCTTTAATTTAATTACTAAAGAAAACGCTAGTAAAAGTAAGCTTAAAGTACTTAAGGCACTTATTATATAAATTACTTAGTTAGTATAGGTAACTACTTATAATAGCACCTTATATAATAAAGATTATTATAAGTAATTACTTACTTACTACTATAGTATACCTAAATACTTTATTACTATCCTTAATCTACTTACTACCTTTAGTAGCCTTTATATATAATTATATAGTAATATAGTAAATTTACTTTTTTACTATAAGCTATAGTTATAATACTTTACTAATAATAATTATAGTAATAACTAATACTAGGTTAACTATAAGTATAACAGCTAGTGTAACTATAAGGCAGACCCCTAAAGACAGTAAGGCTATTTATAAGGCCCTCTATAGTTAGCTAGTAGTAAAGCACTACCTAATAGTAATTTATCTAAGAAGTGCTTTATCTATAGTAAATTAGGCTATTAGTTAACTAAGCACACTAAGGAGAAATAATAAGCCTCTTTTATATAGTATAAAAGCACCTACTTTATATAGGCTTTATAGGCTACCTTTAGTTACTTTCTTATTAACTATAAGGGTAATAAGCTAATTTATCTTAAAGAAGTAAGTAAAAATAGTAAAACTTACCTATTAGATAGTAAAAACTATAAATTTACTACGTTTTTTATATTTACTACGTACTTTAGTAAGTAGTTAATTAATAGCTTATCTACTTATAAAAAGTTATATAACTAGGTGACTTTTTATACTATTACTTATAAAAATCTATATAAAGAGGTACTACTTAATCTAACTATAAAAAGTAGTAATATTTTTATATTTAATAACTACTACTTTATATTAATATTTTAAGGTATTATACTTAACACTAGTGTAGCTAAAGTATTTATAGCTAGCTAATAATAGTACCTTACACTTAAGAAACACCTTAGTAAGAGGATCTTATTAGATACTACTTATACTAGTAAAGTAATAATTTACTTTAGTAGTAAGGATTACTATAAATCCCTTAGTGTAATCTATATACTTATACTAATTAGTAATCTTGTTTTTTATATAATAATAAGTAATATACTATTTCTCTTTTGCCTATAGGATATAGATTACTATAGCGTAAAATTTAATAACCTTACTAACTAGCTTATTAAGGACAAGATTATTATACCTATTACCTAAAAATAAGGCTACGTATAGATACTTTTAGAACTACCTAAAAGTACTATTATAGAGCAGCACCTTATAGATAGTAAATTACGCTAAATTTACTACTAATTTAGTTACCTATTAGTAAATTACTTTTATAAGCTACTTAAATAAGTAGGTAAATTAACCTCTCTTACTACACTTAAAGAGATTAATAAATACTACTGTTACTACTAACTTAACATAAAGACGCCTAGTTACTTTAAGTTTACACTACGTAATAACTATAAATTTAACTATAAAATTATTATTAATATAATATATTTAGAAGGTAATAAGCCTATACTTTACGTAGTTAACTTAGCTATAGCGTTTAATATAGTAAGATTCTTATATTTAATTACTATAGAACATACCTAAAAGGCACTATAGATATATTAGATTAATATATACCTTAGCCTACCTAATTAGATTACTACTAACACTAGCTTAAATTTTTATATAGCTAAATTTAAACACACTACCTATATATTATCTATTAAGGTTAATAAAGTGCTTATTAAGGCCTATTAATCTATTAGTAAAGTTAAGTAATACTATACTACCTTTTACTATATATATAAGATTATCTATATAGATAGTAATTATAAGCCTAAAGTTACCTTTTAATTAGCTATTAAAGCTATTAATAATACTACTAGCCCTAATAGCCTTATACTAACTCTACTTATTTTTAGGGTATACCCCTATATTATAAATAATTTACTACCTACCCCTTCTACTATATAGTGTGCTAAAGCAGTAAAAAAGGCTATAAACATAGTGTAGTAAATCTATATAAAGAGATAAGTACGTAATACGCTAGTAATATATAATAGCCTAGATATAATAAATACTATAGCGCTACCCCTTTAATTACTTATTTATATATAGTATAAGAGAGATAGCTAGTAAGGCCTATTTTACCTACTTACTAATAATAGTACTACTTATACTATTAAATTACCTTATAGCCTATATAATTTTTATATTACTATAGTAAAGCTATATTATATAGTATAAGAAGAAGGCCTATAGGCGCTACTGCCTATAATAGCTAAAGAAGGTAATAATCTTATATAAGTATAAAAAGGAGAGCCTATAACAGCTAGTAAATCTATAGAGGAAGTACGTAATACTATTATTATTAATAATAGGCTACCCCTATAATAAGGCTATAGCTACCTATAGAAAAACCTAATTACTACCTTCTTTTATAAGATATACCTTCCTATTAACGTCTCTAATATATACCTTACTATAAAAGAGGAAGCTAACTATATACTTACTATTAAACTATAAAAAAAAGGTATTATTACTACGCCTAGTAGGCCTTTTAAAGAATCTAATAAGGCAGAAGTAAAAGCCCTTATTAACTATAGTATATTTTATATTATTACTTATAATAAGAAAACGTATAGTAATATATAGATCTTTAAGTTATATATAGTATATAAGGTTAAAAAAAATAAGTAACTATATAAGAAATTATAGTTAGTTATTTAAGGTTATACTAATAATAGTAAGGAGATAATTCTTATATAGTTACTTATAATCTAATAAATAGCCTAGTAATTAATCCTTACTCTTACCTTATTACTTTTATAATATAGATTTTACCTCTAGTTATATAATATTACCTAGGCGTATACCTAATTTATAACACCGCTTAACTATATTATTCTTATAAGACTTCCTATATAAATTTACTATCTTTACCTTAGTAACTCTATTATAAAGGTAATAAAGCCGCTTTATAGTATTACTAAGGCAGGCACTTACTAGTAAGCTATATATAACTACTACTATAGAGAGAATCTCTAGATAGATTTATTAACCTTTAACCCCTACCTGCTTATTTTATTAGCTAATAATAAGGATTTTAGCCTTATTAGTATATAAATAGATAATATAATTAGCCTTATAGATAATAGATTCTCTACTTATAAGGAGAAGAAGCTTAAGAAGGTAACCTTTACTATAAAGCCTAAATAACTATTAACTATTAATAATTTTATTACTTTTAATAGTAGCATACTTTCCCTTAGCTATAATAGTAAAATAAATTTTTACTAAAAAGATTAAGGTAAGAAGCTTTAGCCTGTTAATATAAATTTACTTACTACTAAGTAAGATTTTATCTAGTAAAGGGCCTATAGGGCGTATATTATGTTAATTTACTAACCTAAGGCTTACTTTAACTATTTAGTTACTATATAACACTAAGAGCCTATAGAGGAGGAGATTAAGGCTCTTAACTACTAGATTAAGTAGTAAATAAGTTACCTTAACTACAGCCTGCTTTTTTAGCTAATTAACCTTATAACTATAAAGCTCTTTATATTTATTAATAGCTTATTTATAAATAACTATAATTTTATATTATAACTTAGTTTTATTATTATACTTACTAATAAAAGTAGTGCTATATAACTTACTGCTAATAATAAGAAATTTACACTTACTAGTAATATTATCTACTTTAGCTTAATAAAGTGTAAAAGAGTTATATATAGTATACTAGCCTCTAAAGTCTATAGTATAGTTACTAGCGCTAACGTTACTTATATAATTAGCACTACACTTATAATAATTACTAACTGCCTTAAGTTACTATAAATCCTAATAATCCTTTATACTAACTTATACTCCCTCTATAAGTGCCTTATAAAGCTTAGTACTACTAAAGAGAAGTAACTTATAATTAATATTATAGCGCTTTACTAGTTATATAAGTAATATAAGATTTATAAGATCTAATAGATATAAGGGGAGAATAACCTAGTAAATAGATTTATAAAGGTATTACCTAATAAAGCGCTAGAGTAGTTAATTAATAGTAGTTAATTAAAGATATAGATAAATAGATAGGTTTTATATATATAACAGGTTATATATATAAAAAGTATTAAATACTTTTTAGCCTTTTGTTTTTATTACGTTTTTAGGCCCTTTATAGATAACTAGAAAATAAGATAATTTATAACACTTTAGAAAGTTACTAGTGTTATAATGTTAACTATTGCCTAGATATTAGTAGTATAGATTAACGCTAAACGGCTAGAATAACTATAGCTAATTTACTATAGATCTACTAGATTTATAGGGATATTATGTAGTAGATTTACTATATAATCCTATAATAGTTTCTTTTCCTTTACGTATAATTTAGAACTAGTATTTACCCCTATTATTTGTCACTGCTTATTAATACGTATAGTTAACTATATCACTAACCTAGTGAAACCAATATTACCCTTTTAACAAAGTAAGTTAAAGCACCTACTTATAGCCCCCCCCTACATTTAGCCTACCTTAAAAACGATACTATTACAACACTACTACTTTATTTAATTAACTATTAACAACCTCTTAATACCACAATAATACAGCTTTCGGCCTCACTAGGTAATTCCAATACGCTAGATTTATCTAGCTCACTTTTAGCATCGCTAGCCGCAATCTAGGCTTACTGCACCTCCTTAATTATTACAAACTTTATATTTAGATCTAGTGTAACAGCCTTCTATTTTCTAGTTATACTATTAGTAACTTAGGCTTCTAGAAGGCTTATTTTTTACTAGGTAGTAGCTAGTATATATAACTACTCTTAGAAGCCTTTTTTAACCTTTCTAAAGAGCTAGCGTTATATAGTAATATTTTACTTTAGTTAGCTAAATAGTTAAAGTTAATCCTTAAGGTCTTTTACTTTCCTTAGTGTAGACTACTTTACACTAAATAGCTAACTATCTATACTATTAGTATCTTAAGCTTTATAGGTATCTCTAGTAGCTAGATTAAGTAGTATTAATAGTGTTAATAGTATTATTATTACCTTTTAAACTAGTAGCCTATTTATAAGTAGCTTTACTATACTAATAGGCTATAACTTAGTGTATTTCTAGCTACTTTTAATATTACTTATAGTTAATTTAGCTAGATAAGCCTTATAATAGTAAGAAATAAAGTTCTTTTTACCTATAATAATAGAATTAATTTACTAACTTAGATATCCTAGCTTTTTCCTATATACTGCCTTAATAAGGCTAAAGACTAACTAGTTAAGTAGCTAGAGGATATAGAAAATATATAGAGGTAAAAATAATAGATAGACGTTATTAATATAGTATAGCTATATAAACTTTATTATTATATAGCTCCTATACCTATTTAAGATAAGTAGTCTAGCCTAATTAGGCTAAAATAGCTTAGTCTAAAAGAGGAAGACCCTTTTTAACTATTTAATAGTAGTATTATTAGTAGTCTATTTATTCTTTATTACTATAAATTCCTATTTATTATATAGATTAAGATTAAAAAGGAACTATTACTACTAAACCTTCTTACTTTTATATATAACTAAGGGATAAAAAGTATTACTTTTAGTAAATATATACTTAATAATAAATACCTAGGCTTTTAATCTAGGCTGCTTTTTCCTTACTACCTATATTATAGCCCTACCTAGCACTAGCCTATTATTACCTTTACCCTTAAGGATACTAGTCTTATCTATATTATATCTATTAGCTAGGTTAATAGCCTAGATATAAGGTATAGTAAGATATTTAAACTAGTCCTTAATAACCTTAGTAGATACCTTATTAACACACCTTAAATTAATAGATTAACTTCTTTAGACCTTAATAAATAAGTTCCTCCTAATAAAGCTATCTACTTATCTCTTACCTATAGGTTAGGTATCCCCTATAGCATAGAGGATGTAATAAGTAAAGTCCTTAAGTTATTAATAGGTTAGTGGCAGCCTAAGGTCAGCCTAGGTAGTCACCTAAGTGGCCAGGCTAGCCTCCTAGGTAGCTAATAGTTGCTAGAGGTCTTTAAAGGTAACTAATTACTACTAGTAACTATTTATATAATACTAAAGTGTTAATTATAGTACACCCTATTACTTAGAGGTAACCTAATAAGATATACTACTTATAATATTAGTAATTACCCCCTTAACCTTATCTTTAGTATATTAGACTATAGGGTATTAAAGAAGGTATTCTAAAAAAATAAAGTGATTTAATGAAAAATTGAAAATGTTGTAATAGTTTGAATTTGGAGGTTATCTAGAAAGTCGGTGGCTGGGAGGCATTTTTGGGGTGGGCCAAATGCAGGGGGGGGCCATAAGTGGGTGCTTTGACTTAGTCAGCAAGGGGGTCCTTTATTGATTTAGGCAATCAACATTCTCAACCCAACTTTTTCTCTCCCGTTCCCGTCTCCACCGCTGTCGCGATCACTTTTCCTTTCGCCAACTGTGGATTTGTCCCTCTACACCAATCCCAAAAAGATCCATTCTAATAGTAAGTTTAAGAGGAAGCCAGTAGGATCCAGCCTACTGATAATAATTTAGGAATAAAGAATAAATGGAGAGCCGCCTTTTCTTGGGATTGAGTAGTGAAGTGGCTTGTTATTTCAAGGATTTAGAGGTGGGACAACATACTGATCCCAGGATAAAGGGGACGTGTAGGGAGGATGTTTACCTCCTAGGACTTAAAGCGCGGAGTAGTTTGCCGTTCCTGGGATCAAGGTTCGGGGGTCGACGTTACTAATCAAGCAGAACTTATTAGCTGTTAAACGCTGCAGCTTTGAGGTGAAACAAAGTGAGTTCCTGGGATCAAGGTTCGGGGGTCGACGTTACTAATCAAGCAGAACTTATTAGCTGTTAAACGCTGCAGCTTTGAGGTGAAACAAAGTGAGACGCCATTTCCTCTCTGTCTGTTCAGTCTTCGGCCACGATCCCTTTTCCGCAAGTCGTCTCGAGAGCTCGCACATGGAAAAGCCCAGGAATGGCACTCAAGCAGAAGGAAAGCGACGGCATTAACCACGTCAATGTTGCCCACAGCTCATCTGCGACCTCCCAAGGCGACAACGGTGCCATGGTACAGGCAGGTCCAACTCAGGAAGCTTTACCTCAATATGGTCTTCCTCTTCCTGGGATCTACAACGCTCGGGTACGACGCCAGCTTGCTGAACGGTCTCCAGACGATGCAATCGTGGCAGGGCTGTAGGTGCATTGGCAACCTCTCGTTTGGCTAGTTATGGGAACCGGCTCTCTTTTCTCCTTACTATGGCGAGAACTTCGGATGCGGTTATTCAGCTCCTGTGCTGACCAAGATCCTCGTGTGCAGACTTTGACCATCCCTCCGGAAGTCGACTCGGAATCATCGGCGCCATGCCCGGCTTCGGCGGTCTCTTCGTCCTGCTCTTCGCTCCCTACATCGCCGACGGTCTTGGCCGGAAATGGGGCACGGCCATCGGCTGCACCATCGTCATATTCGGCGCCCTACTGCAGTCCTTTCCCGAGGGCGCCGGCTCCAAGAGGGACGCCGTGTACCTCATCGGCCGCTTCATCGTGGGGGCCGGCTCCAATATCTCCAACGCCACTTGCCCCCTCCTGATCACCGAGGTCGCGCACCCGCAACACAGGGGCAAAGTCACGACCCTGTACAACACTCTTTGGTACCTCGGCAGCATAATCTCGGCATGGACCTGCTTCGGTACGCTAACTAACCAGTCCGGAAACATCCAATGGATGCTCCCCACAGGTCTGCAGTGCCTGATGCCGGGAATCCAGCTGCTGTCCATCTGGTTTCTCCCGGAGAGCCCGAGATGGCTAATCAGCAAGGGCAAAGAGGCCGAGGCTCAACGCGTCCTCGTCAAGTATCACGGCAACAACAACGAGAGCGACGAGTTCGTTCGCTGGGAACTAGCCGAGATCTCGACTACTCTGAGGCTGGAGAAGGAGGCTTCCTCGCAGAACGGATGGATGGAGCTGGCTCGCACCCCCGGCAATCGCAAGCGCTGTGGGCTCATTATTGCGACGGCTATCTTCTCCCAGTGCAGTGGAAACGGCCTGGTTTCGTACTATGTAAGTGAAAAAAAATAACAAGAAGAAGTTGTCAATGTTCCTACAGAGGCGTCTGCTGATACGACTTGTCCAAGCTTTCCGTCATTCTCGGTACCATCGGAATCAAAGAGTAAGCCGTACCCGTCCGTACCGTTTGTTGCTGTACGTGAAGCCTAACTGAATGCTCCTTCCAGCTCGGTCACTCAGTCATACATCAATGGCGGCCTTACAATCTGGTCCTGGCTCGCCTCCCTTACTGCGGCCTTCTTTGTTGACCGAATCGGACGCCGCGTGCTCTTCCTCTTCGCTGGCGTGGGCATGTTGGTTTCCTTCTCCATCTGGACGGCCTGCAGCGCGGTATACGCCCAAACCGAGTCGTCATCGGCGGGCATCGCCGTGGTTGCCATGATCTTCGTTTTCTACGGTGTTGCCGGAGCTGCCTGGCCCGGTCTGACCGTGTCGTACACGGTTGAGATCCTGCCCTTCAACATCCGCGCCAAGGGCCTCAACCTGTGCTTCTGCTTCACCGCGCTCAGTGGCGTCTTCAATCAATGGGTCAATCCTCTGGGTCTCGAGCAGTTGCAATGGCGGTTCTACTTGGTCTACGTTGCTGTGTAAGTCTTGTGGCCTAGTCTCTCTGTGCGGAGGAAAGCCGCTAAGAATTCTCCTGCATAGCCTTGTTATCGAGTGCCTAGTCATCTACTTCTTCTTCGTCGAAACCAAGGGCCCGACACTGGAAGAGATTGCCATGCTCTTCGATGGTGAGAACTCTGCGGCTGGAGCCGCCAGAGTCCACGCTCAGCAAAACGTCAAAGAAGTCGAAAAGACGGCGGTGGCATGAGTGTACAGCGGCCAGAAAGCATTCGTTTGACAATAACTAAAGAGCGCTTCAGTTTGGAATGGAGGGCGGTTTCACCGACAAGGCCATTGTAAGTTTGACTTCTGGTATGGATCCTAAAACGCTCCGCATAGAGTGAAGTTGTTTTTGATCACACATCCTATAGAAAATTCCGAAGTCGCAGTGGGTGGAACATAGAACATGAGCCTATTGTGATCAGAAAATCATACCCGTGCCACACCCCAACTGACTAACGGGATTTCAGAGAACCTCCACCCGCGTCAGCAGGTGCTCACAAGCCATATGTACAGACCATCTATTCGTTCACATAAAAACACACTAGATTTCTAAGAATAAGAGTCTTAGAATTAAAAGTAGTATAATAGCTATAATTAAATAAAAATTATATAATATAATTCTATAAGTTTAGTTCTATATTATAAGCTTTATTTAGTAAACTTAATACTAATACTATATAAATCTAACTTATACTATGTTTCTACTATATATAGTTACTGAAACTAGTATAAGCAGTAGGTATTCTTTATTTTTTAAAATATAGACGTACTTTTAACCTTATTCTAGATTTAATAATTACTTTCTTAGAGTTTTAGCCCTTAAGTAGATAGCAGAAATAAATCCCTTAGTTAAATAGGCTTTTAGTGTATCTTAGTGTTATAGTGCAAGTGTTTGTATGGGTGGTGTGCTCGTATGGCCAGTGAGCACCCGCTGACGCGGGTGGAGGTTCTCCGAAATCCCGTTAGTCAGCTGGGGTGTGTAGCACGGGTACAAGCAGGCCTCTCTTGGGCCAAAGATGTAGGTATTCATGCAAGCTTTTTGCTGGCATGGCTGCCCGTTATTTTTGCCAAAGCCAGTCCTAGATCCCACAAGGCACAGCATGAAACTAAACTAGATTTCATTGCATCAACATCCATGTCTATTAAGTAAGCTATTACTCATATATAACACTCTCCTACTATGGTATGATGGGTAAGTTTAAACTCCATAACAGGTAGTGTGGAGTTGTGACCCACGTATGAGAGACTCTCACTGGCCAGAATTATGATAGATGTGCACAAGAACCTCAAAGTACCGTCGCTGAAATAATCAAAAAAGCACGGCCACATTTACCTGACGAGGGGGTTAAACTTTGGCCTGATACCATAGTAAGGTTTTCAAAGTGTGTAGGGTAGGAGGGACTAGAGCGGTGCAGTGATTCAGAGAAGAGACACTAACAACCTTAAAGGCAACACAAGATGCTTCCTTGATTAGTGTAAACTCAACTTGATCGGAGCTTCCCTAGTCTACTCGATTAGACTGAGTCATCGGCTGATCGAGACAAGTCTTGCGCCGATCAGAAGAGTGACTCTCCTAATCGTCTTGCGTTATTACGTCCAATCAGTTAATTGTAGGAAAGGCTCAAGATTTAATCAGGCTAATAGGTGTTAGAGAAGGAAGAAAAGTTTAATAATGTCTCCCCTCTATCTATCTATATTCAAGCCGGTCTTATATCTTGAAGACCTAATCGGAATAGTAATTATTCTGCCCTAATTGCCTCCTAGTCCCCTCGATCAGAGTCACTTGCGGAATGTAATGGGCCTAACCGCCATGCCCTGTTCCAGTATCCTAACCATGGCGCGGCCATTGTCAAGCTGGTCTTCAAGCTCTCAGATTTGGAAGATTCATCAATTCAACACTGAAGCTCTCCAAATAGGTTAATAGCTCAAGGCACTGAGCTAGGAGCAGGGGCAGACGGGAACATCGATGACCTGGCCGACGGCGATGTCCGTAGCCTCGACATTCGGGTTTACAGCTTCCAGAACGAGGTAGTTGAGACCAAGTTTCTGGGCGATGATGTAGAAAGTTTCGCCTGACTGGACTGTCCAGCTAGCGGGCCCTTTGATGACACAAGGGGCGGTACCACCCGAGGAGGGCAGGCAGGAGGAGTTGTCAGGATCGCAGACGTCGGTCGGAACCTTGAGGGTAACGCCGGAGAGGACGTAGTTGGGGTCGCTGAGGTTGTTGAGCAAAGCGATCTGGCAGATGCCCGAATCGTATTTAGTGGCGATCGAGGTCAAAGTGTCGTTGGTCTGCACTACGTAGTCGATAATAGCGCCTGGGCAGGAGACACTTTTCTGCTGTTCAATTCGTTAATACAATGTCCCTAATTGTCACCGCAAATGGCTGTCGTAACTGTCGATAGCTTGGAGGAATTGTTGGGCGGAGACGGCAAGACTGGTTGAACTTACAGGAAGCGCGGCCACAACACCAACGGCGGCGAGGATGGAGAAAAGTCCGGAGATCTGCATTTTGATTGGTCGAATTAGAAGAACGTAACGAAATATTGATACGAGTTGGACGTGTAATTGAAAGTTGGTATTGGAACGAATGTTGTTTTTCAATGAGTGACTGGATCGAAGAGCTGGAGGCTGATGATGGTTCCAAAAGCCTTCGACGATACTAGCAACCATACTGCTACTTATACAAATCCTCGCCTGCCCCCGAGAAAAGAGGGAACCGAAACCTTGGATGTGGAGACGGTAGCATTCCGGATGCTTGCAAGGAACCCTCGGTAAGGACGGTGTGTTTGGGGAACTTGGAGGCTCATTGGGCTCTATGTGAAAGCATCTTGGTATCCAATCGTATCATAATTTTGGCTTTTTCTCCTAGGTCTCTTCTGACGAACCGGCACAGCCCCCTCCACAGGTAAACTCAACTTGCCGTGATTCCCTTGTGGAAGGAGCAGACTAGGTAGGTGGATTTAAAAAAGGGGTTTTTGCTGCTGCCAATTGGCGTTTTTCAACTTCGAATCAACATCATTAATTATCGATCAACCGATCAACGGATCAACAGATCAATCATCAATCAACCAATCAATCATTCAATTCTGTTGCCCCAGCTGCGTGGCCTATTTTCTTCCCTTACCATGGGGTTGGATTTCCGAGTCATCTCGGCCGTCGTCATGCCTTTGGCAAGTCAAACAGTGTAAAATTATCAATTTCAGGAACCATTGTGAATCGTGCCGGTTCTAAACCTTGGGGAATCCTTGTAATATTGCTCAAAGTCATAAAACGAACTAGGGCAACCTCTCTGTAAATTTGATAGACGTGCACATCTCTATAGATGTTGACTTTTATATAACGATACAATGATAACGCTGCCACTATATTCGTCCCTATCATATCCCGACTCCGCAATGGCAAAACAATGGTGTTCTTGAAAATATCAAAATTGCCATAGGTGCAAACCTGCACAACTGATTGCTATTGGCTTTGGTCTCGTAAGCAGACGGAGACGGCACTACACAACTGACTATTTTCTGAGAGATGAGAACACCAAAGGCCCTGCCAGCCAGGCCATCTTGATGCGGGGGCTAAGATGAAAAGCACAGCATCCATCCCTGGGGCAATCAATCTGAGTTCCAATTTCGCTTGGCGACCCCACGTCAATGTGCGCGCGAGTAACCACGTCATCTAACCTTCGGGTGCATGGTCGAGTATCTCTCTTTCACACCACTTTCAAACCATACTCCTGTTACCAAAGCTAAATCATACAGAGTATCAAAATTTCAGTGTTGTGTTCACATGTACGCCGGGCAATCTCTTGAGAGTTTGGTCGATACTGGAAGGTCTTCTCCACTCATCGCAAGTACAGTTCCGGGTACTCCCCAGACCAACAAAAGTTTAATTGGCTAAACTCAAAGATTCTCGGAAATTCCGGGTGTCCCGGCCATTCCGAAATGTACAATATGCAAGGCATTGCCTGTCCAACAGCTAAAACTGCTCAAGACAATAAGCCCCGAGGAGCAACGCCGCCGCCGTCCTGTGATCTAAAGGGGCCAAGAGGAAGGTTACCCTTAGACAGCCAGTGCACTTTTGTTAGGCGGCCAGTGTCTAACCCAATCTGGAGACACCGCCACTACCGCCAGATTTCCCCAACACAGATAAAATAATCATATTCCATCACCCTAACTCTAACTAAAGCAGACCCTAACCCAGACCCTAATCACCCTAACCACTAACCCTATGTATCTTCTATAGATATAAAGGTTCTCAAAAATACGTAGGGTTAGTGGTTAGGCTGGTTAGGGTCTGGGTTAGTTAGAGTTATGGTGACGGAATATGGTATTTTCCAGCTCCCATGGGGCAGTCCTTCCAGATCAGGTTAGACACTGGCCGCCTAATAAAAGTGCACTGGCTATCTAAGGGTTACTAGGAGGAAACAGGAACGGACTTTGACATCTGTAATTTCCATCTACATAGTAGGCCAAAAGTCTATTAGTATTGGATTGCTCCAAACTCGGAGGCGTGCTTCACACAAGGGCCCAGTTGTGCGATTCATGACTTCGGAGTTCCGCGGGCATACGGATACTTCTGGGACACTTGCAGTTAACATTTACTCCTATCCGTATTGTTCACTGTCAGTCGTGAAACTGGATGTTGCTCTACGCCTGTACTTCGCATACGGCACTTGTCTCACACACATAGTGCGTCACTGCCATCGACTTGGCGACGTTGAAGGCGTGCTGCAAGTGGTTGGAATTTTACATAGAGGAGGGCTATTTGATGATGGTCCGTAAGAAATAGTACACGATCCCCCACAACCAGTGATGTGCAGTTCGCATAGACACTCGCAAATCAAATTGCGTCTCCGCACTGGTCACACCCTGTAATTTCCTCATCTAGGTGATGTGTTACTTACCCAGACTATGATCAGCATCTTCGGCAAGTCCAAAAGTCCGTTCCACTGCAGTTGCTGCCGTCCACTGGGACGAATGAGTAGCTTCGGCACTAAGATGTAACTCTGACCGAGACACGTACTGCCAAGGTGACAATGGCAGTGGATTCAACGATAATCTCGACCCGGGACCTTGGGACCGGCTCACGCCCCGTTAGTTGCACTTCGGGCAACCGGCAAAACTGCCCTATTGCATTGCCCCGTCGCTCGAGCAGCATAACCCCGGCTATGATATCGGCTCTCCCTGATCAAGGACTAATCCACAGAATTCATTGCCAGGACCCTGCTGCTGCCGCTTCCATAACCGCTGCTTCAGTTACCGCGGGTGTCGTCGCCGGAGCTACGACACAATATGCACAACTGTTCAAACTCATCGACATTGTCTTCTCTTCAGTTCTTCGTGTTCTTTATATTGCCTATAGACATTGCCATTGTTAAATGGACTCTCGTACATGCAAATACTCGTAAACATAGGGGGTGAATCATTAGTATATTATTGACTGAACAATTATGTACTAACTGCTTATCGTACAAACAGTCATATATGCTCAGTACTCCCTGAGTTAGTTCAGCTAGATACAGTGTTTTCCCTTCATTAAGTTGACCAAGGGCCGAGTATCCGGCCTGTGCCCTTATGTGCTGAATCATGAACTAATCCTAGGTATCGGACGATCAGGTAGTATTAACATTCTAACAGCCATCGATTATACTCGACGGGTGCCCCAAAGCGGGAAAATCGTATCTATCAACACGAGGTCCAAGCGGTGACACCGGTCTCTTCATCTGGCAGTAATTATCAGCTGAAGATCCCGACAGTGCTCGCGACATGAATACTACTTGAGAGTACAAGGGCCATAGCATTTGGTAAATTTTGAACTCTGAAGACCTTACAAGATTATCGGTGAACGGTCCTCTTAGCCGTTAGAACACACCTAGACTGCCAGAGAGAGCAGTAAAGCGGTCGGGACTATGTGAGAAACTGGGCGACGTGGCTGCACTAAGACATCTAGTTGGGCGTCACTACTACCTTCAATCACTTGTTTGCTCCTAATCGTGATGATTGTCTGACCTTCGTTCCGCTCTCTGGTGGGCGCATTTGTCTCTACGCGACGGCAAGAGGAGGAGCCCGGCAGCATCTGGCCGAATCAATACTCGTACCAGAACTAGATCAGGGTCAAGAATGGCCGCTCAGGAAGACCAAACCTGGGTCGCCTAAATACATGCCAGAGAGTCATGGATTCAGTCATAAGTTGGCTCAATCAACGCAGCCTAGCGTCAAACGGTGTTCAAATAACAACACATGTCGTAATAGTACTTAAGTGCAGTTGTAGCAGTGACAACTGTGGTTCCACTTTTGTTATCACAACACATTTCTCTTTTGGGGCCATCACCTATAGCATGAACTCGCGTATTATTTTCGCCCGATTGAAGCATGGCGGTATTGTTGAATTCGACTAAATAACTTCCTGCCATCAGATCCAAAATCTGCCGGTCTGGGACTGGAGAAAGCGCGAGATTGTTCGACGAACACACGGCAACCAAGGCTTCAATATTACGAACCCAGTCTAAACTCAATGATAACGAAACCAAAGCGATGCACAGCTAATCTCATAGGCTATACCCACTGATGGCTTGCTCGCCCTGGGCCGCAAAAACACATCCGCAACTAGACGACGGAGTTGAGTTGAGGCTCGACACACATCATTGTTAGTAAGTGTATCCAACTGCCGACTCTTCAGCTTCTCCGCATGCGGGAGAAACCTCATCAGTTCTCCTCACTTCTCGGCTGCATTCCCGGAACTGCACCTTTAACCGCCCCTCCCCAGATCAGCCCCAACCCAGGTGTTGCGCACCAATCGGCATCCATCTCTGAAGCGGGCTCCTCGTTCCACGGGAGCGCCTTATTTGCGCGCAAGTGAAATGGGCAACTTGGCAATGCGGCAATGGTTCTTGTGGGTTGGTTTTGATGCGGAGGGCGAGTTCGGGAGAAGTCGCTTTGGGCCCATCGTCATGACATCAATTCCGAGCAGGCCAGCGAGTATAAAAGGTAGTGTTCATACAAGTGAGGTTGGGGTGTAGCCATCTGCCCAATGCTTCGGAAACCTAAACATGAAGCTTCAACTATCATCAGTGTTACTGGCGGTCGTCGCCACGGTCGTGGCGCAGGCCACCTTTTCAAACCCGGTCCTGTGGGAGGATCTTGCCGACATCGAGGTCATACGCGTCAACGACACGTACTACTACACGGCCTCCACCATGCACTACTCCCCCGGCGCCCCCGTGCTCAAGAGTTATAACCTGGTGGACTGGGAGTTCGTCGGAAACTCCGTCCCCGAACTCGTCTTCGGCGACGAGTATTACCTGAACGGCACCTCCCGTGCTTACGTCGACGGCATCTGGGCGAGCAGCCTGCAATACCGCGAGAGCAACGGCCTCTTCTACTGGTACGGTTGCATCCAATCGGGGGAGATGAAGACTTGGGTCTTCACCGCCAGCGACCCGGCCGGGCCGTGGACCGCGCAGCCGCCCATCAACGAGTGCTTCTATGACGTGGGAATCCTGGTCGACGACGACGACACCATGTACGCCGCGTATGGGAGGTATAACATCACTGTTGCCCAGCTCTCCCCCGACGGGCTGAAGCCGGTGAGGAAGGAGGTGAGCGTCAACTCTTTTCACCGAGGGCCAATTGGTTAAACTTATTGCTGATTCCCGTGACTAGGTTGTTTGGGAAGATTCGGTGCGGTATCTAGAAGGAGCCCGATTCTATCACATCAACTCGAGCTACTACATCTGGTTGACCAGGCCCGCCGATGGTCAGTACGTGCTGAAAGCGGATAGCCCGTGGGGGCCGTACACCGAGCACACGGTCCTCGACAGGATGGCATCCCCGATCCCGCACTCCGGGACGCCTCATCAGGGCGGAATCGTCGACACCCCCAACGGCGACTGGTGGTACATGGCTTTCCTGGACGCATACCCCAGCGGACGCATCCCGGTTCTCGCGCCGCTGACTTGGGATGAGGAGGGGTGGCCTCACATCGTGACGGACGAAGCCGGCGGCTGGGGCAAGACATACCCGGTACCCGTCGAGACCGACAAGAAGGTCAACGCGGCCGGCGAGTACACAGACACCTTTGACGGCCCCGCGCTCTCCCCTCAATGGGCCTTCAACCACAACCCTGACAACTCGGCCTGGGAGCTGGGCGCCGAAGGACTCACGCTCCACACGGCGACGGTCACCGACGACCTCTACAGCGCGCGCAACACCCTCGCCCATCGGATCCTGGGGCCCAAGAGCAGCGGCACGTTCCGCCTCAACCTCGGCAACATGGCCGACGGCGACGTGGCCGGCCTCTCCATCTTCCGCGACGAGTCGGCTTACATCGGCTTCCGGAAGGCGGGCGACTCCCTCGTGCTCGTCGCCGTGCACGACGTCATCGCTTCCGAGAGCACCGGCTGGCAAACCACTTCCAACGGCACCGTCGTGGCCACGGCGACCGCGTCCGACATTGACTTGTCCGGGGTTGCCGATGGGACTGCGGACGTCTACCTCCGCATCGTCGCCGATCTGCACCCCACGTTCGGGGTCGCCGCGAACAACCCGGCCCAGCTGCTGTACTCCATCGACGGAGAGAACTTCACGCAGCTGGGCCCCGACTACTGGTGCCACAACAGGTGGCAGTACTTCTTGGCCTTCCGATTCGCCGTCTTCAACTACGCGACGAAGGCACTGGGGGGCTCAGTGCTGGTGAAGGAGTTTACCCTCCAGCTAGTGGAGTAGATTCTATAAACTACGGTCCAAGATGTGTGTCCTCTGCCGTACAACGGCTCTCCTTGGGAAGGACATCAGTCAGAGTTCAATTTGCAGTGAGATGACGATGAGTAACGTGGCGTTTCATGTGCGATCAGAGGTTGACCTGTCAGCTGTGTAGCAATTCATATCCCCTGGCTCCCATCAGTACTCACTGGTTTGGTGCTTTACCTTTGAGGACGTCCGTGAACAGAGAGATAGTAACCTTCAGCGACTTCGTAGAGAATTTGGCGCCGGCCTCGTTCTCTAGTTGGCTCCCGGCCAGGAGATTGAGACTTTGGAGAGTAACGGTGTTGACTTGCTCATGCCCTGAGAGAAAAGGGGGGGGGGGGGGGTGGACAAGATGCCACAATGTATTCCTTCTGCAGTGTCAGCATGGCCCTTCCCGGAATTCCAAGGTAATCTTCCAATGATCTCCCGGCGAGCCATTTCAGGCACGTCGAATGTTTACTTCTTAGCACATCCATGGAGCATCCACACTGGGCGGCATGTGTGTCGGTCATAATCTGGAGTAACGTTTGGGTCACGTAGCTCCTAATAGACAGACAGGCGACATAACTACTGAAACGCCGCAAACACATGTGGAATGTACACGGGCAACGACAAGCCGTCCTGTATTATACTGAGACACTAACTTAATCAAACAAGAAGGGCATGTCGGCCCACCACAGAGAATGTCGAAGGTCGTACGTCGGCAAGGGCCGCACAAGTTAGTCTGCGCCGCCGGAACGTGAAGTTGGGGTCATAGCCGTAGGCTATCTTCTACCAGCGCAAGGAGCAGGAATGACGAACCCCCCCTCCCTTTAAGCCTGGTTATAGCGGAAGAATCCGAAATGCCGGCCAGTCTCAGCGGGTAGGGACCCGATGCCAGTGGTTACACGATACCGGCCGGCAGGGCGAGAATCTTTGTTAGCCACTAGCCACATGGGACGCATGCATCATTCCGTGTGCAGCCCACCCCTCCCCGGACTCGCAGGTAGCTCCAACCAGTCTTGGAACGAGACACCGGGGTCCGTTCTTTTTCCTTTGGCGATCCCATTCCCTCGAAGCCTTTTGTCTTCACGGGCTTGGCCAGGTTAGCAATGCTCTGCACCTCTGCAGGGCATGACACGCGGCATGACGCACGGCGAAGGCGGTTCGCATCGAATCAGAGTCAATCCCAGATTACTGTTATCCGTCTCTATGCTTCGGAATCATCGACAATATGGGGATGATCTCTCCAATTCCCGTCTGGGCTCCCTTGTCTCGCATCCAGTACGAGCCCAGGGCTCCGGATCGCGCCAGGTGCGCGCGTGCTGGGCCTTTGCCCTTCAAGCGAGTCAGTCCCGATCCCCAGACTATGCAGGACGCTGTCAGGTTACCCGGTGGCTGGACTAGCAATGCCCCGTAAGGCATGCCCGAAGCATGGCGTAATCGGATCTGTATCATCTTTCCCATCCTTTCATACGAAAGCAGAGCCACAAAAGGCTGATGATACGGGACAGAATGGGGGTTCTTTAAAGAGAGATTTGCCCAGCCTGTAGGGCTGGTTTGCTCTCTTGACAGTGTGCTTCTGTCCAGTATCCACGTAATAGGTCCGATCTGATGGGCAAGGGCCGGCCAAAAGGCTCTTGTCACGACACAGTCTTGGTTTCTATATTTATTTCAATGGGTCGGGTCTCTTCTGTTGCTGGGCGAAAATGGGCAAACTAGCAGGGGAGGGACTGCTTGTATGTACATGTTCGATCTGGTTTTTGTGTTCGCATCTCGAACTAACCCCCCGGTCCGAACGCGACATAGGTCATCGAGTGGACGCTCATCGGCATCGCCTTCTGCCTCATCCTCGCGCGGCTCTACCTTCGAATATTTCACCTCAAGTCGGGATTCGTCCTCAGCGACGCCTTCATCGCCGTGGCCTTCGCGGCCGGCGTCTCGTTGAACGCGGTCGACGTCACGCTGTACCAGAGGGGCATCTACGCTTCGTCCGTCGACTTCAGGATGACCACATGGGTGGCGTCAGAGGAGGATTCAGTTCGCGTCTACAGGGTACGTTGTCTGGTTGCAATCTGCGCCGCGCATAGCGCCTCGAGAGAGCCGAACACGCACAATCTGACATGACATGGGGATGCCACAGGCGCTCTATTTCTTGTATTTCCCGTTCTACATTGAACAGTACTGCAACAAGGGGACGCTCCTTGCCCTATACTATGAGATTTTTGGCAATGGCTCTGCCAAGATCAGGATCTCGCTGGCCTGCATCGTGTTGTACTGTATCGCCGGCTTCATCACGACCATCTGCATAATATTGTTCCTCTGCAGGTGGGGTTGCTACTGGTACCGTTTTCCCCTCCACTGGGACACGCCCATGGTTGCTGATCACCTGTTGCAGGTCTTACAGTCAGAGCTGCCCCCTTCGGTGTTGGGAAGTGAGCGACAATCTTGGATGGGCTTTCCACTTCACCTCGGACATCCTTAGTGAGTAGAATGCCCGGCACAGTCTCGCCTCTTGCTCACGTAGTTAACTCCAGTATTTATCCTTCCGCTCGTCTGCATCAGCAGGCTGAATATGTCGAAGGCGCAAAAGATCAGTGCCGGCGTTACTTTCTGCATCGGCTTGATCAACATCTTCATCACCATTGCACGATGGTTCGTGGTCCAAGCTGTATTCACGCCGGTGCCCGCTCTCAACACAGGCGGTAAGTCGACCGTCGTTCCTCGGCCCGATTCTACTCTCGAAGCTGAATCAAGTACAGAAGCTATGGCGGTCTCAGATGGGCACATTGGCCTCATAGTCAGCATCTTGCCCTCCCTCCGCCCATACCTGCGTATTTGGCAGAAACAGGCGGGGTCGCGGGGTTGGAAAATTGGCAGCCCATTCGAGGGCCGCTCCAAAGACGTAACTTTATCTACGTCTCAAGTCATGTCCACCGCCGGGACTTCCAGCAGTAAGGCCGAATACAAGGACCGTGCTTAATGGCCTGTCTTTGTGGGGATCCGACGTGGGCAGAGAGATCATTATTGTCAAGTCTATGCTCGTTTCTGGGTAATTGTTAGCTCAAGTGGACTGTTTCCACCACTAATGGGTTTAGAGAGCACCCTGCTGGGGTTTTGAATGTCAACTTATTACAAGCCCTACGAACATATATAGTATAAATAGGCACACTCATGTTTTGAACCCTGGCGTAGGTCTGTAATATTTATACAGGCAGATGATGTACATGGTCCGGTGTATCTATGGTCCTCCTATTATCGATTGTTTCGAAGGCTTGAGTGTCCAAGTCATACAACATGCGAACGAGAATAGTGTAAAGGTGGCCTTGAGAACTTATTCCGGAAATAGGCAATTTGTGCTGAATACTAAGGCAGCGGGTGACTGATTACCCACATGAGCCCCTGCCGACATCGAGAGGTCTAAGCATCTCATTTAGTTTCCGATCTGCTAATCAGCAGCTCTCATTGTGCCTCAAAGGGACCGACCCCCCGTCAAACCAGCAAGATTGGCCAGGTGGGCATCCAGCGGGCGTTTACGCAAGCCACAGTGACTGTTCTGAACGTCTCTTGAACTCTCAACCGGGGATTTCCGTCTCGGAACCCTGGCAGCTTCCGAGGAGAGATCCCTGTGTCATCCCCCTCTGCTGCGCCGGCCGGCTGGCGCAGTGATGCTAGTCACGCCTAGTCCATAGAGGGGGATTGCTGCTGTAAGTGTACATGCATGACGAACTCGTATTGTCGACTTTCTCTCGAGAGAGTCAACGTTCCAGTGACGACTAAAAGATTCACAATTGAACATAAGAGGCAGTTAAGAGCCATCAGGCCTCAGAAAGCGGCAAAAAGATGAGGACGGCCCGACTCGAACGGACAACCTTCTGGACTGGAATCAGAAGCGCTACCATTGCGCCACGTCCCCTCCGTTCGTTGCTTGTTGCTATTGCCAAGACCTCGATTGATTGAATAGTGGAGACGTGGAGGAAGTGAGGCTTTCAGTATGGTCAGGAGCGTGTGTGTGCAGCCGTTGTTTGTTGTTTGGGTTGAGGTGTGTGTGTGTGTGTGTGTGTGTGTGTGTGTGTGTGTGAAGTCGTGAACAAGCCAGGGCCTGACCGAGCCTCACCGACAGGTGGTGGGGGTGGTGGGGATGATGGGTTGTGCACACGGCCCCACACGCTTCTCGGAAGAACTTTTCCTCCGGCCGGGGGGGGGGGGGGGGGGGCGGACAAAGTCGATCCCTTCACCGAGGTGAGGTGAACGAAGCATGGGCGTTGTGCATTGCGCGCGCGTGAACCGACTCCCGTAGCTTCTTCCATCGCATTTTCCACACCTAAACCACCACATAAGAGAGAACCTCGGACCAATCCTCCTCCTCCTCTTCAACACATACACCACCTCCAACCGATAGACTTGCTCGATTGAATAGACGGAACGAAAAAGAAAAACGGAAAAAAAGTCGAAAGCGAAACCACCACCACCACCACCACCAGCATGGACTACCAGAACCGCGCCGGCTCCAAGTTCGGCGGCGGCGGCGTCGCCTCCTTCTCGGCGACCAACGCCGACCGCCGCGAGCGCCTGCGCAAGCTCGCCCTCGAGACCATCGACCTCGACAAGGACCCCTACTTCTTCAAGAACCACGTCGGCTCCTTCGAGTGCCGCCTCTGCCTCACCGTCCACCAGAACGACGGCTCCTACCTCGCCCACACCCAGGGCAAGAAGCACCAGACCAACCTCGCCCGCCGCGCCGCCCGCGAGCAGAAGGAGGGCCGCGGCCAGAACATTGACCCGGCCACCGGCCTGCCCGTCGGCGTCGTCGGCGCCGGCTTCGGCGCCGCCAACGCCCAGCGCCGCAACCTCATCAAGATCGGCCGCCCCGGCTACAAGATCACAAAGGTCCGCGACCCCGTCACCCGCCAGCAGGGCCTCCTCTTCCAGCTCCAGTACCCCGACGTCGCCCCCGACGTCGAGCCCAAGTGGCAGGTCATGAACGCCTTCACCCAGCGCGTCGAGGAGCCCGACAAGAACTTCCAGTACCTCCTCGTCGCCGCCGAGCCCTACGAGACCTGCGGCTTCAAAATCCCCGCCCGCGAGCTCGACAAGCGCGAGGGCAAGCAGTTCAGCTACTGGGACCCCGACGCCAAGGAGTACTGGCTCCAGGTCATGTTCATGTCCGAGCGCGAAGAGCGTTATGTCGCCGCTCCCGGCACGAGGAGGTGAGGTGAGGTGCGCTCGCGTTTACAAGAGGGAGAAAGGGGGGGGGGGTAACGGTTTTCTTCTTTTTTTTTTCCGGGTGTCCGCGGCGGGCATGTGTGTATAAATCATTCAGCAGGCATGCTTGCGTATTGCAGAGGCATATGTATCCGACAAGATATCACGGCGTATGGCGCAGGTCAAGGCAAAATGTAAGGATTGTGTGCCGGCGGGCTAACATCCAAGTTGGTAAAAAAGAAAGTTGCACACATAACAATCACAATACCAGACAGACAGTGACCATCATGGGTTCGTCTTGTTGTCAATTGCATTCCTCTCGATTGCATGCGTCCATCTCCGCACCCTGCTGATGTTGCCAGCCGTCCTAGTGTCTCCTGAATTTCACAACGGCATCCATGACGTGTTTTCTAGATCCTGCATTTCCACTAGATCCGACGCCTACCTCCCTTCTCGACCACCTCCCCCTCCTGTCTGGTTTCGCCTCCTACTCATGCTTCTCGTGAGAATATATGCTCCAGGCATCCCCAGCCCCGTCTCGATGAAAGGCTCCAGAGACACCCAAACCCGCCGCTTCCATCCACATGATGTGTGCGATTTTTGTATCTTGATGCGTATCAACGCCCTGTATGCAGTGATTGAAAGTCGAGTAAAAAAAAAAAAAACAATGGTAAATGCAAGTCTTGGTAACAAGAATCTGGCGTGTTTGGACCGGCCGTTAAGCAAAAATGCAGTAACCAGCAAGACATTGCCTTGTGCTCTTCTGTAAACCCCCCCCTCCCCCCGCCTTCGTTTTGCTCGGCAAAACAGGCGGCCCTTCGATGCGAGGAGCCAATGTCGCCGAGTTGTCCACCAGAATGATCTGGGTATGACGCTTATCGGAAGTTGTTGTCGAAACGCTTGAACGTGTAGCCAATAAAGGGAAGACTCATCTCAGGAGACTCCTCGACCACAGCAGGCACACCCGAGCGGGCTTGCTGGACGGCTTGCGCCTTGAGGATGGTGGCGTTATCGGTCTGGTCAATCTCGTCGGTGGGGAAGTAGGTGGTATCGATGGCCGAAGTCAGGCGAGGCTCGAAGGGTGCCCTGATGCGACGCAGGCTGTCAAACTCGACTCCCCTAAAGAACGAGTGCTGCTTGATTTCGTGCGCGCCACTGCGGCCAAGACGGTTCTCCGTGTTGCAGATCAAACTGTGTCGCATGTCAGTCGAGGAGCGAAACAATAAAGGGAGGGCGTCTAAACTTACCTTCGGATGAGGTTCTCGGCCTCCACACCGAGCTGGATGTCGTCGGGGAAGTACAATGTCTGTCTCCAGTTGACAATCTTGCGGTACGTGTCGTGGCTGTCCTCGGCACAGAAAGGAGGCCATCCGACCAAGCACTCGAACATGATGGTGCCCAGCGACCACCAATCGCAGTCGAACGTGTAGCCGTGACCTGTAAAGATCTCGGGGGCGATGTAGTCGGGCGTTCCGACGGTCGAGTACGCCATCAGTCTCCTCGACCGACGCCAGTCGTTGATCTGGGACCGGTTGCTGACAGTAAGGTTGATCTGGTCTATGGCGACAGAGTTACGGTCGCGCGGCTTGTTCGACCGACCCTGCAGCAGTTGTTGGTAGTAGTTGTTGTCGTGCAGACGGTTGAAACCGGTCGACAGGCCGAAATCGGTCAGCTTGACGTGACCTCCGCGGTCCAGCAGGATGTTGTCGGGTTTGATATCGCTGAAGAAAGGCGGGTCAGCTTCCAGAAGCTCATGCCTGTCCAGATAGACTTACCGATGGATGAAGCCCAGCTTGTGGACGGCCTCGATGGCAAGGACGATTTCGGCAATATAAAAGCGCGTAATGTCCTCGGAGAAGATTTCGTACTTGATAAGCATGGTCATCAAGTCACCTCCGGGCAAGAACTCCATCAACATGTAGAGGAAGTACGAGTCCTGGAAAGTTGTGTAGAGCTTGACGACCCAGGGACTGTCGGACTCGGCCAGGATATCTCTCTCGGAACGGACGTGGGCGAGCTGGTCCTTCTTGAACATCTCGGTCTTGATCAGGGACTTCATGGCGTAGACCTTGCCGTCGTTCTTCTTCTGCACCAGCTTGACCTCGCCGAAAGCACCCTTGCCGATGATCTTGATGGTGTTGTAGTTCTCGGGCTTGTCCTTGGTTCGCAGGAATCGCAGGTACTGACCCTCCTTGCGGCCGGCCGTGGACCAGATCTGCTCGCGTCTCTGCTGGCCCTGGCCGGGCTCGGAGAGTTTGACCTCCATCTCGCTTTGTCTGCGGTGCGGGCACGGTCAGTCAAGTTGCACATCCGTCGCCGCCGCCGTCGTCGCTTACCTCTGGTTGCGCTCTCTCGCGCGCTTGACGCTGTCCTTGAAGAAGTCGGAGGCCAATTGGGTACATTTCTTCTGGTTGTTATTGGCGTTGGGGCCGTACTTCTCGTAGAGGCGCTCGGGGGCCGGGCCGAAGATATCGGCGGGGGCCGACTGGTTAGGCATCGGGGGCGTCGCATAGTGACCGTAACCCGAGGACGGCTGTCCAGAAGTGCCGGCGGTGCGAGGTCGCTGAGCGGGGGAGGGGCCGCGGGAGCCGTACGGTGATGCGCGGGCAGCGCCGCCTAGGTTCTGGTGGGAGAATTGGTGAGCGAGGCCGACGTTGGGGTCGTTGGTGCCGGGCGTGTTGGAACGAGGCTGGTAGGCGGCATTGTTGTAGTCTCCATGGCCCTGGGGAGGGTATTGGCCCTGCTGTTGATTGGGATTGAAGTAGCCAGAGGAGGCGTACCCAGCTGCGTACGGCTGCTGCTGTTGCTGCTGTTGTTGCTGCATGCCGGCCTGCTGCTGCTGATGCTGCTGACCCTGATGAGGGAAAACGGGCTGAGGAAAGGTGGAGGGGGTGGTGGGATACTGTCGGTCGGTGCCAGAAGCCAAGCGATCGTTGTTCCCGATGTTGAGGTAGAGGCGGTTATTATTGCCGTCCATTGCGAAGGTTTCGTCTTGACTCGGGGAAGGGTCACGGCGTGTGCGGGTAGGGGAGGGGGGTTGCGAGGACTATGCGGGCGACCAGCAGCAATATGACAATTTTAATTGACAGCGGACGTGCTTTGGCCAGGCCGGAGATGGAATTGAGGTAACAGATCGAGTGCTACTATGGCTGCTATTCCTTGCTACTATTGCTTCCGCACGGCGGCGGGGGTGGGAGGCGGCAACGGAGGAGGGAAGGGTGCAGCGGCAGGGTCAAGGCGGGTGGTTGGATGGATTCGGGGCGTCCCCCGATGCGGTTGTCGAGGGAAGAATAGATTGCGGTGGGCGGTGGAGTAAATGAGAGGCGGTCGCAACCCAGTGAGACTTGTAGAGGAGGAGTCAGTACGCGTGTGCCCCGGTTGAGATGAAGAGAGGCAAAGTGAGGGCTACGCAGTGTAAGGACAACAACAACGGTGTAGGGGAAGGCGTAGATTGAGGATTCGTACCTTTTTGGTGCCAAGGGGTGAGATGGGCGGTAAAAGGGTTGGTGGAGGTGGTTATTTTGCCACCACAGGCACACCGAACGGTTTAGCCAGGGGTGATGGCTGGAAAGAATGGGGCTAGAACGTTCCTCACGTTCTTCGTCCGTAAATAGTATCTGTCCACGGAGTACAGCCTTATTAGTTCTGTTCGAGGCCACTACAATCGTAGGTTCGGGGACCCTCACGCGTAGCAGAGATGTGGGTAACGATTGGAGAGTGGTATTGTCTTAGCGAAGACCAAAGTCATTTCCGCAGTATGTTAACAAAACCCGCTCGAAGTCTGGAACATATTATACTACACGGTGTCGTTCATTGTTATTAGGACGCATTAACTTTGCCGATGTGCGGCCCCTTCACTAAGCCTAATGCAAGTTCGAAACCCGCATCCGGGATTATTTCCTGTTCACCACGGGATGTATGGCGCAGAACGCCAAACACGCGATAAGGTGCCCTAGTGTTACACCACGCGAGAACAATGTCTCGGCCGTACTCGAGGCATTACTAGTACCTTCACTCGCCGTATCCCTGCTGCACCTCCATGGGCGTAAAAAGGGTGGGGGGGGGTTTTTTTTCCCCCCCCAAAAAAGGGGGGGGGGGGGGGGGGGTAAGGAGAGGAGCTGTCGATAAGGCGTAAAGGTGGCGGTGGGAGGGAAAAGGAGACGGGACGAAGCTGGGCGTCCAGGTCGCTCGCTGCTAGCTCGTGGTCGGGTCTGTCAGAGTCGGGGAGGAATCGGGACCTGAGGCGGCGGGATGAGAGGCACCTTGGTGACTTGAGCAAGGAGAGAGAGGGAGGGGAGAGAAGTCCAAGTCACGAGACCGGCTTGTGGTAGTCTGAGGTGATGGTGGTGGTGGTGGTGGTGCTCGCCTGGTTGACTGAAGAGTGACGACAAAGACAAGTCGCCGTTGACGGCCACGGAAGAGGAGGCGGAGGCGGTTGAGGGGCGGGAGGATTCAACTCTGTGACTTGGCGGGGAAGGAAATAAGATGCACATAGGTACTATCCGTGTGCAGTACCATGTACAAGTACATGAGAATAGGGGAAGACGATGCGGACAAGGGGCGGAGGTTGGCCCAATGGCAGAAGTACATGCAGGTACCGGTGTACCTCTGTCGAACATTTGGAACGCAATTGGGTTCGGTGTCATCCAGTCTGTGAGCCCAGTCAGTATTACCTACCTAGCAGCCTAGGTAGTTAGGTAGTACACGTACGCCATACAGGTCACTTAGGTGAGCACACTAAGTACATTGAGTGTACTTACCTTTTGTTTTCCTGCTCTCTCCAAGTCGAAGCCGCCAGAGGTGCTTTTGCAAGATAGGTACGTGTGTACCTACCTACCTACACGCCTACATCGTAGTGTGCACCGTACCTACACTGGACTGGGCCTGGCTCAGGAGACGCTGAAGCAGAAACGTGGATCTGGGTGGCCCTGGAGGGGCTTCCCCTCGTCGGACCCCAGCGACCCCTGAGATTCGAGAACGAGGATGGAGTTGGATTGGCTGCTTCGTCTAGAGAGTGGGACGGGGGGGGCCGACCGAGTCGCATTCATTGGCACCACCATCCTGCACGCTGCATCTCGACTTCTGGCCCTACGAGGTGAAGAGAATAAAAAACCAAGTAAAAACAAAAACAAGGTTTGTCGACCGTTGAAGGTGCAGCCGAGGTGTCGCGTTTATTTGCATCTTTTCTTTTCTTTTTCTCTCTTCCTTCTGGGTCTATGCTATGGGTCACGGGTCGGGCATGATACCGATATTGCTGCTAAGCAAACATGAAGATTCTTCAACACGGCTCCCTGCCTGCCTCGGGTCATTTCTTTTGTAGTGTACATATGTGAGTACTCGGTAAATGTAAGTACAAATACATATAAACAGCATAAACATATTCCTCCTTTCCTTCCTGCATCTCTGTTACCTACCGCCGCTGCTGCCCGATCGGACCCATAAAACGTGCGGGGCGGTAGGCTAATAACGAGGAAGGAGAGGGGGAGGGGGGCAGGACCAGGACGACTACCTACACCTACTACATACGGATACAATATGGTACAGAGTGTTGTTACTAAGGCAAGTACGAAGTGGTGCAGGTATCTGCCTCATGTAGGTAAACTCGGTGTGTTTGCACATGTTTTACTTGGGCAAGAAAGAGGGAAGCATGAGTGACAAATGTCTCCTTCGGTGTGAGGGCCGGGGATCGGATCTCGCTTAACCCAGCGCCCATTCATACATACACTGGTCGGAATGCTTCTTTTCCTCACCGACTCTTGACACAGAATCAGAATCTCCATTACGTACGCCTACGTCCGTCCGTACCTATTCGCCCATCGGTGAGCTATCGGACACACCACTGCTTTTTCCAGCCGGCATAACTGACGAGACGAGGCTTGAATGACGTCCTGTGCCTTTCGTTGCCTGTGTCAGACTTTTTTGCCCAGTGACCCATTCATTCACCGTTTCATGCTTGCTGCCCTCGCCGCCCAATGACAACGCAGGACAGGCAAACGCCATGTCTATTCGAGTCCTTCTGCCAAGGAGACGATCATGCGCTCAGGTCTGCTGTCAATTCTGGAGATCGCCAGGCCGCAGGGCCGGGGGGCTCCCGCGAGCATCTCGGCCGAGAGTTCCTCCTTCCACACGCACACATACACATACACACAGTGGATAGGATTAGTTGGTGTTTCAAATGCCCTGGAGCTTCTCGGAAACCGAGGAGCTAATGAAGAGGGAGCAGCATCACGTCGCTTCAGGCATCCCCAGGCTCTCGTCACGAGCTTATCACGGCCGGAGTTTCCCCCATGCGTCCGTCCCACTTGAAGCAGAAAAGAAAACCATGACACAGTAAACTACGCGTTGAATCTAAACCACATGTCGAATCAAGATTAAGCGGTCGCCGCCGCCGCTGCTGCTGCTGCTGCTACAATAAAGTAATGTAGTGCTGTGCACAGACCATTACCGTATAGGGAAAGCGGTCGGATGACAACCCGCGTCATGCCCTTTTGGGACGGCTACCTGCGATAAACTCTGCGAAGCTCTTATCGCGGCCCAAGCGGTAAAATTTCCATAAGCCTCATTCCTGACCCCGGATTCAAGGTACACGATACGATACGATACGACGAGGCATTGCGAGCCGCCGGCTTCTTCGACCGCATCCTTTCTCTGTGATGCCCCCCATTTTCGTCTGCCGAATCTCTGTAACAACCAATACCTTCTCCGCCCGGCCCATACCCTAAACCATGGCGGACTCCAAACCCACGCCGCCCGAGGTGAGCAAAAGCTACGATCCTATCGAATAGTCTTCTCTTTTTTTGTTTTCGTTCCTTTCACGGAAGACTAACACGGCCACCTTTCTCTTCTCTCTCTTCAGGCGGCCGCAACCTCGAACACTGCCCCCTCAACGTCTACCACGGCCACGACCACGAACACGACCGCCGCCGCCGCCTCGGCCGCTGAGGGCTACAAAGCCGCGAAACCGAACCCCGTATGGCAGATGATGGGCCTCCGCGGGCCCCCGAAGCGCCTCCCCTCGCGCAACTGGATGATCTTCCTCTCCCTGACGGGCGCCTTCTCCGCCGCCGTCATCTACGACAAGCGCGAGAAGAACCGCGCCACCGCCCGCTGGGCCCGCGCCGTCGCGCCCCTCGCCCGGGAGACCCTCGCCAGCCCCTCCGAGATGCCGCGCAAGCTCACCATCCTCCTCGAGGCGCCCCCCGGCGACGGCCTGCGCGTCGCCCAGGACCACTTCCTCGAGTACGTCAAGCCCGTCCTCGCCGCCTCCGGCCTCGACTGGGACTTCGTCCAGGGCCGCCAGCAGGGCGACGTCCGCGCCGCCGTCGCCGAGAAGATCCGCCGCCGCCGCTCCCGCGAAGAGCGGCCCGACCAGGAGCTGCTGCCCACCGAGGAGAACGTCCGCGACGCCGTGCGCCGGAAGAACGGCGTCCCCGAGTACGGCGGCCCCGCCGGTGACATCGTCATCGGCCGCCACACCTGGAAGGAGTACGTCCGCGGCCTGCACGAGGGCTGGCTCGGCCCCCTCGACCCGCCGCCCAAGCCCGAGGCCGAGGCCGCCGTCCCAACCACCTCTTCTTCTTCACAGACCGCCGAAGGCGACAACGACGACGCCGCCTCCGCCGCTGCAGCAGCCGGCAGCACCGAAGAGGGAGAAAAAAAAGGACGACGACGAACCCCCCAAGGAGGAAGAAAAGAAGCCCGACCGCCCGCCCCAGCCGGTCCCCCACAACACCCCCCTCGACTACGCGGCCTCCCACCTGCCCCCGCACATCCCCGACGAGTTCTCCCCGTCGGACGCCATCCCCTTCCCGCACCTCCTCGGCTTCGCCGGCACCTTCACCCGCCTGCAGCGCTACCTCACCCGCCGCCGCCTCGCCGACGACATCGGCCGCCAGGTCGCCGCCGCGTGCTTCGCCGCCTCGCGCGAGTGGCGCGGCGACGACGAGGACGAGCTGCAGCGCGCCCTCGAGCACGAGGAGGCCAACTGGGTCAAGAGCGTGTGGAGGGAGGCCGCCGAGGCGCCCGAGTCCGCCGACGAGGCGGAGCGCGCCAAGGAGCGCATCTGGACGAGCCCCGTCGTCGTCGACCCGCGCATCGCAGGCCGCATGCGCCGCTTCGAGATCCGCCCGGAGGACGAGGAGCGCGCGCGCCAGATCGTCGTGCCCGAGGAGGAGATTGAGGGCTGGATCAAGGGCAGCCTGCGGTCGCTGGGCCGCTGGGCCCGGGACGCCGTCAGTGGCGGCCGGCCCAAGGGCCCCAACGTCGGCGACAGTGACGACGAGTGAGACCCGGTCGGAGGAGAAACGTGAGAAAGAGAAAGAGAGATGGATGTATGACTAACTATACCCCGGCCGCCATGGGGGGGGGGACAAACCCATATTGTAATTCTAGCTTGTAGTTTGATCATATTACCGGGGGCGCGCGTGCATGGATGGCGATGGGCAGGGCATTATATATAGACTTGGTTTTGCCGGGCAAAGAAAAAAAAAGGCTTGCCTGTCGCGACATACGACGAATATTACCGTACACTCCTCTTTTCTTCCTTTTCTTCTTCTTTGTTTTCTTTCGTCCACCTAGCGTTTCTTCGTCCACATCAATCATGGGCTTATTGTGTATGCGTAGCCCTCCCCACGTACATCCTTGGTTCTTGGTCGTCTGGCAATGGAACCCGTCACCTTTTGCACGATCCCTCCCTTTCTTTCTCCCTCGTGTCCCCCCCCCCCCCCCGGTCAATCGTCGTCCGAGTCCGAGCCGTACGCCACGAGGCCCAGCTTCTTCCCGTTAGCCGGCGGCGGCGCGCGCGGGCTTCCCTCGGCGGCGTCCTCCTTCTTCTCACCACCGCCTATGGCAGTCGCCGCAGTAGCCTTCTCGCCGACCGACGTCTTCCTCTCCGCCGCCGCATCCCTCCTCACCCCGAACCCCCCCTTCTCCCTCTTCCTCCGCTTCCTCGGCCCGACGGCCCACTCCTCTTCCGCTTTGCCCGCGCCGTCGTCCCGGGCCCCAGAAACGCCCGCCGCCGCGGCGGCTCCCCCGTCTGCTCCCCCTCCTCCTTCGGACGCATCGTCGTCGTCGTCGCCGCCATCGCCGGGCCTCTTCTGGCCCTGGCCCTGTGCCCTCCGGAACGCCGCGAGCCCTTCCTCCGTCTCCCGCCGCACCCGCTCCTCCTCGGCGCGCTTCGCCTCACGCACCTCGTCCAGGAACTCGATCTCGTCGTCGTCGAGAGCGCGGAACTGGTTCTTGATCTTGTTGGCCTCCTCGAACGCGGCCTGCTTGGCGGCTGTTGGTTCCCCCGGCGAATGTCAGTATCAGTTGTCAGTGTCAGTCTGGTGCTAATTGCCAAACACTCGGACCCCCCTCGTTCAAAACACCAACGCCCACTGTTGTTTGGAACAGGCAGAGATGAGGAACGGTAATGTGCGTGACAGTGAACAGTGAACAAGTGACAGAGAGGGCGCGACTCACCCTTGTTCGCCTGCAACACGTCGTACAGGCTTTTCTCCCCGCCCTCGACGCTCTTGACCCGCGCCTCCTCCCTCCGCTTCCTCTCGGCCTCGAGCTCCCTCTGCACAATCTCCCACTCTGCCTTCTTCTTCGCCTCGATGGCGGTGGTGGCGGCGGCGGCGGCGGTGGTGCCGTCTCCGTTCTTGGTCTCCTCGGCGACGACGGCCTCGCCCGTCTTGACGTCGATGGCACCCGCCGACACGAAACGCGTCATACTTTTTCTTTTCCAAGAGAGCCTCGTCAGGTCTGTTTTTAACGTCAAACGTTTCTCTCCTTCTTTGCGCCTCTCTTCTTCCCTAATCCCCTTTAAATAAGACGGGGGAGGGGAGGAAAGGCTCTCTATAACCCCAGTGCCTTCCAAAGTAGAAGGGTTGAGACGCGTGATGGCGGCAGCGGCAAACAAACAAAAAAAGGAATACCAAAAAAAGTGACCTCGACTCGAAACTTTATTTGAACCTTTTTCACAGCGCGCTCGTCCGACGTCTTTTGAACTGGCAGATACCTATGTTAACAGTGGGAGCAAAACGACCCCTCGAATCGGTAAAGTCTCCGGTCGCACGGATGGGCCAAGATGTTGGTGTGTAGTGGATGTGAGTGTGGGAACCGCTGGCTTGGGTTTGGAACAGGTGTGCAAAGGGCGGCCGTGCGTCCAGATCCCGGACGAATCACACAGCGCGTGCTCCACAAAAGACGTTATAGTATAGTACCCTTACTACCTCCTGTTCTAGTGCACCCTATAGGCTATAGCTTGAAAAGTAACTCACTGTTATTTATATAAACTTCCTTGGTGTCTTATTATCTTGTACGCTCAAATACTATATTAAACTTGGATTCGGGCCAAATAAGAACTCAAAGCACTAGACAAAGTCTTTTTCTCCTCTTACAGAACTCTTTTTTTCTCCCTGATACTCGAGATGCCTTGTTTCAACTGGCTTGGATACGTCCTTTCCAGGCCGCAACTGTCCTCTTTTCTCGTCAGCTTGCTCGTCCTCGCTTGCCACATTAAACTTCTCGTCGTCCCTTTGCGCTCTTCCATTCCGTTCCATTCCATTGTAATGGATCCCAGCGCCGTTAATGAACACCAATCTGAAAGCCTCGTTGTACTTGATAAGCACCGTAGGCATGTCTGCCGTGGACACGGTATCGCTCAGAGGCCGTTGCGCGCGTCTTCACATTGGTTTGCGGATCTAGGTCTTGGAACCCAATCCGACTCCCGGTGCCCGTATTGACTTTGAACTTGGAAAGAAGCCCTTCGCCTTCTGGCATTAGAACAGAGGAGACCACGGTGAAGGGCGCGTAGTAGCCCAGGCGGCCCACGAGCTGGCTGGACAGCGTGCTTAGTACTACAAGGCAGATGACAAGTAGGAGGGTGGCGATTCTAGATTGCACAGCCGTCTTGTTCTGGATAGCCCAGAACTAAATAGGGAGGTATTGTTGAGGAGGAGCATTGTTGGTGCAAGCGAAATCATGTACTACATGGCTGAGATAACGGTGTAGTTCTTTAGTACCTCCAGCTAGACGGCTGTGTTTTCCTACTTTGTTACTTCTACCACAATGAAGGCGACTAGATAGAGGGCAACCATGATAAGGAGGAGAATGACGCGCCAGCCGTTCCAGTCATACATGATGCCTCCCCCCTTCACCCACAGGAGTGCAAGCAGCAGACAGATCAGCAAGGAAAATAGAACCAGCTCGCCCAAATGCCCCAAATTCACCAGCTGCTGCTGGATAGTGAGCCCCGGAACGGCCGCCGGAGTGGGTTTCAAAAGCAAAAAAGATGACGACCATGGCTGCGCCGCCGATGGCTTGTTTTGACCTGCTGACATTTCCAACAGTACCAACAAATATCATCACCGACTGGACACGGAACTCGGGCAGCTTATCGCAACGGGCTTGACCAGATAAACAGCACAGCCCATCGTCACTGTTCACCACATCACTACACATCTATCGGCTTGCGTGTACAAGAAAGAATTCGCCCAGCCAACAAACCTGGTCGTACCGAGTCGTGTACGCCTCCACTTTATGCGATTTGGACAGACGGCCCCCTTGCAGCTCGGCCCGCCCGCGGAGGCGTAGTATAGAACTAGTGTTCCGAAGCGCGGGGGGGGGGGAGGGGGCATTGGTGAAAGAGCTGAGGGGATGTGCCTATCGTGTGTCAAGGAGTACGGGGACGGCTGCTGACGAGAGTGGTACAGCACGGCACCTGGGGATTTATTAGACAAGAGGAAGTACATGCCACGTGGGATATAAGTCAATTACTGTATGTGATTAACGACATCGGAGTTTTATTTTATCTTATTTTCTTCTTCTTTTGCATGATACTACTAGAATGGTGCTGGAAATGTGGAGGCAGCTCCACCTACGAGAAAGCAACGAGCCGGTGACGTCCGAATAGGGGCGTTGAGGGTTTCAACTTGCTTCATCACCATGGCTTTTGGTTTCTTCAAAGAGCGCCAATGTGTAGAGTAGCAATATGAGGCGCCCTGTCCAGGGGCTTGGCCCGGTAGGGGCTGCGTTGGAGGGACATGGCCATTTTCTTCTTCTTTTTTCTCAAGTCATCCTTCACGATGGTTTGACGTTGGATCCTGTGAGAAACCCAGAGACGGAGAACCCGCGGTTTGTAAGACGGTATCTACCGGGCGGTCCTGGTCTCGCATCTCTCTCTTGCACTCTTACAAAGGCGGGAAGGCTGGGCACGTCGATCCCTGAGATTACGCGTCCCCCCCCCCCCCCCCGAAGGCTTCCAGGAGTGTGGTAACCGTTGCCCCTGGGAAAATTGAGTTTGGTTTGATTGACCGGTTCGGCAGTGTCGGAATGATGGTTTAAGTTGACGGGTTTCATTTATACAGTGTGGTAGGGGTAACTAAAAGCTCCCAGCCATGTTACCCCCCATAGCTTACATCATTATAAGAGGGGAATATTCACCAACAGAGAAGTTTTGTAGTAGGGGGGGTGCGTATCAGTTACCTGACAGGGAGCTTTTACTTCGGCCGGATACCATCGTACGAGTCAATGATTTACGTCGTACCGCACGATTCAGTCACCGCTACCAGCAACAATAACAACGCAACCTCGTATAGGAACAGGCCATACGCCTCGGACTACATATAGCCTCTGTTTCCAGCGACGAGGCACGAGTTGGAACTTCTTCTGGTCTTCAACCTTTTCTATTACCTCTCATCACAGTCAAGACTACTCAGACATACACACAACCATGTACTCTCCCAAGTTGATCCTCAGTGTCCTCACTGCCCTTTTGATCCCCGTCTATGCCCAGATTCCTGCGGGCTGCAGCGAGTTTGACGGTGGTGGAGGTAAGAGCTGTCCAATCTTCGCATATATATATATATATATATATACACATCGTCACATTTCCGCCATGAGGCTAGGCATTCGGTCGTCCTAACAATTCATAGGCGAACTTGCACAGAACCAGTGCCCAAGCGGCCAAAAATTCTGTGGTGGTGCCCCGGGTGGAGGTCTTGCATACATCTGCTGTCCTAACAGCGTCTCTTGTTAAGCGTTCTTCTGATCATGAAAAGAAGAAGGGAAAAGGTGTGTTCCGTGATATTTTTGTTTTCTTTTCGAGAAAATAAGTGAGTGAGAGAGAGAGAGAGAGAGAGAAACGGGAAGAAGACCCAACATACTAACATTCTCTCCAGACCTGACGCATAGGGCCGTCGCTGGAGCTGGCCGCTGGGCAATGTCACGTATGGTCACTCTGCCTTGATACGCATATTAGGTGCATCATCCATCAGTTGCTAGGTCTATGACACTTCTAGAATTCTTCACATGAACAAATTTCAAATGCTTCCAAGAACCTACTTGAATACTCAACCTTGAGAATTGACGTTTTCGCTACCAAGAAGTTGACAAGTGACACGGCCCTCCCGGCAGCCGTTCCAGGATGTACAAAAGCTAGTTGTAGTCTATAAAGTTTAACCTCCGAGGACACGAGTCCTTGACAAGGTCAACTATATATACACAATGGGTTATCGTCGCTCCTCGCGCCGTCTTCCAGCCGCTTTCCATCAACGAAGAAGACAGACGGACGGACGGACGGACAAATGCTCGTTAGCAAGGCTGAGCAAGAAGCTGAACAAGAAGAAGACCACAGAAGGGGGAGTGCGTGCTGTCCTAGATAGTTCCCGAGAAACACTGCAAATAGAGGCAAGCGCGTTATCTTGATGTGTTTTGTGTAGTTTTTTGTTTGGTTATCTAGGACTGCCACCTTTCCCCGCACTTGATGGGTGCCATCAGTCGCCGTGTGAGCATTCCGTTTGTATCCTTGATTTTCCTTCCAGTAGTTTCATTCTTCCCAAGAACCCTATTTCAACCCATATCCTATGGCTGGTGGCTCGCAAGCTGCCCTTTTGGCCTGGCTGTGTGGTATCTTGCCAGCAATGCCGGCGTACCTCGGCGAAGGCTTTGGCCAATCCTAAATAAACCCTTCCTTTCTCGTTTTCGTAAACATGTAAAGCCACACCAATCCATCGCTGCAGCCAAAGAAGAAAACCTCGTTATCCTTCTCCATCAACATCTCAACTCCTTGTCCTTGACTCTCAAGAGAATGCCAAAATTGACACCGAAGGGAAGATAGAAATAAACGTCTAAGAATGTCGTGAACAGTAAAGGGTGGTGTCACAGCGGCTTTCTGCCTTCTTCACCAAGAGTGGTAAAGAGAGGGCGAAAACATATGCCACCCAAGCAGGAAATGCATAATGACAAAGTGAAGAAATAAAACTCCATACGTTCCCTGGAGGAATGAATTGCCTCCCACCACGATGCAGAACACCTCTCCATGGGGGTCCAGTCATTTTTTTTTTTTCCATTCTCGCGAAACACAGATGCCCGCGCATAACCAGCCAACTAAACACATGATCCGCAAGTAGCCTTTGCTGAAGTGCAATGCTACTACTTTTTTTTCCATCTCGTGCCGACACAGCAGGCCCGCGCCTTCTCTCGACTATGTCGGCCTTGCCGGTTTAGTCCACACTGCATCCATCCGATCCTACAATGGACCGAAGGCAGTGTTGTGCCGGAAACGAGTTAAAGTTACAAAAAACACGTATGGTTCTGTGCGGTGCCACAAAAGAAACTGCGGGGTGGGTAGGCGGGTTTTGTCGAATGTCTCGCTGGCCTGGTGCGCAGTCAGGCGCGTCGAGGAGCCAAGGCCTTTTGGCAGCGTGTACTCTGTGTTGCTGGCCCGATCGTACTGGACCTTAACAGACTCATGTCGAAGCTCTGTCGTCGACCAAGACATGCCTTGCCCCTACGCCGAAAACCATCAAGACGCAAGCGAAAAGCTCTCCCAGCCAACCCACATCCACGAAAAGAAAAAGAAATACACCGCCACAAACTCTATTGAGAAAACTCCGGGGAAATTGCGAGGGCGACCTTATAACGCCGATGAGTTTATCCGTATACCAAGGGGAAGGAATTAAAGAAATATGTCATTAAGGGCTGCAGCCAGAGGATCGATAGACCGTCCGATGTCCAACGCAACAAAGTTCGTAATTCCAAGGAGGAATCCGTAGCCGAGTTTGGATGCGAACATCGCAACGGGAGGATCGAAACCAAGCTGTATACCTGCCCATGTGTCGTAAAGTCGAATTCCGACGTGGGGACCATTCGGTCAAATAACCGCTTCTTTCGGTTTCTCGTCGTGAGAGGGTATCTGAAGAATGCAAATTTATCGTCATGCCAGAAAAAAAGAAAAAAACAAAAGCCTACGTCTCCGGTGACGCTAGACCTCCCAAACTTTTCCGATAGTAAAATTCTCTTCCAGTTTCGTAGGGCGGCGATAGCCGGACCAGGCATCGCGATGAGTTTAACCCATGACAGGCTGACCGAAGCTGGGGTGCGCAAAGTAAGCGGACGGCTTCGCGGTAGACCCGAGACAGTTTGCACAGCTACACTCTGCAACACCGTGCTCCCAGATATTTTGGGGGTAGTTGTAGTGTCCAGAGAAGGTCTGCTGGTTGTGGCGGTGACCGTAGTAGTGAGACGGTTGCTGATAACGCGTGTTCCACTGGCCGTTAGCAGCTGCCTGAGAGAACCAGTCGTTGTAACGGGCATTAGCCGAAGTTGCAGAGTTGATGTACTCGGGTGTGCCGTAGCCAGAGTCCGGTGGGGTGAGCGGGGCGGATGGCCAATTCCAGGTACCGTACTGGTGGCACGCCAGCTCGTTGCGCTTGATGGCCTCGTAGCGCTCATATTCAGCCGCCTGCTGCTGAACAAACGTATGATACGCAGATCGTCCTCTGTACCGGTTCATGCTGGTGTCGATGGCCGGCACAAGCCTCTCCCGGCTGGCCCTGACAGCGGCCTGATCCTTGAGGACCTTCCAGTCATCCCAACTGGTAAGCCAAGCCTTGTAGTCGGCGCTGTAATCCAGGTTGACATAGAGGCACCAGCCAGACTGCTCCAGCCACTCATGTTCCAGAGCGTTGAGCTCGGCTACGGGAATACCGCTCACCTCAGACCAAGAACGGTTCTGGAAGGTGTTGTCGTCCAAGAACTTGCTGCCGAGCAGCAGCGAGACCGTCAACATGCGCCAAACCTGGCCCTCGGGTACAGTGTATGAAGGGTTGTTCTGCTTCAGCGTGTTGACCCGCTTCGCGAGGTAGTTCATGCCAAGAAGAATAGTGCTCTTGGGCAGTCTCGTGGAAGACAGGATCTGCGAGACGAACTTGCGAAAGGGGGGTGTGACGGCGGTCGTCGACAAAGGCATGACCACACGAGTGGCCATCTCGGCGACGAACTCGGCCATTTGGTCGACCTCGTAATCGAGGACGGCACAGACACCTCCGGGCATGATGGCGGTGATGGTGGGGGGTCCGACGAAGATCGTGAAAGGACCTTTGTCGGGGTGAGAAGGTTGCTCGAGGCACTCGCAGGGAACACTTGGCAAGTGGAATGAGGACCGCAACGTGCTAGCGGTGATGTCCAAGGCCGAAGGAGACGAGGTGCCGGGTTGGTGAGCGGGTGAATGACGAGCCCCTAGTAGTTGCGAACAGCCATCAAGGGTGTGATCGTCTCGACAGCGGAAGGCGGACTTCTAGTAATCGACAAATGAAGGAAATATGCTGTGGATCGACGATACTTCACAGCTCGAAACCGCCCAGGAAATGAGCAATCTTCGCGCGGAAAAGGATGAAGTGATGGCTGACTCGGAATCGATGCTTGGAGGGTAATGGTCGAGGCGTCAGAGAAGAACTAAGGGCCGCCAGACACGGGACGAAGAAAGTCGTGCAAAGGAAAAAGCCGGAGCTGGCTTTATCTGCGAGTGGTAACTGATCAGCGAGAGTGCCCTAGAAGCAAAAGAAGAAGAAAAAACTTTGACTGTCTGTCTGTGCCTGAGTCTGACACACAAGCTTCGTCGAATGATGCGTCAAGTGCTGGCGGGCCGGTGTTGGAGTGACGAGTTGCCGTGAGGCAACAGGGAAAGGGTGTTCCTTGCGGAAATACAATGCAACATGTGCTAGGTTGCTCCAGCACACTGGGCACACAAACGCAACACCCAAGCACTGTTGGACGGTGGGAGACGCAGCCAAAGGTGGCGATGACGGAAAGACCGGGCTGCTGATCCCGTCGCGAAATCGAGTACAACGCGTCACGGTTGTGACCTGTGTCGGGAAAGGGAGTGATTCGCCGCCAGGACGTAGGCGAAATGGTCGGTTGAAGCCCATGTGCAGACAGACAATGGCAACATGTGTTTGGGATGTGGGATTTTTCGAATAAGCTTACCTCGAGAAAGAAAAATAAGAGAGGGTTGATCGGGACACGGAGGCGTAGGGAATTCTTTGAGTGGTCAACTCGGTCGTTGAGCGCTCGCGCGGTGCTGTCGATCGATGGTGTTCTTTGGATCAAACAAGAGTATCAACTCGGGTTGTGATGGTGGTCGGGCTTTGTGAATGGGACAGCGATAGTCGAACCGAATCGGCTTCGCGTCGAGAGGGAGAGGGAAAGGGAGATAAGGAGGACGAGAACCTGAATCCTGGGTTGTCGACGACTTGGATGAGAGTATCGTGCAAAAGTCGAGGACGCAATATTTCGTCGGGGTACGGCGGATTCGAGGGTTGGGTAGAGAGGGAAGAGAGAATTTGGAGGATGGGAGGGGATGAAGGAAAGGAATAAAGTCGGAAAAGAAGAATTTCGAGGAGTAAAATGGATGGGACGGGTTGGGATGGGCGGGATGGGGATGGGGAGAGAAGGACGGGGGGGTGGGGGGTGAGGGTGTAAAGTGGAGAGGAATGATGGCGGCGTGCGTGTGTGAATGGAGGCGAGAGGGGGGAGAGAGGAGACTGGGAGGGCGAAGTGAGTGAGTAAAAGAGGGGGGGGGGGTATACACTACAGCGGTTCGTAACGGAGGTAAGGCAGGCAGGCAGGCAGGCAGGCAGGTACGACTAGGTAGGTAGGTGATAGGTGGTGGGCAGGCGGGATGAGATGGGCAAAAGTAGCAGGCGAGGTACCCTTCAGGGCAAAGCTAAGTATCGGTGCGTGGAAAAAGAGGAGGTCGGTACTTTTTAACGACACGACACGACAAGGGCAGAACAGCAGGGCAGGGAAAGTGGGCTCGCGCTGGGCTGGTCGGGAGGGGGACGTAGGCAGGCAGGCGCAGACAGACGCAGACTTGAGGAAGGAAGGGACCCGACCCGGTACCAGAAATACGAATATCTCGACTCCTCTCACACATTTTCCACTACCTACGCAGCATGTACTTCGTACTCTGTAGCAGAACCAGCACCCACCGTTTGGGACCCTGGGGAGATAATGGACCAATACCGATACAAGCCAGCAAATAATAGATTAATATAAAATACAATAACAAAATCAAGAGTATTCGTGCCCTCGTGCGGCACTAGCGCAGCCTTTTCCTTAAACCGAGCAGCCGTTGTCCCTGTCTGCAAGCCATGTTGTGCATTAATCGCCAGCGAGACGAGACGCGGAGAGAGAGAGAGAGAGAGAGAATGGATCAAGGTAGTATTGGGATTATTCCAACACAGACAGAACCGGTAGCAGCACCATAGTATCCGTACGTCGCACACAATACACTCAATTACACCCCATGTGCCCTCGGCAGGATGGTTTTCCTCTTGATTGCCGCCTCTCCCTCTCTCTCTGTCTCTTGCACACTAATTACATCCTAGACTATCCGTACTGGGGAGTCGCAACTGACGGACTGGGCTGGAACGAGGACAAGGACGGGGGAGTGGAGGAGAGGGTGCCTAGGTAGTGCAACAAGACTGGGCAGTGGTCGTCGTTGCAGCCCCCCCGACTTAGCTTTGGCCAGGTCGGCGGCGTTGGCTTTGGAACTGGTACTCTGAGGAAGGGGGAGAGCATTGGAAGCATGTTCCAGAGGCAAGGGAACGTGAGAGTCAAAGGGAAAAAAAGAATAAAATAAAAGTAAAGGATAGATGGGTCTGGACGTGGAGACGACAGGGTGACTGGCTCCGATGGGAGCACACACTAAAGAAGGGTACGGAGATACTTCGTCATCGAGTCGAGTGTGATATCTGTATGTATGTACGTACTTACCTAGCTTACTTTGCATTTGTATCCGTGGACCCATAAGTGAGAATTGAGTGTGTGGGTTTCAACCCAGCGCCTTCAGATTGGACATTGTCAAAGAGGGAATGCGAGCGCCGTCTTTCCCTTCCTATCTCCTCGACACCACATCCCCGAAAGAAAAGGGACAGGATATAGAAATACAGATAAAATAGGATGAATAAATAAATAAACGAAAAAGGATGAGAAATGACTGGGAGCTTGCCGCTGATTGGCTCTGCGGTTTGTCGTGGTTCATGGACGGTGCTGCTTGGTGGGTGGGCCATTGAAGAAAGTATTGAAGGAAGTGTTGAAGGAAGTCCACGCCCACGGATACACACACACACACACACACACACTCACACTCTCATCTCACATTAACGCTGGACTCATCAGTCACCGGTTTCGAGTGTGGATGGCGCCCATTGGACGGATGGACCAGTGGATGTGTGGCTGTTGGTGGATGGAAAGGAACTTCCGCAGGCGCCTACACCGACACCACCCGACGCAGCACACACACACACACACACACACACACACACACACACACACAACGAGGTCAGTCAGGTACACACTACTCTACTTGCTAGGTATCATGGTATCTGGACAAAGTTACTGCACTAGGCAACATAATTTGCGAGCGTGAGAGAAAGTGAGAGACGCATCGCTCATCCATTCGCCCATGGCCTGAGGGTGTGTCTCAATGCGAGGAACTAAGTGCCAGCTGGAAGCTTAGGAACGGCAGGAGCAGGAACAGGAGCTGGTGCTCCTTCCACATCAAGAGAAACCTGACAGGTACGCAGGTGGGCGAGCGGGTGGACGGGCAGGCGCGGGAGAGGAAGGAGAGGAAGGAGATGACCAGGTGCGCGCGTCAACCAGCAGGAAGAACCACAAAGGAGAAGGAGGCGTCAGTCAGGAGGAGGCAGGAGAGGCAGGAGAGGCAGGGGTGGGCAACAACTGCTGCATCGCATCTGCACCCCCTAGCGCTGCTGCCGCTGTTGCTGTCGGTGTTTCTGTTTCTGTTTTGCTATGCTCGCTCTGCCCTCCGGTGCTCCTGCCTTTGCGAGCTGTGTGTGCTGCCTTCCCTGGTGCACCCTCCCAGTTCAATATGGGTCCCGAGGCAAAGTCGACATCGGGAACCTGATTGGCCGCGTCTCGGTCGGGTAAAACCCAGCGCTACAAAGCGACCACAACACTCCAGCCAAAATAAAAATAAAATAAAAACCACCACAGGCTAGGGTGACGATGCACCGGAGAGTAAAGCCCGGCACCAAGAGAGTGAGTGAGTGAGTCTGAGACCGAGACTTGCCCGACCCGATGGGGACTGACGATGACAACGAGCCTGGCGTGCCGAATGATTACACACTTTACGCCATCCGCTGAACACGGCACAAACGTCCTTCGTGGCAGCAATGGAGACCCGGAGAATACAGCAAGCCAGGTGCATGACGGAGAACGTTGATTGGGGGCACCACGCCGGAAAGCAACGCTGACACAGTTCGATAACAACAATGACAACTCAGCGCCGTTCTTGTGGCCCTCGTCTTCGCCCTCCGCCCCCACTGCGAACCTCCATCTTCGTCTCCGGACATCATCCGACCATACACATACACCGCGGCGGAACAAAGAACGGATACATTACCTACACCACCGTTCATGCCATAGTTTGCTTTTGGTCGACGGCTACCGCGTACGGATACCACCTCTGTCTCCAGCATTGTGCCGTCAATGGTCGCCTCCCACCGAACAGCTATCCGTACACAAAACAACGCCCCCATTCCATATCAACTCCCGTAATTCTTGTCGAACACGCCCTGGCGTCCGACACAAACAAAAAAAAAGCCACCAGGTCATCTGAGCGAAAGAGAGCGACGGGGAAGAAAAAGAAAAAAAGAAGACAATCGTTAATGGCGGCTCGGCTCCAAGTTGGGATGACCCGGTTTCTAAAAGGCTTCCAAATGTACTCGACAGTATTGGGCTAGCCTTGTGCAATTTGTGCCAGTGGCCTGTACCTTGCATACGGGCTAGGGAGGCTGGTTTGTCGCGGGCAGGCCAGGTACCAGTACTCGTATCAAACCCGCCTCACCGAGGTAGGTAATCTGCCTGTCACATTTCCCCCCTTCACAAGGTCCTCCTCCCTCATCCATGACCATACCGCTTGACTGCTGACCGCCTCTGCAGAGCACCCTCTCCCTTCTTCGTCCTCAGCGCCCTCTGCATCGCCTTGGTCCCCAGTTCAGTTTCTTGCTACGTAGTGTGTCCGACGATACGCATCCCATCCCAGCGGGGGCTTACCAGGCAGCCCAGACCAGACCACGGACCAGACAGACCAGATCAAACCGGGCCAGACCAGGACCAGACGTGTGTGGACTTTGCAGGAGACTCGCCCACACGCACCTAAGCACACCCTGGCCCCACAGCGACACTGGACGGGGGGGAGGGGAGAGGCCATCTCTTCGCCCTCTGCGCCTTTGACTATCCGTACACTACTAGGCTCTGCTTATTTCGGGGCTCGGCGAACGACACTCCAGGGGGCAACGACCCCCCCCCCCCCCCTGATCACGCCCCGATGCCTGCAATTCCGACTGCAAAGGGCAAGGGACAGTCTGTGTCGGTGGACTGTGCCCATCATCCGATCTGCTGGGTGATCACTGCGGCCCAGTCACCACCCAAGGGTGGTCTCTCACTCTGTCTTTGGCCCCAATCTGCGCTGAACCCCCCAGTCGCAGCACAGCAAATTCCTAGCCGATGACGACGTGATGCACACTGAGGCACCCACTCACCGTCACCGTACCGATCACTACTAAATGCATTGTGTCGTGCTAGTGCCTGACGGATATCGACCGTAACGGAGGCATCGAAGCCTTGATGGTATTTGCCTCACCTTCGCCGCTATGCTTTTGGCTTCGACAACGGGGACCATAATGTCATCGAGGGATCTTCACCAGTTCATGACCGCTAGGCTCGCACATAACACGCGAAGCCCTCAATGTTCGTCAGTGTGCTGCTCCAATTTGCCTCTTTAAGATGAAGCAGCCTCGAAACCACCCCAGTTGATGTGGCAGCGAAGGACGAAGCCATTTCCGGCCAGAACGATCCGGACCAAATTCCATGTCTTAAAATACAAGCGTGGCACTTTGGCACCAGCTTCATTAGACAAAAATCCCTTTCTGCACTGGAAGCACTCGGGATGAAATTGGCTGGCTCGGAAACTCGAGGCCCATCCAGCCAAGCGCGGCGTATTGGCATTTGTCTTTTGTTGTTCCCACGACAAAGACCCAGCAAAAGCTATAATGGGAAAACCAAAGGTGCATGGATTTAAGCACCTATTCGTGTCAACTTGGAAGTTGGGTAAGATTGCTGTAGCACCACCAGAAATACCGCACGCTCCACAACCCGGGACACCGTGCCATTTACGTTGCTCAGATGTCCGCCATGGATGCGATTCTCCTTTAGCTTCACCCCCCCCCCCCTCGTGGGTGTGCGATTTGATGGCCCCCACTGGCCAAACATGACTGGTACACCGGGGAGGAAGAAGGGGGAAACCCCAATCTCACACGCGCGCGCACATGGCCAACAACCAGCTGTTGGCTCGCTTGCCATCCTCCTACGCTGTTCACACGCAAACCAAAACATTGACAGCCTTCGCCATGGCGATCTCGCTTGCCCCCAGCAGCCTGATGTTGGCCCGGGCGGCATTGCCCTCACGTTCGCGGTTCACGGCTCGCCTCCGGTAGGAGGCAAATGTTTTCTTCTGCCACATCCCCGACACCAATAGCCAGGCTGTCCAAATATCACTGAGGCCGCACATCCGGTGTATCACACGAATGATGCCCGGTCAGTAAATCACCGGTCTAGTGGTCTCAACCTGCTCATTGGCTGCGAGATCACGGCCTGTCTCCCTTGGGCACCGACCTTGGACGGGTTTTGCCCGTGTTTTGCTGAGCGACGGCCATCCTCTCGAGCTTCCCAAGTGGCGACCCAACCAACTCACATCCCGGACCATGTGATATTGCACCCGTGCAGCCATGTTGGTGCACCGCAGCACTGCCGACAACACGGAACATTCAGGAATCCAACCACTTCAACTGAGATCTGGTGACGCATTCTCTTCAATGCTGAGCTAACCGGCGAACTTGGTCCTTTGCTCATACGAATGCAACAATCACGTGCAGCTCGGTCTCGTATCGAGGACAGGGGGCAACAGGGCCGCAGATCGCCGGCAAGTCAAACAAACCTCCATGCTCTTCCCCAGTGAGACACATGGTCGATCTACAGCGACCGGTTCTCCCTTTAGAAGGCATTGTCTTTATTGGCGCGAGGCATTGAGGCATCGAAATGGAAATTACATGTAGGAACTCCCACCGGCCGCCCTGGCAGTTGGCGACAATGCCAATTCCCTGGGTATTAGTAGGCCGAATGGGCTGTAGGTATGTGTTAAACGTCCAACCTCTGGTTGGATGAGACTCCTGCCCTGTTGCCAGCCTTTCCATCTCCCCAGGACCTTGTCAGCCAGGTAGTCTGCATAACCGAACCTGCGCCCCAAGGCCATCTACGAACTGCCAGCCCTGCGTGAGAAACGGCTTCACCGTTACATCAGGAGTTGTGAAGAAACCAGTTCGATACTTCCATTCGGTTGTTCGTCAGATTGTTATGATATCAGGTTACGTTGGCCTGCACGGGACAGCTACGGTTTGTCCTGGTGAGAGAGGCTCCTTCATCGGCACGCGTCCCTTGAACAAAAATTGGACATCAATATTACAGGTCTCTCTGGCTTACAAGTCTGATCAGTCTCGAATCTTGGAAAGACTTGCGTCGTCACGTCCACTGGCGAGTCAAGGCGAAGATGATGGAAAAAGCAAAAACGGACGTAGGGAAACTTAACATAGCGACTGGGTGAGGCATTCCTTCACCCAGCTCAGCCTATCAGATGGTTTCGATCCGAGCAGACATGCAGCCGGTTGGCCCGGCGGGTCTCAATCACACCCCAGGCGTGCGTCAAGAGCGACACAGTGCATCCGCAGATGTCGTCGACAAGAGTGTGTGGCTGGCACCCTTGGAACAGGGTGTCTCGTCTCGGCCACTGCCTCGTGTTAAACACACACGCGTGGACCTTAGTAACCCTAGAGAGGTTCTGGCGCAGAATTTCAAGACTCCATCACAATGCAGGACGTGACACATGGAGCGATTTCCTAGTGCGGCCACCTCGATTGAGATATTTCGCCAGGGAGCCCGGGCTGGCGATCTACGCCTTCCGGTCTGAGTCGTCAGCAAGGTGGTGGTATTGAGTCAACAGGCATGAGATATGAGATTATCTGAGAATGAATGGCATTGAGAGAAAGCAGGGTCAGAGGAAGGAAGGTCGCGGTGTTCCAAGGATGGAGAGGCACGGCTGCGCCGAACGAGGTCGCAACACCAATCCACCAGCGGGCCAGCAACCGGGTTGGCTTCGATTCTTTGGGGGGGCTCACTGAGACCTCAGCCATCTAGGTATCTCCCTTCCTCCCCAGGCACAGCGGCATGTTTCTATGAATATCCATCTCCCTTCTCTCAACTGCGCCTTTGGCCGGCTACAACGCTACAAGCCACTAGGGCGGTCGGACCCTGAGAATGGAGTCTCACGAGGAATGACAGCTTGATTGCCTTGGACACGGAGAAAGAAAGGCTCATGCTTGAAGCTCCAGAGTGAATGACAGCTCATCTCCCGACCCAGTGACCCTCCGTCGCTTAGGTCTAGTGTCTGCCCAGGGTCTCCCCATAAAGCACGCACACGCACACACGTACACACATTAGGACACACAACAGTACGAAGTTCTACGAGATTTTTCAAGACCCACGACACGACGCCATGCCAATGTTCTAGTGCCTGCTTCAAGGGTCCATCTCCACCGTTGAATCAGGGCGCCAGCTCAAAAGAGCTTGTACCGAACTCTGGACAATTTTGGGACCATTTTCCAAGTCTTGTTTTGGCTGTTTTCACCATGGTTTCCCCTCTTTTCCGCCTGCCAACAGCCACCGTCAACCGGATCACCTGCAGATTGGGCACTCTTCACCGCAACTAATTCTCGAAGAGGGGGGGGGGGGGGGCGGCTCCAATCCGATCAGAAGCCCCTCGTGGCGTTTGCAATACAACGTACGGCCCCACGAATATGTATTCCTAGCTCATGGGTACCGTACGGTGCTGCTCTGAGCCATTTCAAGAACGTACTAACCGCAATTGCCGACAACGTCGATGCCGAGAGCCACAAATGAACGCGCAGGACCCTTGACTGATCCATTGTACTGGTCAAAGTCTGGAGATCTTGGTTAGATGGATTGGCTCGAATCCAGGACCGCCACGCCGGGTAAATACATACCAATGGCGGCAACTTGTCAAAGCTTCTACATGCTCATTATTAGCAACAACAACAAAAAAGAGATGTACCTTGAACAGGGATGCCTCTTTGATCTTCTTTTTTTCTCTCTCTCTCTCTTCCTTGTTCTTCCCGGGTTCAAGGAAAGGGCTTGACGCCACTGGAAATTTCCGGTTCGCGTAGGCTGATCACGGTTCAACTCGTGGTTGAAAGCGATCTTCTCGAGCCTATCCCTTCTCGAACATGATCTACCACTTTTTGACATAGGTAGGCACGGTATCCGTAGACACGGTAGACACGGTAGGCCGACCGAAGAAAGGCCTGTCGTCCGCCATGAGTTATTTCTCGGCCAATTAGCCAACGCCGGCGGACACAAGAGCAGCACTTATCCTCCGATGCCTGCTATGGCATCCATTCTGGCCCTCTCTGTCCAATCTCGAGAGGTTGAGATCTGATAGCTGGAAAGAGCAATATCATCCATTGTCAGTCAATCTTGCACTACTGCAGCGGTTACCAGCCCAACGCTAGACCGGTCCAGTTGAGTCTCGTGTACCTCCCCAGCCGCCTAGTATATGCACAGAAGGCCGAGCCTGGTGTACCTACATGGTTCGACGGTTAGGCTACCAATGCAGTGGCATGTCTGCATACGACTCGCATCCAACTCACCCGCCCGGCGCCCATGGTTCCGTGCGGTCAAATGCAGCTATCCTCGGGGGGACGTCTCACGAGGGCCCTCTGATGGATTGGTGAATCTTTACTAACGCGAGAGCTGGCTTCTTCTGGCCGAGGACTGGCCTGCTACCAGCCTTGTTGTCGTGGTCGGGGCTACGGATACACAAACTGACAACCTCGAGGCCTGGGATATGGTACCACTGCATGCATTGACTAGGGCGCACACGCATCTGGCCTACTACATGCGATGGTACTACTACTGGCCAACGTGCGGGCGTTGGCCGCGGTACAGCAACGCTTCATCATCTCCGGGCGTACGTCTCGAAAAGTCGCGAAGAAACACACTCAGCTTGACCGACAGTTGAGTTGACTGACTCCTGACTTTTGTCTTGGCATTTATTTCCCCGCAGGCGAAACGCCAAAAGCAGATAGTGTGGGACTATTTGGTTCCCATTCTTCGTGCCGTCTTCGGCACCCCCGTTTCCAGAAAAAGAAAAAGAAAAAAAACTATCCCTCTCCCCCAGCCGCAGAACATCGCGGCCCCATGGCGTCGTCCAAGTCACGATGAACGCTGCTTAGAAATGCCTTATCTGGGTAGGTATGAGGCCGTTCACTGGCCAGGCCTTCTGGAACCGATGGAGCGGACGGTGTGCACCGCTGCCCCCCGGTGGAGCCGGTCGATGTGAAAAGAAAAAAATGCCGCGCTCCTTCGGAACCTTTTGGAGCGTTGCAGTCCAGTCGTTGCAACCTGCGACCATCCCATATGCAGACAACGGGCGACGGAGGGCGCGTCGGCGCCTGGAGAGGAGCCACGGGGATCCCAAACAGAGGCCCAGGAGGCATGTCATACGGATCCCTGGGGAGAGGGGGGAGAAAAGAAATCGGCCCCAACTTGCCCGCCTCGTTCCGTACGACTACACCCAGTCGGGACACGGGCGAAGCGTTCGGCGGAGCGCATCGCCATCTCGTTGGTGCTAGGTAGTGTAGCCAGCCCTCTTGACGTAGTCTTGTTTGCCACAGCTCAGCCCGTGACCCCCTCAGCTTGGTGTAGTCTCTTCCTTCTCTTCCTCCTCTTCCTCCTCCAGATCCGCCGTGCGACCAAGCCCCTCCCCCCATCAAGTTAGTCAGACCTAGCCCGTCCCCCACACAAGACAGGGCAAGGGCAATGGGACACGACATGCACGTAAGTGAGGGTCAGCCAAGGCTTCTAGAGCCAGGCGACAACGGGCTAGGGGGATGGCTCCCGTTGGATTATCTTCTTCGCCCACGGTTTTACACTACCGGTACGTCGACGACCCGGCTGCGTGATCCCCCCCCCCCCCCATGACCCTCAAAGCGGTGCTAGGGTGGCGAGGTTGAGCCTGCTATGATGCAGTCCGTTGCCACCGGCATTTGTGCTAACAAAGGCGACATTGGCTCCTACGCAACCACCCCCCCCCCCCCCCCCTCCCCTTTCTGAAAGCTGCGTTCCCTCCCCGGGTCAAAGTCCCCGGATGCCGACGCCGACGCCGACGCTGATGCTGGTGCCTCCTGTGTGGGCAGACTCGGGGCCTCACGCGCCTCGTCGCCTCAGTGGCCCACGCAGGACACGCGCTTTCTAGAGTGCTTGCAGTAGTGTCCCCTATCCTACGGGAGAAAGCGGCAGCGATGGACAAAGGGTCGCGCGACCCCATCCTCCCGGGTCCTCTTCTAAAACGTAAGGGGAGGATGACGATGCATGCCTCTCGGTGTGACTTGTCTGGTGAAGCACCGTGTACCTCTCTCTGCCTTGGGGTAACGGTATTCGGAAATCAGGTGTCGAGTCACTAGGTATGGTGATAAGGGGAGTGAGGGGGATCTTGGCAAAGCATCGACGCATGCTGCGATCCCTCTCTACCTAGTCAGCGTGAGAACTAACTGCCGACTGACTACTCATTGTTATTCTTGCCTCGTTGCACCGCAGGCAGCTGAGTGCTGGATCTGCCGCGCCCCCCACCTCGACATCGATAGTACAAACGAACCGTTGTGTAAGGAATCAGTCGTCATCGAACTCCCAATTCGTTGAAGCGCTTACCGCATCCCCCCTCTCCAGGCAGATGTGTGTGTGTGTGAGTGTGTGTGTGTGTGTGTGTGTGTGCGTGCACCCGCACTCATACAAGTAGGATCAATGTGTTGCCGCTGCCTCTGGGCATGCACTGGATTCAGTATAGCACCGTCTGGTCCATGTACTGTTTAGAACCATGACTTCCCCCTCCCGCCTTATGGCGTCGGGACGAGCCTGTCTGTCATGGACAAGACGGTGGGTTGTCTGGCTGACGACAACCTTTGCTTGCTAGAGCGCGGGGGACAATGACGGCAGCCATGACGGTCAAGGCAAGTCGCCACCATGGGGTGGACATTCATCCATCATCCCATCAACATCGAAACGCGCCTCCTCGCCCAGCCCCTTCTAATGCTAAAGAAAAAAAGGAAGATGCCGTTCGGTCGTCCACCATGCGCCTCGCGCCAAGCATGGAACAGCCCCGCCCCTCCATCCCGCGTCTGGTTACGTATCCCGTCGTAAAATCGTCGTTGAGAAGATCCTCGGTATGGTCGGCGAGCGGGCGGGCGGGCGGGCGGCGGCGGCGGCGGCGGCGGCGGCGGCGACGGCGGCGCTGCTGTTAGACGGACGATGACACATGCAATACCGGTTGTACCGGGAGCGACCATGCAAGCAAGCGGTGAGCAAAAAGGAGATTCTACGGCCGCGCTGCACGACACGACCTAAAGGGTGGTGGTGGTGGTGGTGGAGGGAGGGGGCGTTCATGTTTCGATGACGGTTGTCTTTTTTCTTTTACCTTTTGCTGGTGGCTCAGCTCCCCCCCCCCCCCCCCCCCCTCGAGCGGCTACTTTTTTATTTTAATTTGGACGGGAAAACTCTTTTTGGCTTCTTGCGGTATTGTCTCAGGCGGCAAAAAAAACGTTAAACACAAGGGCAAGGTTGGGAGGGAGGCTTCTACGCCACGCCCGTTTCGTCTTGGAGATGCCCTCTTCTGTCCGTCCTGCCCTTTTACCCTCGCGGCACCGCGTCCTGCGAGGCGAGGCAGAGACGAGAGGGGGCGCGTGATCTCGCACTCTTGCCCAGGCAAGCGTACGCACACCCACGTTGTCACGCACGCTTGGCCGCGAGCGGGTTGGTGATCTCAGGTAAGGTGGGTGTGCTGCGTTGTGCTATGCCGCATTGTGTGTGTGTGTGTGTGTGTATGATATGGAGTGGTGGTGTGGCCCGGTTCGGTTTGCGTTTGGCTGGGTGAGTGCTCTAGGTCTGGGGTGCGAGCGATGGTTAGCCGTGTGTGGCTGCTGCATGCCCCCCCCGGTGTGTGTGTGTGTGTGTGTGTGTGTGTGGTGTGTCCCGATGACAGAGGCATATCTCCCTCCATCCTTGCCGGATCGTGCCGTTGGTTTGGACGTCCGGTCATGGCTCTTTTTCGGAAGAGAGAAAGAGAGATCGGACGGACTGGGCTGGAAAAGGGGTGACTAAGCCTGTGCTTCGTCTCCGTCGCGAAGTGTGTAAGTAAAGCCGCATTGTTGTCTCGTCATCGACTTGTATCATATTGGAAGAACGGTATAGACGAGGAGGCAAGGTGCTCGTTTACAGACCATGTGCATGCAAAAGGTGTAAATATATGTATACAATATGAGTGTGTGTATGTTTATATATATATATATATATATATGTGTGGATGTCCATGCTCATGGGTATAAAAAAAGATGACGACGCGCAACGCCCTGTCAGCGCTCGAATGTGTTTGTGCAGTGTATATTCCCATCCAAATTGCTGCACACAAGCTCGGTAACCAAGACGCAGGGCTCCCGCTGCAGGATGCGCTCCCGTATTGCTCTAGTTTTTGAGTCTCCGTGGACCTGAAAGGAGAGGGGGGGGGGGGACCATGAAGACGGATGTTTCAATCATGGCATTTTTTCTCGCTGCTCGGGCCAGCCCGCGCGGTCCCAATTTGCCACCGCCGCTGCCGCTGCCGCCGCCCCGACTCACACACACCCGCTGCCGCTGCGGCTGCCGGGCTCCCCCTCATCCGAGGGCCGCCGGCCGTCTGCAAGTAAAGCGTGTAGTCCGTGACGAGCCCTACCCACCCATCTATTCCTGGAATGAGAGGGAGGGGGAGGAGAAGGAAACACGATGATGTTTGGCTAATAATGCCCCTTTCCTCAACGAGGGTTTCCTCCTTATTCTTTTCTTCTTATTCTTCTTCTTCTTCTTGCTGCGACGGTGTCGTTGCAGTCCACAGTCAGTCACCAGCCGTCTGGTCGTGAACATGATTTTGCACACATCTGCCCTTGACTGTGACTGTGACTGTGACTATGACTGTGCAGCCGTGACTGACTGACTGACTGACTGTGACTGACTGCGGCTGTGACTGGCTTCTGAGCTGTGATGTCACGCAGTTACGAGTCGTGCTCCTGTGGCTATGCTAGGCTTATTCCTCCTCCCCCCTCTTTCTTGTTCTTTTTTTACGAGGCTCTGTGATATTTGTCACCTGGAGCCTGGGAGGATGCTGCTGTGCGTCTGCGCTTCTGCGCGTTCGGGTTTGGGGAACGGCCGGGCCTCCCCCTGATGTTTTTTTTTCGGACGGGATCTGGCGCTGCGCGCCTGGTGTCGTCGGGTCGAGGGGAAGGGGGTGTGTGTCTGTGTGTGCTTTGACGGACTCGAGGCTGTTTTTCTTTCTTTCTTTTTCTTCTTCGTATCCGCCCCCTGTGGTGACGGCCCGAAGCGTCGGCCGGAGAGAGAGCCGCGGAGGCCCGTGGCCTCGCGAGGCTTGCCTGGACGGAGAGGGAGACAAAGCGCGCAGGCAAACGGAGACGGGAGTGTATGTGTGTTAATGTGCTCATGTGTAATTTCTGTGTGGTCGGTCGTCTTGATTGTTCTCTTACCTTGCTTTCCCCCCTTTCGGAGGCCAGCTGGTGATCAAGGGGGTCTAGGGGGACCTTGGGAATTTTTTTTCTATTTTCTTTTGCTTCTTCTTCTTTTTCTTCTTCATCTTTTTTTTAGGTCACGGGGCGAGCGGGCGAGAAAGTGCTCCCTGCTTGTGTCTGATTGGAGAAAAGGCGGCTTGTTGATCTTGGCCTCTTGGGCCCTCTTCTGTGCCGAGGTTTATGATGACTTTTTGCAGCGACGGATTCGGGTGCTGGTACGGAGGCTATGCTCACAGTCGTAAGAATTGGTTCCGGAGTAATGGAATAGAATATCGTCACTTCTCGTGTAGCCACGAGCCAGCTGATACGCCAGCTCCGGGCCAGGGTAGAAACTGGGCAGACGTCGCGGGGGGGTTCGTTTTTTCCGGTCCGACTTGCCATTCACTTGGTTCGTTCTACGGTTCTGATTCATCACGGTTGTCCTGTCGTAGCTTAGAGTGTCAATGAAGTACCGTCCAGAACAAGTCATACATGTGCCATAACCCTTATAGGTTGGGTGGAAAAGGCTTGCTCCTTGCTGGAGATATGGTCTCGTACAAGTCACGCGTCCTTGGTTGTGGTTGCAGCGATGATACCAACAGGTCAGAGTCAAGTTCGTTTGTACCCAGCTCATGACTCCATGTAGATGAAACTCCCTTCCGGGATGCAGAAGATAGAAGGCCTGGCTATCCATTACCTTTTAGCTGCTAGCTGAATAAGCAAGTTTGCTCTCTCTCGGCAGGGCTGTATGCTGTGTGGGCGGACAGTGGCAACGACAAGGCAACAGCACACCGCAGTTTAAAGCCTTTCATCTAACAACTCTGCGGTACAGTTATCGTAAGGTATTCAAGACAAGGCAGTGGGGGCCGTTCAGAGAGGCGAGAGGCAGACAGCAACTTATACATCAACAACAGAACAGACGGAAATGCCTGTGGCGTTCGGCTGTGCCACGCACCACCTTGTCCCCGATGATGAGAATCCCGTGCAAGACGCTGCTGGAAACAGGTAGGAAAGCCCGTCCTGGGGCTGGCAGGAGGGAGCGAGGCCGTCAACCCCAAGCTACTCAGAAGAGATCATTCTCAAGCAGAACCACACTAACGTATATCCAGTCACAAAAAGGCCGGTACCAAAACCTACGGGGGATACTAATTGGGGGGTGGGGAGCATGTGTTCTATCAGCACGCAGTTTACGTGATTTCCAAATAAGAAAGGAAGACGGACGGAACAAAGTGACGAAAGAAAAAAGGAGGTCGTTTTGGGCATCACGACTCTAGCAGCAAGAAAGCCGGGCCTTTGCAATTTTGAGACCGACTTGCCAACACTCAACCAGACAGCCCGGCAAGTCAGACGAGAAACCTCGGGATGTGGCCGCTTTCCTTGACGTTTTGACAACCTGACACACAAACACACACACACACACACGCAGTAATTCGATGCCCCCCCCGGAAAGTCACAAATTCCTTGAATTGGCAGCTGCCAGCATGGTATTTGCGTGCTAGGTTACCCGCCCGCTTATATACCAAGACACCAAACGCCAACGTGGTCAGTCCAACGGCGGTACGAGCGAGTCCGGCTAGGCGCAGCAGATCTTTGTCCAAAAACGCTTTTGTCGAGACTTCCTTGCCGGGTCATCAAGTGACCTACCTACCTGTCTCCCCACGTCGTAGATGATTTCCACTCTACCCCAGCCGTAGGGACTGGGTTGTTGAAGGGGGGTTAGGTAGTGGCATGGAACTCCGGGACATCATTTTCTTGAAAGCTTCTCTTGTTTGTTGGCATACGTTCGTAAAACCAGGTTGTTCTTGAATCTGATATCAGACCCCACGATTCGCACCAAAGGAGACAAGGTGAGGTGAGGTGAAGGGAGGGGCTCGGCCAGAACCACACGTTGGTAGTTGAAACTTCTCCCCCACGGGAACCGATGAACACCAGCCCCTCGTCCTACCGGCTGAGATACATAAGGAAGTGGCCGGCGTGATGCAGTTCACGCGAGGGCATCCATCCTGTACTCATTTGTAGTCTACGGGCAAGCAGTGGTCCCAGCAGCATGTGCTTCGATGCCGTCGTACAATCTCAAAAAAAAAAAAAAAAACAGGGGAAGAAAAGAAAAAAAAGGTAGGCAATCACTTTTGAGCCCCTTCATGGAATCGTCCTAGTCCTACATGCACCTCAGACCTCCCAACGACCTCCCTCAGGCTCTCCACCTCGCCCCCCGCCTTTTACTCTTTCGACGGGAGAGCTCCGAAGCCGGCAAAGATACTAACATCAGCAGACGGTCGGGTTTTGACCGCCGTCTCTTCCAGTTGAACCTTGGACCCGACCAAAAACAAGCCCACCAACCATCCGCCAAAACGCCGGGCCAACAGGGATAAAAAAAAAAGTCAACATAAAAGCAGGACCCTACGCCCAACATCCTCCCTGCGGGTACAAGAACCTCGTCATGCAAAGTTGATGCGCCGGAGCGTCACGAACCGCCCGGCATCACCGTGTTCCCATGAAACTCGGGCCTGACGACCAACCCGGCCTCCCTCTTCTTGCCCTTGCCCCGAGGGGAGCCGGACGGCATCACCTTGCCCTGGGCGCCAACGTCCGACAGGACCCTCTGATGAGACGACTCGGACCTGGCCGCGCCCCCTCTCCCCTGGGCTGCCTCCGTCTTGGGCGCCTTGGCCGGCGTCGGCATCCCCTCGGGCTGCTTGACGTTGAACGCCTCGTAGAACGCGGGCCCCAGCTCGGCCCCGTGCCCGCACTCCCGGATCTTGCGGCCGCAGAAGTTGCAGCCGCGGGCCGTCAGGGCCGACACGGTGCGGCCGTCGGGGGTGCCTCGCGCGCCGCCGTGCGCCCGGACCAGCTCGTCGTCCTACGAGTGCCGGCCCTGGGGCACGACCGATTTGTCGATCCGCAGCCGGCCCCGCGCCATCGCGTCCTTCTCATCGCCGAAGCGCGCCTCGAACGCCCGCTGCTCGGCCTGGTGGCTCTCGAGCGACGCGCGGCACGACGGCGGCAGCATCGCTTTGAGGTCGTCGCCGATGGCCAGGATGCCGTTGAACGGCTTCAGGAAGTCGGGGACCTCGGCCGGCCGGCGGCCGGCGGACTGGACCCGCACGCGCGGCGTCTCGTAGACGACGTCCACGACGTTGAAGTTGCGCGCCACCGCCGACGGCACGGTCGGGAAGGCGCTGTTGGGCTCGCTGGCGGTGCCCGGGGGGACGATCTCCACGCGCGCGCGCGTCGGTTGCGTGTTGACGGGCATCTGCATCAGGTTTGTGTGGATGTCGTACGCGCCGTGGCGCAGCGTTGCCATGCGGATGGCGTTGACGCGGCTGTTGAAATCGCTGGGGGGGGGCGGGGGGTATGCGTCAGTCTGTGATGCCGTGCCTTGTGTGAAGGGGGAAAAGGGGGAGGTTTTTCTTACCTAGCCGCGCGAGCGTGCTCCAACTGCCAGTTGGTATCATTCACGTTGACCCGCTTCTTCTTGACCTCGGCCAGGCCGGCAAGGGGGTCCGAGGCGGCCGGCGTCTGGTTGGTATGGTACACGGCACTGGCGCCGAACCACGCGACGTACTGGTTCGAGTTGTAGGGCTGGTTAGGGTCGAAGACGTCCGAGGGGTCGGCGATGGCGCCCTCGACGACGCCGGCGGCGCGCATGTCGGCGACGCGGTAGTCGTCGATGATGTTGCGGCCGCCGACGATGATGCGCGCGCCGAACTCGACAAAGACGGAGCGGGCAGTGACGATTCCTATGGCACGGCCCTTGTACGAGTGGGGGATGATGTTGCGCTCGATCATGTCCATCTTCTCGTCGTCGCTCACGATGATCTTGTAAAGCTTGGGGTGCTTGTTGAAGAAGAGGTAGCTGTCGCGGAAGCCGACGCAGCGCGCGGGCTCCGTCGACAGCATGTACTGGCGATCGCCGCGGTCCTTGACGGTGAAGGTCCTGCAGCGGTACTGGCGGCCGCCCTGGAGGTTGCCGAGCTTGTCGACCTTGGTCTCTCCCTCGGGGTCCTCGGGCAGTACGCACTCGTCGTCGACGATGTCGACCTCGGTGCCCTCCTTGTCGATGACCTGCTTGAGCTTCGGGGGGGCCTGACCGGGCGCGGGCCGTCGACCGCCGCGGCCGCGCCATCCACCGCGGCCTCTCCGTCGCGGGGTGTCGGCCTCGGAGGCGGGTACGGTGATCATGTTATCCCAGCCGGGCGGCTTGTTCTTTGGAGGCCGTCCGAGACGCTTCCTACGGATCACCGGCTCGGTGGGAGGGGTTGGTTCCTTGGCCGAGGGCTCAGAGTCCTCTGCGTCGTCGTTGGCGGGCTCCTCCTCGCCGTCTTCGTCGCCTCCTTCCTCTTCGCCCGACTCATTCGCCTTCTCCTCTTCGTCGTCATCGTCGTCTTCGGGCTGCGCCTCTTGCTCGTGCTCGTTCTCGTTCTCGGACTCGACAGCTTCGGCAACGGGTTCGTCGTCATCAATGCCCTCAAAGGTTCTGGGAGTGCTTTCTGGAGTTCAGACGCAGTTAGTAATGCGATGGTGCTACTGTTTTCGTGACAATATCAATATCAACTGGTGCGCCCAGCCTTTCAGACAGTCCGTCGCAGGCAATCAACCCCCTCCAGGCTTCAATGTGCGACAAACAAGGCAAAACGAACACGCGGGGGGGGGGGAAGCTTGTACGTACGGAGTGCAGCAGAGGCACGCTTGGCGGCGGCCCTGCCTGAACGAGAACGGCGTCCAGACATTGTGAGGAGGTCGACAGAGGTTGGGAGAGTTTGCGATCCAATGCCGGAGTTGCAATGCCGGTTTTTATAGGTGCCGGTGCGTAGGATGTGGGCGGGTGTGTGCGAGGCTGAATGGCGAATGGGCGCTGGTTGAGAGGGAGTCGCGACGCGAAAGGACAAGGCTCAGCATGTTCCCTGGGGCGGGAAAAGATAAATTGGCGTCTCCCAGCTTCGTCCTGATTGGAAGACTAGACCGTATGAATAACCTTTGGCACTGGCCCCATACACACTGTGCACTAACCTCACGATGATGCAAAGAAGGGATGGTTGCGATACAGCCACCGAAATCTACCTTGATAATGAACGTAATACGCTCGTTCTCTTCACAGCCCGACGTAGCGGTCTCTAGTATGAAAAGAAAGCATGAGATTTTTGTACTTCTGTCTTCTATCTCTGTGTGTTGTTTTCTTGGGGCGAGGCAACCCAACTAGCAGCAGTCTGGGGGGGGGGATATTATGCAATGAAGCCGCCTCCTAGTTTTTCCCTGTAATTTTCCCAAAAATACAAACTCTCAAGAAAAAAAAAAGCTTCAATCTTCACCAAGCGGGCGAGCAAGCGAATTCTGTCCATCCGTGATCGACCTCCTAAAGCTCTGATCTTTCAAGAGCTGCGAGAATGCGCCATTCCAGGCGACTAGAACCGATCCGAATCAAGACGACAGGCACAGGGAAACCACCCCCCAAACGCCCGAAAGAAATAATTGGCAAGCCGCAATTGCCATTGCCAGTCAGGCACCGTGTTGCAGCCGGCTGCATGAGGCCGCCGAATCCCCATCATCGCCGCCGCCGCCGCCGGAGACGTACTGCAACTGACAGCGTCTCGGGGGCGTCGACTCACTCCTCACTCCTCACTCTTGAGAAAAAGGATGCCTTCATCCACAAACATGTGAGGGCAGTGCGTGCCAAAGCACTTGTAAGGACAACCGGGCACCTTCTAGTTAACCGGAAGGCCGTCGATTGCCTTCTTGTCAGCACCCCACTCCTTCTCGATCAGCCTGTCACGGGCTTGATACAAGAACCGATAGGCCGTCTTGATGGTGCCATCGCTGACACCGGCCACCGAGGCGATCTCCTTGGATGTTCTCACCTCCTTCATGAGATGAGACGCCATGTAGATACACGCGGCGGCGACGGACAGCGGCGAGCGACCGGCCAGCTCCGAGACGCTCGACGTCTTGCGTGCGAGCGCCCGCGAGACGTTTTCAATCTTTTGCGCATTGCGGAAGTTGAGGTTCGAGCAGAAGCGAGTGCAGAGGTCCTCGGCGCTGGTGGAGGCGCTGGCCTTGTAGCCGTCCAGGTTGGACAGAGAGCCTGCGCCACGAGGGTTCTCCTCCTTGATCTTCTGCAGGAACGACTCGAGCTGCTTGAAGACCCTGCCGATTTCCTTCTTGGACACGTGAGTGACCTGGAAAATCTCGCGAAAGGTACGGCCGACACCCGTCTGACGACAGGCGATGAAGATGCATCCTGCAATGACAGCCTCCTGAGGCTTGCCCTTCATAAAGTTGTGGTCGTACGTGAGCTTGAAGATGTGTTTGGCGGCGTCGGAGACGTTCTTGCCGAGGTTGATACTATCGCAAAAGGCGCCAATCTCCTTGTAGGCCTGCATGAGCGACTTGCTGGCCTTGTCGTTCTGAGACTTGTTCTGGAGACGGGCCAGCTGCTTCGAGTCTCTGCCGTCGCCGAAGGCGATGGTTGTCTCGAGCTGAGAGCCGTTGAGCAGGGGGTTGACTGCGTCACCGACACGGGAGGGGTCGTCGTTGCCCTGGTCGTCGTTGGCGAACGTACGCCATTCGGAACGGGTGTCGATGATGCGCTCACCGACGACGAGGCCGCAGGAGCCGCAGACCATGTCGCCCGAGGAGAACTCCTCTACCAAGTGAGGAGGGTACTCCTTGCAGTCGGGGCACATGACGACCATGTTGAGATCATCTCTGAAACCCTCGGAATTGCCATTCTCGTCCGTCGCGGCACCGTTGGGGCCGAGCATCTTGGGCTTGTACGGCTTGGCTGTGTAGATGTTGTTTACTTCGTCGAAAACCTTGCGACGGCGCTTCAGTTCTTTTCTTCTTCGCCGGAGTTGCTTGCGCTTTTCGACTACGGCCTTATAGGTCGTGGGGTCTTCTTTCGCCGGGTTGTTGGTTTGTGTCCAAAGGAGATCGGTAGCAAGCTGAACAAAGAGCGGCGAATGCAGCTTGGCGGTGTTTGTGACGGGCTAAGAAAAAAGACTGGCTCCAAAGACGACGCGGAGAGCTGCTCCCAAACCGAGGTAGGCCTCTCGATCCCTCACCAGGCAGCAGGACGAAAGAAATATAGTTCAGAGATTCCTCGGGCGGCTGGTCACTTTTTTACTCTCTTGATGAACGGTAGTCAAACTCGTTCAGCGGGGAAGTGACGAAAGCGCTCGAGAGAGGGTTTACCCTAACTAGGCAAAGAAAAAAAAAGGTGAGCCATGACTTCCTGACCTGCGGCAGGAATATCCTCTCTCACCAATAAAGCGAGCCTTTTGACGGAAGGCGCGATAGACGAGAAGGGGAGAGGGACAGGGAGAGGAGAAGATGAAAAAGAAGATGGGCTCTCTATGTCTGCAGTGCAGCCCGCCGACCGATTCTACCAGTGAAGGCGTCCGAGAGTGGCGAACAAAGACAAAGGACCCCGAGTGCCAGGTCGCGGAGCAGTCGGCTCGTCGAAGAGAAGTTCGTATGCAGCAGTCGCAAAGACGGCTCTGAAAAAGTCGATGGACGGATTTTTCGAGGGTTCGTTGCGGCGGAGGCAGACGATTTTCTTCGTACGGGCGAGCGAGTGACGTGGAGAGAGGGTGGGTTGTAGGAGGAAAAAAACGTCCAGGCTGAGTTTCGGATTCCGGATAAGGACTTTACTTTGCTAGGGGAATAGGCAGCCGTGGCAGGGCCTGTAGGGTAGCTGGATGACTCAGCAAATGGGAAGTGAATGCCGTTCGAGTGCGGATACAAGTGGAGTACGGATACGGTGGGTATGTTGGGTACGTACATGTGGGTATTGTACGATGTACATTGTACCATGAACAAGTGGGGGGGGGGGCTCCTTCACTTTTTGGTCCATCTAAGCTTCCAATTGAGGAAGGCTCATATAGGCCGTTCACCTGAGGCAGGTACGTAAGCTACCTACTACGTACGATGTAATATGGAGTATACAGGGTATATTTATGTAATACGAAATGGATACGTTGGAGATGGATAAACACTATAAGTAGCTACCATGTGTGTTTCTTGATGTGTGTGTTCCTCGGTGGTTTGTGGTGGTTGTGGGTATCAATACAAAGGAAAATAAGCAAAGAAGGTACATGAATTCTTCACCAGGGCACTCCAGCAGGGGGTCCATGTTGCTAATCATGAGGGCTTCGTCGTCATCAAATCATCCAATCCTCCTCCCGTGCCTCGGTGACCCCGTCTTCAAGACAGGTGCACGGGGGCATCCGAAGGCCTCGAGAGTCCCGGAGAGGAAATCTCGTCCATCTCCGATACTGCGGGCGGCGGCACGACCACCCTGACCCGCGGCGTGCGGATCGGCGACGGCGACGGCGACCTCGAGCGCGGGGTCAGCGAGATGTCGACCTCGACGCCTGGATGGGGCTCGATGTAGGTGTGCCGCATCGACGACGCAGACGAGCCCGACGAGGACCACGCCGACAACTCGGACGCGGACCTCATCCGCGGCATCCAGACCGACACGGGCCGGCCCCCGTAGTTGTATTCCTGCCGGAGGCTGTTTTGGAGCTGCTGCTGCTGCTGCTGCTGCTGCTGCTGCTGCAACCTCGCGAGGCTGAAATCCTCGTAGCTGCTCCGCCTCGAGGGCTCGCGGATGGCGAGCGACTTGCGGATCATGATGTTGCGCTGCATCTCCTCCTCCTCGAGGCGCTCGAGGGCGCTGAGCTTGCGGCGCCGCGAGAACTCCTTGCGCGTGAGGTATGGGTCCCGCTTGCACGCCTCGCGGAACTGGGCGTGCTTCTTGCGGTCGAATAGGTAGAACAGCGCCGCCGACATGATGACCGCCGCGGCGCAGAGGACGACGGCGACGACGACGATGGCGGTGGTACTGGTGCTGAGGGTCGTCGGATTCGGCGTCGGTGTAGGTGATGATGCTGCTGCTGCTGTTGCTGCTGATGATGCTGCTGCTGCTGCCAATGCTTCTGTTGCTGCTCGTCGTACTCTCTCAAAGCTGGCAGGTGCCATGTCTCGGTCAAGGTATTTATATTGGCGTGCGTGTGCGACCTCGAGGATGTTGGTTTGTTGACAGCGGGACTAGCACGACTCCCCAGTCCGCCCCCGTGAACCGTTCTCGTTAGGCCTTCCTCTCGGGGAGGTCGTAGCTGAGTGAGGAGCTTGGAGAGTTGGGGCCGTGATAGTTCACGTGGCGCCGGCCTTCGGTGATGCCAGTGGACGGGTAGGATGTGTTGGTTGGTATATGGGAGGATGGAAGGGGGGGGGTGCGTGCGGGAGGTCAATGATGGACCGGACGACTGCACCCAAGCGTGGGTTTTACAACGTCTTGATGCTGGAGGTTTCTTCTTTGTTGCTCGAGCACTAGAGGGTCGTGTACGGACGCAAAGACAACGTTTTGTGCTTGGAGAGACCGTGTGTAGATGGGGATTCCGGGTGAAGCTAAGAGGACGAGGAGGGCCCAGAGATACTCTTTATGACATGCCCCGAACCCTGTTCGAGGCAGCATCTCCAAGAGCAGAAGTTGGAGCACGGGTCCCAATGTAACCATGCCTTAATTAGTCCTTGCACGAGCATATGTTGCGAGGCAGATCGGGCGAGTCTCACTCTCACTCTCACTCTCACTCTCTCTCTCTCTCTCTCCCTGCAGGGTATACAGCGGGGGGTGGGAGAGTACCTAGGAGGGGTTATTCCCACACGCCAAGGAACATGGTTCAAGGGGAGTGAGGAACCAGAAACAGAAACAGAAAGGAAAGAAAGAGGGCAGCATGCGCAAGTAGGTAGGTAAGATGGAGCCGTGGGTCTCCCATAAGGCGCTTCGGCAAGCTGCGGCGGCGCGGCCGCATGTACATATTTGTCGTTCGTTGCACACACGGTCGTTTAGCGTCTATTATTGGCGCTTCCTCCATGCCCGGCCGCGTGGGGAGACCAGCCCAATGAGTGAGGAGGGTCCGGGAGGGACCGACTTTAGGGTTTCTCTAGTGCATATCCGAGAAATGTCCCCTCCTCTCCCTGGTGTGTTTTGCCTGTTGCCTGTGTGCCTCTCTGTTGGATCGTATACGTACAAGTTGCCCCCCCCCAATCCTATCTGCCTTGGGGGCCGTGTGTATGTGCGTTGGAGAAGAAAACATGAGGAAACGAGGGCGCTGGGCGGTCGTCGATCTCGGCTTACACGGAAGAGGAAGCGGAAGAGGAGGAAGAGACGTGTGTCTAAGTGCAACTGTATGCAAAACCTCCCGACTTGGATACCTGGGCTCGTCCAACTCCTCCGTCGTCCCATGTGTCGCCGCCTCCTGTCCGAGTGTCTGGGACAGTTCATGTATTTGCCTCAACTACCGTTGATCTTGGCGTTCCAACCACAAGGTTAGCTGCTCATCGGCTACGCGCCGCTTCTATCCGGCCACGAACCCGGCCTCAAGGCTGACGGTATCGAACCACCTCGCAGAGCCGAGTCCAGAACTTCCATCTCGCCCTTGTCCAACAGGCACCGGCAGCACCAAGAGGCCCCCTCCCCCCAACACACCCAGAGTTTTTGGGAGGCGGAGCTGAGGCCCCCAAATAGACGCGGTGCGGCCCCCAGTGGGTGCTAGGGAGATCCGCCGTGGCCGCGGCACCCGTAGGCTGCAGATGGGGAGGGTCGTATCGGCGGGCGATGACGATACAAGCTCTATGTTTGGATAACATTGGATGGCTGGAACAGTCCTCGGTGCAAGAGGACAAAGAGAGCAATCCCCTCCCCCGACATCGAAAGCTCGCCACTGCTTAGCCTGGCCGTCCTACGCCCTTTCGAGCCATGACAGCCGAGCCGATGATGGCGTTGATCTCGAACCCCGTTGGAGAACAGATGAGAAAAAAAAAAGAAAGATAAAAAAAGAAGATATCGCATTCCGCCCGCTGTAACGGGCTGACCTCGAACGATGAAAGAAAAGCACAAGGAAAACGTGGTTTTCAGCGGGAGTCCCCATCGTCTCATGGCACCCTCCTTCGCACCCCCTCCACGTGTGTTTTGCTCGCATTTTTAGCCTTTTTCTTCTTCTTCTTCTTCTTTTTTTTTTCTTATTTTATTTTTTTCGAGAGCCCCGCTCGGGCCGAAGAGACCACGTGCGATGTAGATTGGGCAGATAGGGTTTCGTTCCCCTTTCCAGCAAACTTATATCGTCCTTCTTCCCTGCGCTCGCGCACTGATCATCCCAGCGCGCTTTTTCTACACTAGGTTCCCAGTGCGTTTGTTTCAGTGCGCTCGTTTCAGCGCCTCCCCCACCCCTGCATGTCCTCTTCCCGCCCCCGGGGACGCTTCTCAGGTAAAGTGATGTTGTAGTGAAGAGGCCCAGATGTGGGAGAATACGGAAACCCGGGATTAGGGAGGAGGGTCCCCTCTTCCCAGGAGATGATCTCCCCTTGGGTCGTTCGTTGCCAAAAGAGAAAAGAAAAGAGAAGAAAGTAACCTAAAACACGGCAGCAGTGACTCTGCACCCACGCTGGGCACCGTTCGATGCGCAGTCAGCGGTCTCGGATGGCATCTCGAACCCCCCTCCTTAACGGGAGGAGACGGGACGAGGAAGGGCGCCCCCCCCCCCTCGTGGTCTGGAAAGGACGGAAAGGCGAATGGATAGGAAACCGTGCTCACAACTGATCTGATTGATGGCCGTCGTCGTCGTCGTCGTCGTCGTCGTCGTCGTCGTCGTCGTCGTCGTGACTGTAGCCTGCCGTTGCTGACATGCTAAGCCAGCCATCCATCCCTCAGAGGCCGTGTGAGTCTATGGCCGCTGCGACTGTATACAGCATCTCGACAACGCCGCCTCGACGGACGAATGGGCATGGGTTGTGAGGAATGATTTTGGGGCGGTTATATGCAGCAGCATGCGGCGTGCTTTCGAGGCCTGGTCTTGGGTACGGATGCAAGTCAAAAAAGCAACAATCATGTCTGAATAGAGCCACCACACCCCAAATCATCATCACCGGGCTCGCTCTGTGGTGCCGCACACCCGTGGACGGACGTGCGAGAGTCGACTGACATACTCTTGGTGCGCCAAGCCGGGAGGATTTATCGCCCATCTCTTTCAAGCCCGCCATGGACGGCACCGGACCATCCCCGTCCATCAGCCTACCGGAGAGAGAAAAAGACGGAAAGGACCAAGGCATGCTGGCTCACAACATCGAAGCATGCAGTCAGCGTGATATCGTGCTGACACACACACGACTATCTTCCCGTGAACCACCCCCGTCTCTTGATCCTTCCGCGACGCCACCCGGGTTGGCGCCTATTGCCCTTCCTCAGTGACAGACACACACACACACATACATACATACATACCTACGCTGAACAAGTCCCGTTCTTTAACGACCTTCCTTTTTCGGCTCTCCTGGAGCCCATAAATAAACATACAAAAACGACAAACCATGCGCGCGCCGTGCCGCTGCCGCGAGGCGCAGCAGAGCGGAGCAAAATACCCTTTTTACCCTCCCTCCCAAAAAGGGGCGATGGATGCGATGCACGGAACGACTGCCGCCCCCCCAGCTCAGCCACCGCCGGGGAGGAGGACGGCTGCGGGCCATCGTGACGTTCCGGCCCGGTTGCCGCCTTGCCTTGCCTTGCCGTGCGCTCGTCCGCTGTGTGCAGCTCGACAATACCCACCCCACTGCTCTTGTCGCCGCAGTCTGCAGGGTCTGGAGGCGATGGGACGGTTTTGTGCCTACGTGTTGTGCCCTTCCGCCGAGATGGAGAGAGGGGGAAAGCTCTAGTTCGTCGCGAGAGAGAGAGAGAGAGAGAGAGAGAGAGAGAGGACTGTCCACGAGGCGGCTCAACTCGTTAATGACCCAGTAGCTTGGCTGATGTAGGGCGGCGCATCGGCATTGGCTTGTTACTGATCTCAGTCATCGTCGAAACCCAAATGACGTCAAATCGAGAAGCGCCCGTCTCGAGTTGCCCTCTCACGGTAAATAGGACGAAGAATGTCTGTGTACACACAAGTGTCGAATGAAGAAAAACAAAAAAAAAAAAACGGCGTTTCAACTCATCTATTAAGCGTGGCTTGAGAGAAATCAAGATACATAACTACATGACGCCCGCCTGCCCACCCCCTCTTCCCGGCCGCTCACGCATCTTCAGATGGATACAAAGAAGAAGAAAAAAACCGCCAGAAAAAATAACAATCAAAGGAATCACCGAGCACCCTCAGACGAGCCCCCCGCCTGATAGGTGATAGGGCGCGTTCGTGCGCATGAGGTAAATCTCCCCGAGCAGGACGGTGCAGCCGACGATCATGGAGATGGTGATGATGGGCACGTTCTCCCGCGCAAACTCCATGCGCCCGATGCGGATGTGCTTCCGGCCGAGGATGTCGCGCCACAGCAGGCCGGCCAGCGACGCGCTGAAGGCGGTGCTGAAGGCGCCGTAGTTGACGCCCAGCGCCATGCTGTACACGGTGCCCCAGAACATGCGGTCGCTGATGGCCACCCCGGACTCCCGCCGGATCTGCTCCCACGCCTGGATCACCCGCGAGAGGAGGATCGTCGTGCCGATGTTGGTGCCCGCGAACTGGGAACCGGCTCTTGTCAGCTTTGTCGAACCCGACCCACCACGAAGAACATGTCACCAGGTACCAAATGAAAGGGGGAAAAAAAAAAGGAATAGAAAGGCAGAAGGAGGAACGGAGGGGGGGAGGGGTTGCTTACATTGCAGAGAATCACCGATAGGAAGCCCATGCCGCCGATGGCGCCGACGACGCCCGTCTTCTCGACCCAGTGGTCCCACCCGTACGCGAACACCGGGACCCAGCCCTTGGTGACGAGCGCCTGGACCAGGACGAACATGGCGAAGGCGAACGGCACGAGAGGGAACGGGAGATGCGAGATGACCGCCATGACGGTCGGGAACGTCTCCTGCAGCCATCGGTGCGCGTCCCGCCAGACCGACACGAGCGTCCGCGGGGCCGCCTGGTCGCCCGCCGACCCCCGATTCTCGCTGACGTGGTCCCTGCCCTTCTCGTTGCCGGAGAGCACCGCAAGTGACGACATCTCACGTCTCGCCTTGCAATCGCCGTTGCCGGTGCCGGTGCCGTTGCCAGTGCCGGTTCCGTTGCCAGTGCCGCCGCCGCCGTCGCCACCACCACCACCCTCAGCGGAGACCTGGGCCGCCGGGGTGAAGGCGACGGCGGGCGGGGCGCTGGAGCTGGGCGTGTCCGTGTCGACGTCGCGGCCCACCGGCGACACCTCGTCGTCGGCGAGACGCATCTTTTCCTTCTCCGACATCTCGGGCGCCGTCTCGATGTGGATATGCGGCCGGGTCTGGGACGGTGGCGCGGGCGTTATTGGCATCATCTCCGTCCCCGAAGGCTTGCTCGACTCCTTGCCGTGCTCGAGGTCCGGGTGCTCGGGGCTGGGCTCGTCGCCGCGGTGGATGCCCCTGGCGATGGCGCGCGTCTCTTTGCGGCGCAGCCAGCCGAAGCAGAGATCCCAGGAGAGCATGACGCAGGCGGCGGGCAGGGTCACCCAGTAGACCTGGAAGCGGCGGCCGTGGGTGGCCTTGACGCCGGCGGCGTTGATGGTCAGCACGGTGATGAGGGTGGCGGACATGACGAGGGCGCCGAAGGCGGCGCCCCCCCGGTCGAGCCAGGGGTTCATGATCTCCTCGACGAGCTGGTCCGTGTTCTCGTCGTCGTCGTCGAGGAGGTTCTCGTCGCGTGCAGAGGCGGCGCGGGGGATGGGGATGTTTGGGTTGACGGGGGCGGACATTGTGGACTCGGGGGCCTCGCGCATCTTGATGGAGTAAGGGATGAGGCCCTCGTTATTGAAGACGACGTAGAGGAGAAAGGGGAACAGGACGACGGCGGTGACGACGACGGGGACGACCATGTTGGCGGTGTACTCGATGAATTTGACGCGGAAGGCGCCGGCGAGGACGAGGTTGGTGGGGTTGGAGGAGACGAGGATGGCGGAGGCGATGTTGGCGATGGAGAACTGGGAGAATATCCAGGCCTTGGGGTGCTTGATGTTGGTGGAGACACGCGTCATGTAGGCGAGGAAGGCGGTGCCGGAGAGGATGATGGGGTCGTTGCCGATGAAGGTGCCGAGGCAGAAGAAGAAGGCGTAGAGGTAGAAGAAGAGACGGTGACCGACCTCGCCTCCCCACTGGAGGACCTTGAGTGCCAGGTAGCGAATGAGGCCGGAGGCGTCGATGGAGATGGCGATGTAGGCGAGAGAGATGAAGAAGACCATGATGTCGATGGGGAAGATGCCATTGTCGCCGATGGTGCCATCGTGGACCTCCTGCCTGCCGATGGCCAGAATGGCGAGGAGGAAGAGGTCGGCGATCAGGGGGGCGGTGACGGAGTCGATGGGGAATCTGAAGGGCACGAAACGCCTGCGTCCCGCGGCTCGAGGATCCCGGTGGTCATGGTGATAGTTCTTGTCCCTGGGAGGGATGACTCTCAGCCCGGCCAGACCGTCCAAGGTCATGTGAACAACCCATACGGGCACATGGATTGGGACATGGAAAGGGAAGAGGACTGCGAGATCTATTACACACACACACACACCGAGGTGGGTGGGTGGGGTTGGTTAGCCGAAAGGAACTTTGGTAGATGCTAGATAAGGCGGATAAGATATGGATGCAAACGTACTTGCGAGGACGAATGCGATGAGGGTGACGATGGACCTCCACTCCCTGATCTGATCTGTCCGTGTGCTGATGGTATTCACGGTAGTTGCGTTGGAAGCCATGATAGGCGGGTGTATTCACAGTGGCTCATTCGATCGTAGTAGTGGTTGATGAGGGGGGTCTGGAGCCGGTGGGTGTGGTTTGTACCATGTGTCGGTCGTTGCTTGCTTGCTCAAAGCGCACCAGGAGTATATCACAATGATGGCTTCTTTTTACGTCTATGTCGTATATGTGCGTGTGTATGTATGTTTGTATGTGTTATGTACTTTGTACGCTGTTTCCGGGGAACGTTTATGGAAAAGGAACAGAAAAGAAAGAAAAAAAAGAGGGCGGGGGCCTATCGCCATACAATAGCATATCTATCTACCATACCATACATACCATACCATGCCAAACCATACATACCAAACCCATACCCATACCCTGGATTCCTACCATACATTTTCCCACCATGGGTACGAACCATACTACACTTACATATGCATGTGCCCACACATACCTCGGTCTCTTAGGGCCATTATCCATGCGTCGATTTTGTCTTGACCGTATTCTGTAGCCAACAATAGTCGGCGTTACACACTAATACCTAGGTAGTGCCCCAGGTAGTGCCCCAGGCAGGCAGGTTGAACTAACTACCGGACCCCACGCTAGCTCGTATGTGTAGCAAAGTCCGCTGTAGAATGTTGCCGGGCCCTCGCTGATTGGCTTGCCGCCGGCTTTTGCATTTTGGGCATTTAACGTTACGTCGACGTTCCTTGCCTGTTGCTGCCGTCCAGCGAATCCTTCACAGAAGCACATCACCCATCATCCATCATCCATCATCCATCATCCATCATCCATCATCCATCATCCATCGCCTCGTCGACCCAACCCCCAAACACGTCAGCACACCTTTCTCTGACGCCCGGAACCGCTTACGTCGACTGCCACGCTTTCTCTCTCTCTCTCTCTCTCTCCTCCCCCCTTCTCTCTCTCTCTCTCTCTCTCGCTCTCTCCCTCTCGCTCTCTCTCCCCATCTGCTGACTCTTGCTCCCTCCCAAGGTCCTGCTTGCGGCAGCCGTCGTTTGCTGAATGCGTCGCGAAGCCGCCTTAACGGAACAATCTCACCTACCTGTTTTCGGTGTCGCCTTACGTTCTGTCGAAATGCGACCTATTCAAGGCAAAAAATGGAACATGTTCGCCCGGCCAACAGGCATCTCACCCCTCCCTATCATCATCACGCGACCAACCCCCCCCCCAGTCAGGCCCTTGTCTCCGAAGAGAAAGGATGGATGACGGGAAGAACCTCCGCCTGCTTCTCACATCTTATCTCGAGGGGGTGTGCCACATCCGCAACTTGTTCTCACCACACAACCGTTTTAGAACCCTGCTCAACGAGAGGGATGGAGAGGAGGACAGGAAAAAAAAAAAAAAGAGACTCGGAATTTACTCTGATTGATGTTCCTCGTCCCGCCATCCCGCAGCCCAAACTATCCCACCATCCACTGCGGACATTCTCGCCCTCGACACCACCTCCTACTAACCTTCGACGTTGACCCATATCGATTCAGTCCGCCGAACAAGGGCCGGCGGCAGTCCAGTAGTCTGCCTCCCCGGAGAGAGAGAGAGAGAAAGAGACCGACGACCCGACCTCGGGGGCTTGATGGCACCTTTTCCTCTGATCTCGCTGGTGCACGTCATCGCCGGCCGAGACGCGTCCGCCCACGACGTCTCGTCCTCCTGCGCCGCCTCTGTTGGCGAGCCCTGCCTTCAGGTCATCTGTTCGTGGCCTTTGTCGGGGCAGTATGGTCTCGGTCAGAGGGTTCTGTAAGTCGGCCTGACGCGCAAGCCTGCCAAGCTTTCTCCACATACGCGCGTGTTCTTGATCGAGTTTGTCTTATCCATCTTTACCTCCCCCCCTGTCCCCCCCATCTCGGCAATTAAGCTTTTTTCCCCCTTGGTGCTGCGAACTAACATCGGCATCTGTTTCATCCAGTTATTACGCACTCGTAGCGACTTGCGTGCTCGCCAGGAAGGCCGAGTGGATCAGAAACGTTGGTCTCGCCGCTGCGCTTATTCTGCCCGCCGTCGCGGCTGTGCATGGAATCTTCTTGGCCGCGTTGCACGTTGATGGTGCGTTGGTTCCGTTCATACATTTATTTTTCACCTTGTAATTCTGCGGCCATCTCGAACCTAATCTCGCCCGCGCCTGCAGGGGCCATCGATCTCGACGTCTACGGCGCCCTGCAGTACTGCTCCATAGGCGTCCTGGCCGGACCCGTCACCGTCAAGTTATCCTCCACCTACTCCCACCAACGAGGACGCAACATCATCTTCCTGTGGACCGGCCTAATCCTCGCTGGTAAGCAACGCTATGAACACACCGCCCCTCGGCCCCGCGAGCAAACATGTGCTAATGCCCCTGCCAAGGTCTCCTAAGCTTGGCCGTCGAGTTTTACCGCGTCAACCCGACGCCATGCTTCTCCGACGATGCCGCTGGCCTCGTTTCTCAGCACCCGGCTCGTTTCCCCTACGGCACCGCTATGTGCGGGCTCACGTGCTCGCAGCAGCTTGGCCCGTCGTCTCTCCTGCGGACCAAGGCCGCTAGCGAAATATACGTCGTGCCTGTACCCGTCACGCTCCCGCTCGGCACCTCCATGTTCCTCGCCGCCGCCGAGTGCGTTCCCGCCATCCTCTCTCTGGTGTCCTTGTTGGCCAAGATCAGGAACAACCCGGACGATGAGGAGAGTTCCAACACCCCCATCCCGGGGGCCAACGGCGCGACCTTTGGAAACATGAAGAGCGTCAATGCCAGCATCAGGGGTTTCCTCAACGCGGTGGAGATACCCGTTTTTGCCGGCGCCGTCGTCGCCATTATCGTTATCGGGGAGATCAACTTCTCCAGCCCTCAGATGGACTACCACACCGAGCCCATCGGTAGCATTGGTACACCTCTATCCCTTCCCGACGCCTGTGTGTGTGTGTGTGTGTGTGTGTGTGAGCGTGTTTCCGAGTCGAGCTAGCTGACGTGAAGATTCCTCAACAGGTCAATGGGGCACCATACTCGCAACCGGCATGGCCGCCCTGGGCTCCTTGTACGTCTATCTCGCCGGTGAAGTCGTGATGAGCACAGGCGAAAGGGCCTCAGGAGAACCGAGTAGCCCAGGCCGCATGAGCCGGAAAAGAACCAATGACCCCGAGATGGTTGACGTCCGGCAGGATTCTCTCATCAGGTCCACCTCTGGCATGACCGACCTCGACCAGGACCAGGGCTACAGACGCACAGTCTCCAACGCTCTCATAAAGGTCAACGGGTTCTTCGGCAACCAGATGCAACGGCCGCTAAGGCCCTACGAGTTTGGTATCGGCGTGTGGCCCCAGATACCGGGGGAAAGAGAACGCAACGATAACTTGAACCGGACGATCGACCAGTTCAGTACGCGTAACCTCCGCCTGTCCATGAGCCGAGACTCGAACGAGTCCCCTTCGGGAAGTGAAGGTGACTCGATAACACCGACCCCAGGGTCGCCCAAATCGAGAGAAGGGGGGTCCGTGGCGGCGTCTTCATCGCGACAACTACGAAAAGGCAGACGGTATACCGACCCATCCGGATCGCGTTCCTTTGGGCAGCGCCAGGAGAGCACGCCATCTTCCTCTACGGAGCCCGAGATGATTCACAGAAAGTCCCGCAGTGCGACGCTGCAGGTGCCGACGTTGCGCCGCTCGTGAGATGTGCGCCAGCTAATCCGGTCGTGGGATGAACCATACCGTCGTTGTCTGACCGCAAGCCATACGGACACCAAGTAGAGCAGCGGGAACTGCTTAGAGGATAGAGGCGGTCAAGGGGACCGGTGTTGTAAATGGAATTCTATACCAGTATGCATATAGACATGTATAGACATGTATAGACATGTATAGACATGATTTATCAGGAACACCAAAGATGAACATTTCAAAGAACGGACACTGACATGATTTCACAGAGGTAACGGCCTACGATTGGACCGTGCACACTTACATAAGGAATTCCCACTGGTGGTGCAAGGATGATGTCGAGGCCTCTAGTGTACCTGACGGCATCCCCGCCAACCGGGCCGGAGCTAGACCGGGGTCGGAGTTGGAGAGAGGAGCCAAGACGCGCCCCCTCGATGATACCGGTGGACCTCTCAACCAACCCCAACATATCTTCCCCGCAACGGCTGCCATCAGTCATCCGAACGTGTGAGAGAGAGAGAAAGAGAGCATGGGCAATCTATCACTTGGAGTTTCGTTCCGCATGGCGTCGCAGGCCGCGCGATGCCGTGCCCCGGCGTCGTGCCTGACGGGCGCTTGGCGACGCTGTTACTCGTCGGTGCCGAGCAGCAGCAAACTGCCGCTTGACGGCTACCGGGTTTTGGACATGACGAGGGTCTTGGCCGGGGTAAAGACAAACCGACTGTAATCCCTTCAACCAAAGGGCAACGTGGCGCTGACTTTGAAAACCCCGACAGCCTTATTGCACACAGATTCTGGGCGACCTCGGGTTTGTTCTCATCGTCGTCCGCGCGCAAAGGGGCGGGGAAGAGGGCCCATCTCACTGACATCCATCCAAGCGCCGAGGTGATCAAGGTCGAACACCCCGTACGGGGCGATGATACTCGAGCATGGGGACCGCCTTACGCCACCTACAAGGCTGGCTCATCCAAGGAAGGACCCGGCGAGTCCGCATACTTTCTGGCCGTAAGCTTCCCGGTGCTCCCGGCCCCTCGTCGCATCTCAAAGAGAAGCAGCCCAGACTGAAGCGCGCACCCAGGTCAACCGCAACAAAAAGTCGCTGGGGCTGAACTTTCAACACCCCAGCGGCACCGAGATCCTCCACAAGCTCGTCGCCAAGTGCGACATGCTGGTCGAGAACTACCTCCCCGGGACGTTGGGCAAGTACAGGATGGACTACGAGACGCTCCGCGCCATCAACCCGGGCCTCATCTACGCCTCCATCACGGGCTACGGGCAGACGGGCCCGTACTCGGACCGCGCCGGCTACGACGTCATGGTCGAGGCCGAGTTCGGCCTCATGCACATCACCGGCGCCCGCGACGGCGAGCCCGTCAAGGTCGGCGTCGCCGTGACGGACCTGACGACGGGCCTGTACACGAGCAACAGCATCATGGCCGCGTTGCTGGCGCGCGCGCGGACCGGCAGGGGCCAGCACATTGACGTGGCGCTGAGCGATTGCCAGACGGCCACGCTGACCAACATTGCCAGCAGCTGCTTGATCAGCGGCGAGAAGGACTCGGGCCGGTGGGGCACCGCTCATCGTGAGTTTTGAAACCCCGTCCACCCCCTTCACCCCCCTCCTCCCCCGTTCGTTGACCCAGATCTGACCCCGCCTCGTGTTTTGAAAAAGCGTCCATCGTGCCGTACAGGTCCTTCAAGACCAAGGACGGCGACATCCTCTTCGGCGGCGGCAACGACCGCCTCTACGGCATCCTCTGCGAGGGCCTGGGCCGGCCCGAGTGGCGCGACGACGCCAAGTACAAGACCAACGCGCAGCGGGTCGCCAACCGGGCCGAGCTCGAGGCCCTCATCGAGGCCGTCACCGTGACCCGGACGACGGCCGAGTGGCTCGCCGTGTTCGAGGGCCGCGGCATGCCGTACGCGGCGGTCAACGACGTCCAGGGCACGCTGGGCCACGAGCACACACTGGCGAGGAACATGGTGGTGGAGATGGAGCACGGCGAGTGCGGGCCCATCAAGATGGTCAACACGCCCGTCAAGTACTCGGAGAGCGAGCCGACGATCCGGACGCCGCCGCCCACGCTCGGCCAGCACACGGGCGAGGTGCTGGGGGAGCACCTGGGGTTTTCGGAGGAGCAGATCCGGTCTCTGAGGGACAGCGGCGTGGTTGGATAGGGGAGAGGGGGGGGCTGGACCGCGGAACTTTCTTTCCATGAGCCCATATGGCCTGGGCATTTTCCTTTTGGTTTGGATCCAAGAGTTTGCTTGCTAGGACATGTGACGCCATAAAGAGTATACACGGTAGAAATTAGAAGGACTGAAATGCCAGAGCGTACAGAATGCATGTATTGACACTGTCCTGACGGCCACCGTCTACTTCCCGCGTTGTTCTCAGGATGTCGAGCCTTCACCGAAGCTGACCGAAGCCCGCAAAAGAGTGGGGGGGGGGGGGGTGTCGCTGTCTCAGCACTCGGTGTGGCACACGTGACCTTCAAACGCGACTTCGCGTCTTGCACTGCAATCTGCGTTTTACCTTTGCTACTACTGCCTCCTGGTGAAAGCGAACTGTAATTGAATATTCATTGCCCTTGTTTTCTCTTTCTTTCTGCAGCCTCGTCTTTATTTCTCCATCAAAAATCCAGCGAGTTGCGCATTGGCATCCGGATCCATATCATCGACTTTATTCGCGGCGCCACATCGGACCTGCTGGGTTCATCGTCGCAACACACTCCATCACACGCACACACTCACACTCACACAAACGCCCACCCCAACACACACACATACTGCAGTGCGTTCTGCACCATTTCATCTCAGGATGCTTGAGCCACTGCGTCCAACGGCGATGGCGCTCACATCAGAGAGGAGAGATGAGATTAGACCGGTCGAGAATGAGAGCCGGGATGAGATGGAAGCCACCCCGTCGGCGACGACAATTTGGCACGCCGCTCGGGATGCGCAAACAACGGCGACTAGCGCCGCCCTGACTCAGCCATCGCCAACCCCGGCAGAGCCTCAGCGCGCTGCCGTGTCCGGGACCGACAAGGCGGAAGAACCGACCTCTGCGCCGTCTTCTTACAGACGCCAGTTCTCTCCGGCAACCTCGCGATACGTCCTGGGCCGTCTCCACCAGGCCCGTGACAGCAAACCATCCCCGCCCGCTCTCATCGCAGCAGCAGACGAACGGCACCCTGCGACGCCCGCCGCTGCCGAGGAAGCCCCTCTGCACTGCCCCGTGGACCTGTCCTCCCTGCCTCGCACGCTTCACTTGCCCGACGCGACGCCCGCCGCCTCCCCCTCAACAACCATACTCGACCCGCCGCCGCCCCCCGCCGGGACGAAGCGCAAGCACGCGGCCGATCACGAAGGCGGTGGCGTCGGCGGCCCCCGGAGACCCGCCAGCCTCGCCCCCGCCTACCCGGAACCCGAGATCCTCCGACGGCCCATGTCCAGGCCGCCCACGAAGAGGAAGCGGACGAGGGACGACGGCAACGGCAACCCGATGTGCGCACGGTGCAAGCGCACCTCCTGGACCGACGCCAACCTCATCGTCGCCTGCGCCTCCTGCGGCGAGGCCTGGCACCAGCTCTGCCACGACCAGCCCGCCACCCTCGTCCCGGGCGACGACGACGGCGGGTTCCGGTGCGCCACGTGCGAGGACGAGGAGAAGGAGCAGGCCGAGTACCAGCGCCAGATCGCGCGGTACCGCGAGGCAAAGCAGGAGCAGGCCGAGTGGCGCAGGCGGCAGAACGACGTCGAGCGCAGGCGGGAAAAGCGCCTCGCCGCGCTCCCCGTGTTCCCCGACTCGAGAATCATCGGGTTCGAGGGCGGCGACGCGAGTCCTGAGGAGGTACGTTTCGCTGGGGGGGACGCTCTCTCTCTCTCTCTCTCTCTCTCTCTCTCTCTCTCTCTCACGCACACACACACACACACACAAGACCTTTGCTAATCGTCATCCTTGTCATCACAGAGAAGAGAGTACTTTGAGAACCTGAAGAAGAGCGACCTCGTCAACCTGCTCATCTTCAGCAATGACATCTACCCGGGTCTCCTCGTCGACCTGCTCGTCTCTGTCTCCAAGAGGCACCCGGACCTGCCCATCTTTGGGTCTCCGGACTGGGTGCAGCCAAAAGCCGTACGCTTCCCCCCCCCCCCCCCTGATGAGAAACCAAACGCTGAAACCCTATCGACCCAGCCCCGACGAGAACCCCAGCGCCAGCGCCAGCGCCAGCGCCAGGGCAACCACGCCCGCCTCAAGGTCCCCAAGCAGCGCTCCAAGACGGGCGGCGTGCGCAAGATCCTCAAGACGACGCCCGTGGCGCCCGCTGCGGCGCCCGCCGCCGCCGGGGTCGCTGGGGTCGACGGCGAGCAACAGCAACAGCAGCAGCATCAGCAACAGGAGGATGACGAGTACGACGACGACGGTGACGACGACGATGACGATGCCCTGCCCGAGTCGTGGCCCAAGGCCGGCCACGGCCTCTACTCCAAACTCAAGCCCGAGAGGGAGGACCCGCTGCTCTTTGACGACAAAGACGAGGAGGCCTTTAGCCACTTCATGGTCGACGAGCAGGGGAGGCAGGTCGTGGAGCTGCTCGCGGCGTGAAGAAAAGAGCGGAGCCCGGCCCGGGAATGGAGGGGGTGTTGGGGCGATGAACGCCGTCGACACTTTGGGGGGCCTACATGTATTTCCACATGCATCTGCGTAAGATAAAACAAAAACAAAAAGAAGAAAAGAGCTGAAAGATCCCCCTCCCCCCCCCTCCACCGGCCCACAAGACTTGACGGATCCTTCGATTAAACCGCCCGGAGTAAGGAGTACCTGGCCGAGACGCGCGCGGGGGGAAGGGGGGAGAGCATATTGATGCCCGCAGCCCCCCTTTGCTATACCTTTCATCATAACCCTACCGGCATATCGCCCTCTCTTACATGGTACACCGTGCATTGCATTGCATTGCCGTAACGTCCCAACCCCCCCACTTGACAGCTCCTTCGCACGTGGGAAGAAAGGGGGGGACGGCACAGTAATACCTATACTCGACATGTTCCCCGTCCCCGTGAATCCGGGCGGGGCCATCCACCCGATGACGGCAACAGGGGGGGGCGGGACAAAAAAGTCCAAGCCTTGTCGGATCGCTGGGGCCGGCGACGCAGGACGGATAGAGACGGCAAAGCAAACGCAACACCACCGCACGAAGGAGGACGAGGACGAGGACGAGGACGAGGGCGAGGAGGGGGTGTCATCCTGTGCGTCGCATCGCCAGTGTCGCAATTCCATCCTTGCCCACTCCATCTCCCCGTCAGCAAGCCAGTGCGATGGTTTGGTCTATCTTGTGTATTGTCATTGATTATCATTATATAGTACACGCGTCATTGTCTCTACATCAATTTGTGCGCGCTTTCCCGTCTGTCCCTGCCCCCTCCCCCCCCCTCCTCGTCATGCTGGCCTTATGAAGACGCGCGGGGGCGGCGACGCACTCCTCATGACGGTCCCGGTCCCGGTCCGGGCCCCCGTCACCGTCCCCATGCCCGTTTCCGTCCCGCTCGTGACGACAGAGTTCACGCTCACACTTATGCTGCTCTTGACCCGCCTCGTGCCCATCCGCGGGGGCAGGCTCACCCTCCCGCCGCCGCTGCCCGCGTCCTCGTTGACGGGCCTCGCGGCCTCGACGTCCGTGATGGCGACGATGCGGTTCGGCGGCTCTTCCGCCGTCGGGCTGACCAGCCGGTGGGCGCTCACGCCGGGCGACATGGTCTCCTCGCGGTTGTCGCGGATCGCCCGTCGCGCCCGGCCCCCGTAGCGCTTGACCTCCTTCCCGAGCCAGTGCCGGCACAACACGACGAAGAGCAGGTCCCAGAGGCCGATGCCCCAGAGGAACATGTAGGCCAGCACGCGCCCGTGCATGTCGGTCATGCCCCAGTAGGTGAAGCCGGGGGCGAAGACTTCGCCGAGGGCGATGTAGACCCAGAAGACGATGATGGCCGAGGCACCGACGACGAGGCGGAGAATCAGGGCCCAGCCGGGCCAGGCGTCGTGGGCGTGGACGATGGAGCGGGCGTCGAGCAGGACGTCGATGGAGAGGACCACGAGGAGGGAGACGGCGGCGGGGCTGCGGTGTCACTGTTAGTGGGTGCTGCTCGAACGAAGGCGAGTAGATGGACGGGGGCTGACGACTTACCCGGTGCGATTTGCAATGGGGAGCGGCACATTGTAGAGAAACCAGGACATGATCCATAGCAGTATTGAGGCGCCGACGACGTGGGCAACGTCATTCGCGATCTGGGCGCGGAGGAGCCATAGCTTGAACTGACGCGCCTGTCGGGCGTTGGGACGGCGAGGTCGTCGAGGTCGTCGGATTCGGGTTCGGGATTGGACTGGCGGGGGGATCGTGAGCGGTGGAGGACGGTGGGGGCGTTCCATGGTCGTGACGACGGTGGTGGTGGTGATGGGTTGGCCGCCGGGGCAGAGCGGGCTGCGTCTTCCAGGACTCGAACGGCGAGGGGAAGGAAATCGACAGCCAGGCGGGAAGAGAGATATCTTGATCAACGACCGGCGGGATGGAAAGATGAAAATTGAGGGGACGGGCGAACGGCCTTCAGCATGGCCCCTTCGACGGTGTTTGGGTGGGATCCTTTTTTCTCGTATCCCCTCCTCTGTTTTGCGGTTGGTGGTGGTGGTGGTGGTGGTGGTGGTGTGGTGTTTTGGTGGTGTCCCTCTTCTCTTAGGTTTTCGGTTGGAGATTGTCCGGCATGCCAGTGACGGGGAAACAAGGGGAGATTAAAGACGCAAGCAAGGACAAAAGTCAAATGAATAGACCTGGCACTAATGACCGACGCGGCGGCTGTCTCAGACGGGAAGTAAAATAGCCCCAGAAAGCGAAAAGAGAAAAAAGAAAGAAAAAAAAGTGTATATAGGGCGGGATGACACAAGGGAGGTGTGCGGTATTGGACCAAGACGTCGGCGTCCTGGAACGGGGTTAAGACGGCACACGGCGTTCTTGGGAATCAATACGACTGAACCCGAGAGAGTGAAGGCGAGAAATGAGGGAACACACAACACAATAGGCTTGAGGAGGTTGGCGGTGATGGTGGTGGCGGCGGTGGTAGTGTCGATGCGATGCTGTTCTGAGTATGCTGCTCCGCTTGAAGATTTTCCGGATCCGAAAAAAAAAAAAAATGGCCGTCCGTTTTCAGTCGGGTCGATGATGGTTCATGGGAGGAACGCAATGAAGCGCTGGGCGGGAGACACGGGCTGGCCGACGTGCAAACCGTGAGCAGATTCTCAAAACCGCGAATGGCGACTGACAACAGGGATCCCGAGGTGAGGAATTGGGATGAGAGAGGAGAACTCGCAGATGGCAGGACGATCACCGGGGATGAGGCAGGACGATACTGGACGAAAACCAACCAACTCTGAAATTCCAAACCAAAGCAATGAAACAGAGGGGGGAAGAGTGTTGCCCTCGTGGCTCTTCTGAGAGCGAGACGTCTCATTTTGAGAGCCGTGCAATGGGCGCAGGCGCCATTTTGCGTTTTCTTTTACTCCCGGGGGGGGCTGACTTAGCCTTCCAGCGCGTTTTGATGTGGTAGAGCTTCAGCATCAGCAACCCAGCAGTAGCATCGCGTCCCCGGATGCATGCTTCTTCCCAAGACCGGCCTCGTCCTCAGTCCTCAGTCCTCAGTCCTCTTGGGGCATGCATCGTCCAATGAACCCTGCGCAGATCATACCCCCTACCCATGCACCTTTGCATCGGATCTCAACGCCGCCCGGCGCAGTAGTGTAGGTAGCCCGGTTTTCAGGAGACTGCGTGAGACAACAACAACAAAGGGGTAGTAGCCATTTCAGCGGGGCCGCACGACGGACCGGGCTGCATTTGAGCACCCCCCCCTTGATCCCCGTCCTTCGCTGGTGGGCCGGCGGAGGGGCTCGATCTGACGCCAAGCCCATCATCGTGGGGTGTTTATTGCAGGGAGGACCTTAACTGTCGGCCAGTCACCCGCAAGTTTTTGGGTGGATTCGGGGCTCGGACGAGTCTCAGACCAGATGAACTGCAAGAGCAGTGCGTCTGGACGGTGGTATTCTTGGAGCCCCCAAAACTAATAATCTGTCCGAGCCGCCGTGTTGCCCGGGGACGAGAGACTCACCCATTCCAACTCACCTCGGCCAGACATAGAAGGAAGAGACGAAGACGAAGAAGAAAAGAAACATGTCATCGAGGAATGAGGAAAGAGCGTCGTCGATATCTGTTTGTCGTGTCTCAATATCGCTCCGTGAGCGTGGTGGCCATTCGACGCTCACTGCCAGTAAATGCGCTTTCTGGGCCGTTGCGTCGGCTTGCCTCTCCCCACAGACACCACCGGGCGCCGTGCAAGATGGGTTGTCTTTGCCAACGGCCCATGGCATTCGACGGAAGTCATGTTGATCCCATCTTTCCAATAGCATGGGAACCTGAAAACGAAAGGCAGCAGCTCACCGTTCCGTGGGAAGGAATACCCTGGCCCCCCCCAGCGAGTTCTGAAATCTCGGCCTGTATGCTATTCTGGCCATCTCAGTCGCACCACGGGGCGACAGTTGTGGGCTGCCGCCTTGTTTTGGCGGACCAGATAACTCGTCCAAATCCTTCGGATCATGTTATCCGTCACCCTCGGACGTGTTCCCGAAAGGCGGTCACCTCTTGCTCGGTTGGGGGAGAGAGTAAAGCCTCTGCGGGCAGTGGCTCGAGATGTCCCCTACCGTTGGCCCGATGCCACGTCCCAGTGGCTCTTTGCGTGCGCATTCATCCTCGAGCTCTGCAGACAGACCTGGGCGCGCCCCACCCTCGATGGTGCGCTTGCATGACTTTGGCTTTCAGAGACCTCTTGCAGAGAATGGCACGTCTATGACACCGGATCCTGCCGTATATTTTTGTCGTTTGGTCGGGCCCGCTCTCGCTCCCTCGGCACGAGGAATAGCACTGGGCTCGGCTCTGTTTCTCACGAGGATTGCAGAACTGACGTAGATCCCGTCGCTGCCAAGCTCGTCTGCACGTCACACTGCCTTCCCATGGCATCGTGCGGAGCAATGGGGTCCGAATGCAGCCCAATCATGCATGGAATTTTTGGTCTGAGGTTCGGGGCTGCGTCGGCGCCCACCGGGAAGCTAGAGAATAGCTAGTCTGTCGTGTCGGTCAAAGTTTTTCTCTGAAGCATCGCCAGTGTGCTCCTCGCTCCCCCGATGCTGAGCAGGAACTGACCGCCATCAGAGCACTAGCCGTGGGGGGGGGGGGGGTTTCTTTTGTCGGCCTCGTGGGTCGCCTGTGGTGGAATCTTCTGGTAGAACTTTCGTGCCTTCGAGTGGTTTGCCGTCAACAAAAGTCATCGCTGCGACGCGGTCGAAGAAGGATTGCAGAAGCGAAGCGGTGCCGCCAAACAGCTTTGATTCGATGCAGGGGGGCAGGTAGAATGAGAGGGGGAGGTCAGTGTACCTTCCCTGAACCTACCTACTACCTATGTACCTAGCTAGGTATCCGTACCTCCCCGTGGAAGGCAGGTCCAAGTGCTCAGCAGGTGTGCCTTCCGGAGGTCCTTGATCGTGCCTGCCACACCGGCCGTCACGGCGGAGTCGTCGGACTAAAGCTCCGGGGAAAGCTGGATGCCCCCCCTAGGACATGGCCGCATCGTGTCTACCACTACTTGACCGGGGAGACAGCCAACTCATTACGCCAAGCCACCAGCATCATCAGCATTCCATGCTGGTTCCCGTTTCACAATGCCTTGTTCAATGTTCTCGACTCTATAGGCCTACATCACAGACCAAGGTCTGGCGCTAAGGAAATCAATCGTGTTACTCTGGTGAGAAGGGAGCACCCGCCCGCTCCCCCATCTTGATTTTGGTTATACGATAAAAATCTATATGTTACGTCCGACCTGGAGAGACTGGAAAGAAAATACACGAGAATGTAGAGCCTAGCCGGCGGGCCTCTCGTTCAATCGCACATGCTGTGGTACGGGCCCCGTGGCTTGGGATTCGACGCGGCGAACGCCTCGACGTCGCAGTGCCCCTCCTCCGCGATTCGGACAGCGACGAACTCACTATACGCCTCGCTCGACGACGACACCTTGTCGCCATAATGCGCACGTTGCAACGTCGACCCCGAGAGCTCGGAACGGCCTCCGGGCTCTTTCGGCGTCGTCTGGGTTGACGAGTGGGACGAGCGGGTCCCCCAACTGTACGACAGATAGGGCCGCAGCGGCGGCAGGCAGGCGATCACAAGGCCAATGTTCACGTCGAGAGCACTCCAGAGCTCTGTACGTTGGGGTTTGTTAGCCAACCACCAGTCGAGGGCAGAATGGGGAACCCGACCCTCGTTCCAATAAAGGTGAAGAAGGCCGGGGTAGGGGGGGGTTCGCGGAATGGAAATGCTCCTCAACATACCGATGGTGGTGAAGGACCGGAGGTACCCCCGCGAAGGTGACAGCTGAATACCCAACAGCCGCGCCAACGTGACTCCCAGGTTCACGAGCCCTATCAGGAAGGTACAGTAGACGCTGATCTTGACACTCTGCTTCAACTGGAGCCGGTATAGCACGAGGAAAGGAAGGCAGAAGACTAGAGAAGGTAGGCCAACTGTTATAAACATGTGCACTTTGGACCCGTCTCTGCCAGGATGGCGGGGGACACAGGGAGGGGGGCAGATTTGGTTTCGAGACTCACTCGCAATGTCCGCGGCGAAGTTCAACGCCCACGCGATTTGGAATAGACGAAAGAAAACGTCCACAGGACAGGCTACTGCCGGGTCGGTAACCCTGTTGGAGACAAGTTAGAAAGGACGGCCTCCTGAGAACAAGCGAGGCCAGACCGGGCCAACACACACAGAGAGAGAGAGAGAGAGAGAGAGAGAGAGAGAGAGAGAGCCTCACCAATTTGCTTTCAGCGGTCTGCAGATGAAGAATACCATCAAGATGGTCGCGGTGTACGCGCAGCCGCAGTATACCATCGTGGCCCACAGGATCCTCCGCCGTATCTTCATAAAGGGCGGGAACAGACGAGCGTAGAGTGTCAAGAGCGCCGCCTTGCACAGGTAAAACGCCGTGAAGAAGGGGAACTGACTGGCCCATTGCAACTGCCCAACGAATTTGCGAGTTAGCATGCCTGCGTAAAAAAAAAAAAAAAAAAAAAAAAAAACACCCTCTCCGTCCTCTTCTACCAGAGCGGTCTCGGTGTTTGTGTGTGTGTGCGCTGGCTCGCTCGCTCACCTTCCAGACAAACTCAATCTTGTCAGATGTACCGCCATACCCCTGCAGGGTGAAGGCGAGATCGGGGCGTAGCACGTCCAGGTCGAGATACGCAATGTCGAAAGAACTAAACGCTGCGCAGGTGATCCACGCGGCGCACACGATTATGTCGCTCGCGTTGGGCGGGAGGCCCTGGAGGCCGATGCGCAGGTAGATTCGGGCGGCGATCAGGATGGCCGCGATGCCGACCAGCGTGAACTCGACTGCCTGCTCGGAATCAGCTCCGTGAAAAAAGACATGAGGGGATAAGAGACACGGTAGAATACGGGTTTCCGTCTTTGGTGTGTTGGAGACGGTGTGGAACGGCGGCCGGGTCGAAGACTTACTATAATCACAACCGCAGGCGGTCCGTCAAAGTCCAGGGTGTTGTTACGTGCGAAAGCCATCTTGACGAGAGGCTCCCTCAAAACACATTTCTTCTTCTTCTTCTTCTTCTTCTTTTGATTTGAATATCGAGATATGATCTTATGTGTTCCCGATCGGCCTTTTAGTAAGAACCTGTGCTCCATCTCAGACAGTCCCAGACGAAAAAGAAAACTTTTCGCACCCTTTTTGTCTTCTTCACTCTGACGGCACTTTCCCAGCGGAAAATGGCCGCAAGCAGCTGGATCCCCGGCACCCCAGGATCGCGAACCCCGCCAATGCCCATCGGCTACGGCCGCCACCTTCCAGTCCGTCTAACCGGAAGGGGTTTTGGGACATACGGAAATGGCGACAGCTCGGGTCCCGTCTCAAAGCAGCCGGAGCTTCTTCACCGTCACCCACTCGCAACAGCGCTGTGACATATAGGCTTGCCCGTGATACTGCTGGGTTTGGTAAGGCTTCGAGACATGAAGGAATAAAGGACAGCTGATTCGACTGTCTGAGAGGGGCCGAGGAGATGCCAAACCAACAGACCCGTCATCTCGGATACCCCTACTAATAAGCGTCGTTTGTTGTACTTAACGAGCACAACTTCACGTCGCACTAAAAAAAAAAAAAAAAAAAAAAAAAAAAACCTTTGAGCCTTGTCTACGCCCCAGACTGAAGGGAGTGCTTCCCTCCGCGTGCAGAAAGAAAGACGCGTACCTCTAAGCTAGAGGCCAAGCTTCCAACCGTGGTCCGTCATGCCTAGCCGCCAGGCTATCCCGAGCCCCCTCTCGACGATACTGTCGACCTCGCGCTGGTGCCGCTGCTGCGCCAGAGAGATCTCCAGTGCCTGCTTGTCCTTGGAGTTGATGGCAACAAACGCCTGCAGCGTGCAGCTCTTCACCACGCCAAGTCCCGCCCGCTTGGTCCCCACGATAGCGGTGGCCAGCAACACGATCGAGAGGGCCACCTGTGAGGATATGAAGGCAAGCCAGGGCCACCGGACCTGGACGAACGTCTCGGCTGCCAGGGCCTCGCCCGTGATGTTGGTGGCGGCGTCTTTGGTAATCCTGGACCCGGCTTTGTGGTCAGTCGTTTTCTGGTTTGAAAAGAGCCTGAGAAGATGGCCTTACCGGTTCGACAAGCTCCTCGCAATGTTATTCGTGATGTTTGCAATCGATTCATTGATGACGGTCTCCTGCGAGACGTTCGGCCGCCCCTGCGACTCGAGCGTCTCGGCCCCGTACTGCAGCGCGGCCAGGTACCGGGCCGGCGCCAGCCCGAGCGCGCTCGGGTCGCCGCTCAAGTCCGCGTACGAGCCGTTGAGTGCGTACGCCAGGCTCTCCGTCACCGCAGCGAGCCCCGTTCCGCCAAACGGAAAGTTCCCGGCGCCGAGGGGGTCTCTGATGGCCGGCAGCTCGCGCCGCATCTCCGTTCCCGGCAGCGCCACCGACCCCAGCTCCACATCGGTCGTGACGCCCGCTACCGTCCTGGACTCGACGTTGTCGACGAAGGCGAGGTCGTACGTCTTGGCGCATAAGTAGAGCACCGCCTCCGCGGCGCCGACCCTCTCGGTGGGGCTGTTCCGCAGTGAGTACAGGACGGTGAAGTTGAGGAGGGACGCCTCCGGGTGGACGTCGGAGGCGATGGGCCGGCTCGTGCCTCGCAGGACGACCATGCCCTGGTAGTTGCCGGTCAGGTTGGCGGAGACCCCGTTCGGGAGCTCGGCGAGGACCGACGACGGCGGTGTGGGCCTCTTCTTGACGGTAACGTTGAGCGAGTCGGTGACGTTCCAGAACTTGGCGCAGACGCTCAGCGAGCTGTACGCATCCCACCTGCATTCGCTCGTGGGGCAGCGTGCCGGGCTGAGTGGGAACTCCTGCGTGTGGCTGTAGCTCAGGCCCTCGAAGATGGACTGCTGAGTGTAGTGCTGCTGGGTGACTGGAAGAAGCCGGGTCAGCGACAAGAGTCCGTCGAGGCGGAGAAGATGGGCCTTACCACCCGCGAAGACGTTGGCGGTGCTGAAGTAAAACGAAGTCGAGCGGGACACGACGGCGGTCCCCTCGACAGGCGTGAGGCGGACCGGATACGTTACCACGGACTGCGTCAAAGTCGAGGTGAAGATGGCCGAGACGAGGACCACCATCGAGATGACACTGGGAGACCTGTTACCGAGGATCAGCACAACACAAACTGCATTCCCCTGCCCACCCCCATCCGAGCAGGGATCGCATACCAGCCCCTCGTCGTCTTCAACAGCTGCAAACTCCCCCACGCCCCCCGGCTGGCCGCGTCAAAGTCCTGAAAGTCCTTCAGGGGCCGCGGCGCGTCGCGGTACCAGAGCCACTTCAGCTGCGAAACGCTCTCGGAGACGGGGATGATGAAGGAGGCCCGCGCCAGGGTCGCGAGGAAAGCGATCAGGGTGTTGAGCGTCAGTCCGAGCGGCCACCGCGGCAACGGCTGGTTGTCGAATCGGCTCAGGACCCCGGCGAGGGCGGCGACCGAGGCGACGCTCACGGCGCACCAGAGGAGCTCCGGCAGCCACCCCAGCAGCGACGTGGCCCATGGCTGCTGCTGCTGCCAAGACGTGCGGGCGAGCGGGGTTTCCTTGTAGGCCGGATGGGGCTTGGTTTCCGCTGTCCCTGGCGCGTAGGCCCATCCGGAAGAGGGCGGTGACTCGGCTGAGGCGCGCTCCGTGCCGGGGAGTGGGTTGTAGGACGTGTCAATGGAACTCATCAAAATTGCGGGCTGCTCCGATTGTCCCGTTCCGAATCGGCCTTCTGCCGAACCGGAGGGTTGCATAAGCGGCCTTCGGTCATTGGAGAATGAGTTCGATTGTTGCGCGCCGTATGGACGAGACCTTTCATGGCCCGGTGGATATTGGAACCTATTCATCGCTGTGGGCACGATTGGGAGAAGCCTCTGGTCGGGGAGAAGACATTAATCGGTGTGCTGGTTCGAGATTCTGTAATAGTTCCAACTGGCTATGCAGAATTCAAGATGAGGGTTCAACTTCAAGCATACACTTTTTCCAAAGGGACAGTACACTTCATCTGCTGTTTTGTGGGCTGATCTCAAGGCAGCAGCGCATCAGGTCAATCGTGTCTCTCAAGCAGGGGGGCTCAGTGTAGCTAAGTGATGCAGCCAAGCCGGAACCAAGACGTGTTAGTGGCCACAACGTAAGGCACACTGCAGATACCTAGTGAACGGGGAGACGGGATGACAGGGGCGCGGTTAGCCTAAGTCATGTCCAATGACGGTAGGATCAGCGCCATCGTCTTGGTTCTATTAATGGTCACACGCGACTCTGGAAACCAGGACTCAGCGAACAGGCAAGCCGGTATCATCAATCGGGGCCTATTGCTGCTATCTGGACTCGGGGGAACATTCGCTATAGCCATTTCTAGAATGACGGGTTATCAGCCTTCTCTATCAATCGAGCTCCCTCTGACTGTTCGACTCTACTCTGGCTCAGACTTGCCTTTACGGCGTCATTGCTAACGGTCTCGTTTGAAGCTCGACTGCGTGCGACGAGAAAAGGGTTACTGCAAAGCAGAAACGCACAGTTGCTCGCAGCAGCATTCGGGCGACCGCCAACTCGGAAGTATCTGTGTATCATCACCGCCAGCCTCGGGAAGCACTAGCAACCCGAGGGTCGAGCTCAAGGGGCAATGAGCGTTGTCCCTTTTGTCTTGCCGCTTTCCATCTTGGCTGTTCTCGAGCCGAACTGAATCTGGTAGGTAATCAGCGACGAGGGTTCCGCGAGAAAAAATCGCCCAGGTTCTTACCGCTCTCTTCTTCTCCCGCGAGACTGACGCCATGCCGAGCGCTTCGGCGAGCAGCCGCAACACCCTCTTCCCGGGCTCAATCTCTGCGTCTGCTTCGGTAAAGCCGAAGTCGCACTTCTCCCAGACCGGGGTTTCCATCGACCGCTTGACGAACTCCTCGTCGAGGTAAGGGAACCGCACCTCGCGACCCCAGTGAGCCATGGCCCTATCGTCGCGTCCCAGGTTACGCTTTCCAAGTCGACCGACGTCCAGCTTAAGCTCGTCGAGCAGACCCGCGTGGCCTCTCCTCGAGAAGGCGGTGGCATGTCGCACGTAGCCGCCAAAGAGTTCGTCGGCACCGAGACCGGAGAGGAGGACTCGCGCTGGTGTGGCATAGTGGGTGGCAGCGTCTGATGGATGGCGTTGCGACATGCCCACGCCACGGGCGGCAAAGTAGAGGGCGTATGCGATGGAGAGATCCATCTCAGTGTTGTGGGGGTACATCAAGGAGATCACTTGGCTCCGATGAACAAGCGCTTCTTGGTAGGGAACATCCACCTGCGAGGGGTCAGTAGAGGGCTGGTCGACGGTATGGGGGAGAACTTACGGCAACGAACCTCCAATGGCGGGCAGGACAAACAGCGGCCAATTCGGCGAATGACTTCCTACCAGTGACCCTGTCAGGACACGCCTCGTACAAGCTCAGGCCATCGGGAGACTGTTCGGCCTTGGCTGCCAAACGAGGATTCTCGAAGGCGACATTGATCAAGTCGATACCCTGTTCAGAGGGCAGAAGATCGCTTGCCATGCGCGCAAGAACCGTACAGTCCAACCCGCCGGAAAACAGGACGGCAATCCGCGTGTCGTTGTTCGCCTCACGAGCCGGCGGTTCAGGGACGTTCAAGACGCGCAGCTTGAGCGACTCTGCTAATTGCTCACGCACGGCATGGACTGATGGTGACGACGCCGACAGCGGTTGAGTGTCCGGGGACGGCAGAGTCATGTTGAAGACGCCGATGTTGAGAACCTGAAATGGTAAGTAGCAAAAACGAATCATGATTCGTGAAAGTCGTCGAGCTTACCGTTTCAGCCTCACCTGGTGTCCATGACCGAGGGGAAGATGGACTGTTCGGGTCTCGGCTCCATCCTACCAAGTCCAGTATGTAGATACCATCAGCCTCCACCTCGGCCCATTCCGGCGACGTGCTCTCAGCAATGCTGGACAGCCGTAGACCCTCCTGTTGATTCAATAGCAAAGATCGTCGACCGAGGCGATCGCGACCGTAGTAGATGCGGGACGCGGCGGCGTCGAAGTAGACAAACGCGAAAGGCCCCTCGATGCTACGCAGCACGTTCAGAACTTGGTCCTCGTTGGCATCGCGGCCACTAGCCGCCTTGAGCAGAGAGAATATCTCCTCGCCATCGTTGCCTTGAACGGGTGCGCCTGCAATCTTCCAAGCTTCACCGTTCCAGCAGAGAACAGACTGAGAGGACGCGTCGCGGAATGGCTGCTTGGTGACGTGGTCACCGCGCAAGGCCAGGACGGTCGACGTAAAGTTCAAGAACACCGGCTTTGCATCGGGGCTCGAGATCCTTGTCTGGGACTGAACCTCGCCGAGATGATCCGGGCCACGGCTGCACAGGCAGGTCCTGGTAGTCGCTGGCAGTGACTGGAAGCCGTCGCGAGAAACGATGACATGGATGCCACACATCACGAGGCCAGCGTGGTCACAGCAACTGCGGCCCCCCTCAATACAGACCGATATATGAACTGGAGTGGGATGTCCGTTCTCGTTAGTGTCGCGTGTTTGGTTGGCATCGGGGTGATCTTGAATGAGCCCTCTGCGTGATTTCGTCAGTGCCCGAGAGAAATTGGTTGGCGGAATTTGTTCGGGAAACGAAGGGGGGATCCACACCCACCCAATCAGGAACAGCCCCACCATCCCCCCTCTTGGTTCCTTCCCCCCTCACATCCTCCCAGTCACACAATCCACCAGCATCAATCACTGCTATACGGATACCTCAAGCAACATGATGCGTTCCTATGATTGATGTCAGAGACATTCGAATACCTTCGTGGAAAACCATGACATGTTGAGCATCAGCATGTCATTTGAACTTTGTTTCTAATGCGCTACAGTGTCCCGACTTGCCTCGCTCTCTCCCAACGGCCCTACACGGATTCTGCACCCATCACATGTTGAGTCTTCCTATACATAACCTCCATCAAGGACAACACGGCAGATGACGCAGAGAAGCGGGGTTCGCGGGTCAGAGCAATTCATCATGTTATTCCGGGGAGATCTGGGGAAGTTTCCCCCAATTGCGTGATGCAACAGGGACTCCAGCCGCGAAGAACCGGGGCTTGGCCATCGCAGTCAGCCCAGCGTTGGCCGACTAACATCACGCCACTTCCCGTGCCATCTCCGTCATGCGACGCTGCCATCATTATCGACCCAGCGGGCGGAACCATGGCGACGGGGATAAAACGGACCCATTTCCCCAGACGGACGAGACCCGCCAACATCTAGCAAGCCAACATGGCATCCAAAAGAACCTGTCAACTTCTATGGCGCACTCATCCCATCCGAAACGCTGGGGCGGTGGCCAGACCACTATCGGCAGCGGCGATATTCACCTCAAGACCCCTTCTTGCAACTGCATGCCGCCAACCAAGTTTTCGCTCATCTTCACGTCAAACTCGCCAATACTCGAACCATTCCCCCCAGACAGCCGCGCCTGTGGTGACTCCGAAGTGGATGCCACCCAGTGACCCCACATCTCGACCGGTGGTCATTCTTGGTGCGGGGGTCCTCGGCCGGCGGCTCGCCGTCATGTGGGCCTCGACGGGACGGCCCGTTATCCTCCACGACGTCGACCCCGGAGCCCTGGCCTCGGCCATCGCTTACATCGCCGACGCCCTCACCACCGTCTGCGCGATGCGCGAGACGCACCCCGGGCATGTGACGACCAGCACCGTCCTTGAAAATACCTGCGGCGCACGCCCCTGGATGGTCATCGAGGCGCTCCCCGAAGACCCGGAAATCAAGCGCGCCATGCTCGGCAGGGTCGACGCCCTCGTGCCCGAAGACTGCATCTTGGCGTCCAACAGCTCGACGTGGCCCACGTCGGCCCTGAGGAACCTGGTCACCCGCCCGGAGCGTCTGCTCAACACGCACTACCACCTTCCGCCCCGCAACACCTACGTTGAGCTCATGACCTGCGGCGCCACCGACCAGGACCTCGTGCCCTTCCTGGAAGCCCAGATGCGGAGCGTCGGCTTCACCCCGCTGGCGCTGCCCCGCGAGTCCGTCGGCTTCGTCTTCAACCGCATCTGGTCCGCCATCAAGTCGGACACGCTGCGCGTCCTGCAAGCAGGGCTGGCGTCGCCGAAGGACATTGACGCCCTCTTCCGCGACTTCTTTCACGCCGAGAAGGGGCCTTGCGAGAAGATGGACGAGGTCGGGTTGGACACGGTCTGGCAAGTCGAGAGAAACCGGCTGGGAATGGGCGTCCTGGATCCGGCCAAGGCAGGATACACGGACTGGCTGGAGGAGAACTACGTTTCGAGAGGCAGGCTGGGAGAGAAGACGGGAGACGGGCTGTACTCGTCCAAGGAGAGGAGCTTGCTTGCAGAGAAGAGGGCACTGGCAAAGTAGTCGTATTAGCGACGAACACGATACCAAGCTTGAAGAGCTCTTTCCTCCATCCGGCGAAGAGCCGGAAGTCGAAGAAAGCTCGGAGAGTGTCTATGATAAGATAGTTGAAAGCCTAAAAACAAGAGGTATTATATTAAGAATGAGGAAGCTATTTTAAAGAAATAAGGCTATGAGTTATATAACAAAGATAATATATAAGTAAAGTTTAGGTAAAACCTATACACTAATAAGAAGTAGCTAGGGAGTATAGGAGAAAAGGGGGGAGTAGCTTTTAGCTTTAGTAATATTATAGACCTATACTTATAGTTGCAGTGTGTTTACTTATTACTCTTGTACCTAACCCTTACATCCATTGAATGTAGGGCGTCTTGTAGTTATAGAGGTCTTCTTCTCCCGAGAACCTCCAGGGAAGTGGTGACGTACTCATTTTATCCCACCCTGAGATTGCAGCTTTCTTCTCCAAGTACTGATGCTGGCTGGGGCTCATCGCCACAGTTCTATCAATGAAGGCTGTCTTTGTGGCTGTCTTGACCTCGTCGATCGGGCCACAGTACTCATGGCCTGGAATGTTGTCCAAACTCATGGTTAGGACAGTCCAAAAGATCCTGGTGGCAGAGTGGGGGTAGGTTGCCAGTTCATCCTTCGACAAGGTGACGCCCGGATCAATATCAAGCGACTCGCAAACTCTGATCAACGAAGCATGTATGGAATCCGCACAGGCTTGTCTCTTATTTTTCGAGAGCCAGTTTCTCCTGCATATTTGATCGCTCGAAGTCCGCCTCGCTGCCTCTAGCAACGGCTCCATGGAACTCTCCAACAAGGCCATTTGCTTTGCGGTGATGATATCTAGTACTAGTCAGCTTGGTCTTGCTTATCCTCATGAAGTGTCTACATTGTACTACAAATGACTCACCCAGAATTTCAGAGGCCCTGATGTGAACGTTGAAAACAGAGTCTTTGTCTTTATCTTGGTCCCCAACAAAGCATCCAACTGTGCTGTCGCCCCGGCGTTCCCTAGCGGCATTGATAATCGCCGACTCGAAGATGTCTCTTGCTCCTAGTTCTCTAAAAATCCACGCGGTCATCAGAGTTTCATCGTGAAACCAGACACCAGGTCGGTTCGGGTCCCCCCATCTTTTAAGGTAAGGGCGGAAGAGGTGCATCGTGTTGTATTTCTCGCCAAGGACCAGAAGCTCGAAGAGATGGGGGACGCTAACATTATCTGGGACGACCCTAAGGCAACCGTGGGCGATAGCCAGGAGGGTGGTCATTGGTTGAATGTTGTCTTCAGGGAGCTCAACAATCCACTCTTCACCCTCCTTCTGGGACTCTCTGAAGGGGCCGAAGAGCATCATTTCGAAGACGTCTGAAGCGCGCGCCATGGCTTTGGAGCAGACACGCAGGTCTGTTGTTGAGGAGGAACCAAACCTCAAGACAAGGTCGCCTCGCTTGTCGAGTTCCGTGATGTTGCTGTCCATGTTTCGTAGACAAGATTTGAGATGATTCTTCCACAGTCGAGATGACTTTGAGTCCGAGCTTTCACGCAATGGAGGTTAAGTATTGCGAGATTGGACTGGATTGAAGATGTGATGGAGAAGAATAATGAGAAAGTCAAAAATGACAATTGATTCTGCTCGTCTCGGCTGTGTGTGATTGCCAGGAGAAGAAACAAATAGGCTTACAGGTGCGTTAGAAACTAGTATATGGCCCTGGGTGACTGTATCTCCGATATAATTTGCCTTGCCGCAAGGTTTGGGACTTCTGTGGTTGAGGCTCTCCGCTCCAGAGAACTTTCGGCTAGAGCTATCTCCGGTCTTAGTAGAGTACATCCCTCGACATGACATCCAAAAGACTGAAAAAAGCTGGTGTTGTCTTCCGGTACTCCACCAGTGTCATTTGCGGGTCGCGCTGGCAGATGCACTAGGCGGCAGGAGGAACAGTCAATAGTGGCGAGCATGACATCAGCAGCAAGATAGAAGAATGAAATTTGATGATATTCTCTAGTATTATATATACTCATGCGCCCTCTTCCGGCATCACCTCCATGGCGTCGACCCATTCCATGACGAAGGCCGTTATGATCTTGGTCCAGTCCCTCACCGTGGGCATGTGGAGGTGCTCGCCGTCGTCCTCCATCTTGTGCCAATAGTAAGGGAAGGGCGAGGGGATCACGTGCAGGACGTTGACGCCCTTCATCATGAAGGGGACGTGGTCGTCGCCGATGCCGCTGCTGCCGAACATGCTGGGGGCCTTGTTCACGTCGCTGAGGAACGGAATCGAGGGCTCGGTCTCCAGGATGCGGAGGTCGCGCATGCGCTTCTCGATCTCAGCCATGGCCTTGTAGGCCCAGTGGGTGGACTGGAAGTAGGACGGGATCCTGGGCTCCGGGGCGCCCAGGAGGTCGAGCAGGACGAAGAGTCTGATCTGCTCGAGAGGGGTTTTGTAATGCGACATGGCGGGATTGAAAGTGTTTTCCCACTCATGCGACAGTGACCTGCATGCGTGTCAGTGACGTGACCTCTCTCAAAAAGGATGAAGCGGCTCGACTCACCTCGCACCATACAGAGAGTCGGTGTCAGTCCAGGACTTGAAGGCCTCCTCGCCATCCAGCAAGAGGAGCTGAAGACCCATGTCTTGGGCAACTGTGCCTCCATTCTCACCAAGAGCGACCATCTCATCGTACATCTGGGTCAGATACGGGTCGAGAGTCTTGGCGACGTGCAATAGCATGGCACATGGAGCCGCGCTGTCAGTCGCACCGATGAAGCCGGCGGGCTCGATCTTGCTGTCGTAGTGCGCCACGAGGGTGAGGTAGTTGGCCTGGCCGGGCTTGGTCCAGGGCGGCTCACGCCTGATGATGAGGTTCTGGAATGGGACATCCTTGTTACCAGTGACGGGAGTCTTGGCTGTCGAGTTCTGCCACTGCACGGTCCATTTGGGCAGTGACTTGAAGAAGTTGACAAAGTGCTGCTGCGTCTTGACCTGCCCTTCCGTGCCGGGTACACGGGGGATGAGAATAGGGGAGAGGAGCGGGCCGTTATGGATGTCAAAGTCGTTCTCGGAGACGGTGACGTTCCGAAGGACAGCCTCAGAGAGTGGCGTGTAGGCGCATGCCGAGGCCACGAGAAGGAGATGAAGTATCGCGATCCAGAGCCCGCGAACCTGCCCTCTCACGGAAGGGAGGCCGATAAGGGCCATGACGGAGCTGTGGTAAGGGGCAGCGTGCGCAGGATGAGAAATCTTTCAATCAATAACTCATGCTGTTCTTTCACGGAGCCGATATGGAAAGGTTGTGGTGGCGCCAGGAGTGAGGGACGTTGATGAGTTCGCGATGTTGAAGTTTCCAAAGAGGTGTCAACTTTTCGGGAGGTTCCCCCCCTGACGGAGGAGGGATGGACCGGCTAAAACGGGTTAGACCGAAACTGTCCTGCAACATGCTCTGCATCTCCCCTGGGCGGATGTTTGGGAGAAGTGGAGACTCTGAGTGGATTAGCTAAGCTCCGCAGCTGTCAACTTATTTTGCGACTTGGCAGCAGTGTGTGTAGCTGCCGGTTTATACGCAGTACTTCTATCCCAAGAGGTACTCTTAACCTCTATGGTTGGGGTTAAACTCGACTGTCACCTTCCAACTCAGTAATAATTTAGGTTGGATAGATACCCGTACGGTGTACCTTTATTGTATTTCTTTTTAAACCTTATGTCATGTTGAGTGTCTAGCATGGTATCCTGACTTATGGATAGTATTGTTGTACCTGTGCGACCCAACTGGCTACTAGGGACCGATTAGTCATTGCCCGTTAGTCAGCTTCTCCGCACTACCCCGGCGTGCACGTTCCACCGCGTGACTACAGGCGCTCTGGATTTCTTCCATCTCATCGCCATTCACTCTTTATGTGTCCACCACTCATCTCATCCCCGGGCCAGACCCTCGATTGTGGATGGAAACCACACCGAAGCCGATGAAGTCCCCATAGAGAATTACGCGAATGACTATGTGGGCGAGAATCATACACCATGAGTGTCAGATAACATGCTCTTCTCAAACGTTGAGTGAGACTAGAGGCGAGCCATGGTCAACTGATATGAGGTGCACCATTGAAGATTGAGGATCTAGGTAGCCCAACAGGATGCTCCCTGAGAATCAAGTGAACGGGGCTAAGAGGGCTCTCCTGCCAGCTAACCCCAGCATCACCGGGAACAAGATGAGGACGAGAGAAGGAACAAGATAATTCCCATTTGTTGACACTGTTCCTTCCTGTGCTGTTGTTTGAGTATTCCAGCCGTGCCACTGGGGGGATGAAGGACAAGGGGGACGGGAGGGAAGGAGATCCTATGGCTGAGAAGACGTCAGCCACAACATACCTATAGACGTTCACTTCAGCCAGCAAACAACAAGAGCTTGTCTGAAAGGATCACGGGGCTCCCGCTTCAGCACAGCATCCCTGGCTGGCAACCTACTCAAGCTTGTTTCCAACAATAGTGCCTACAGCCACCAAGTAATCATCTTAGATAAACTGGCATGGGATCTTTTGCCTACGGAGAATGATTGAAATCTGTCACAAGTTAGAGCACGCCACAGGGTGAAGACGTAATACATGCCGAGTGGTAGCAACAGTAACAGCGACAGCAACAGCGACAGGAGAAGGAGAAGGAGAAGGAGAAGGAGAAGGAGAAGGAGAAGGCGCATGACAACGCTATTATTCCAGTAGCTTATCGCTTGTTGCTGGACTACGGCAAAAGGATCATAAGTACATCAAACCCTTCTCACTACCACATACGACCATACCCACTGGAGAACTCGGGATCCCGTCCGCTCTCCCATAGATAAGCCAGTGAGGGCCGGATTAGTAGTTGGGTCGGTGACGACCAGCGAATACCTGGTGTTGTATGTTTTTGGCTTTTGTTCCCTTGGCTACGAAGTAAGGGGAGCATAACCTCAGCAACCTCCGCAACCACCTTATAAAGGTTCTATAAGATTTATAGAGGACTAAACAGAGTCTCTATCTGAGAATTTTGATTAACACTTGGTCTGACCTCCCCTTCTGTAGACTGCATGTGCTCTTAAACAAAACATCATAACGCAAATACAAGTCGTAGAGGATTAAAGACTTTGGCAATTGGAAATGTTCCAACACAGCGTAAGGTATTGAACAGCTTTGCGCACGCTTCCAACGCTGCTGACGCATCTTCGTCGTGGAGATGCTTGCCAGCGATTCTCGTCCAGGCTTCTTGATCAGCATCATCATGGTGCTTTTCAGCCTCATGCCGATCGAGGCATAGTTTTAAGTATGTCTACCCGTAGAATTGTAAGGCATGCTATGACAACATATCTATATTGTACTCGCCATGTGATTGTCAACTAGCCGAAGACATTAAATCTTGTATGTTCGCATAGTGTGCCACGACCTGAGAGCTGGGCTTTCTCGGCTGGTTCCTCATCTCGTACTAGTAGACGCAATGCGGATTGCTGACTCTTTTACCCCCTTCCCGCAGAACGTCAAGGCCCTCATCTCCTTGGGTGGCTGGACCGGAAGTCGCTTCTTCAGCTCCGCCATATGGGTTTGTCCACAGAAGAAAACGTCCCTCCCCAGACTCTCCCGCAAATGCCTTTTCCAACTCTTGTGGAACCCTCCAAGATTTATCAAAGTCGCGGTATCCCATCAGACACCAGCGCGGCCGCTCCAGGTTTTCCTTGCTGAAGTTTTCAATCGACTCGTCCGTCTCCAACTCCCCAGGCGCGAGATACCTGATATCCAACGGCGCAATCGTTCCCCTCACTGATCCTCCGAGCATGACACGCATTCTTCGCAGTTCCGGCATCCCCGGGACCGCCTTGGCAATGGTGGAAATCAAGGGAACGAACACCGGGTTGTCAGGCGTCACGCGGAACGCCAGCTCCGGTATGTCGCCCTCGGCCTCTCTTGTGCGTACAGCAGGGTAAAAGTCCGACGCGTCCGAGTCCTCCGAGTCGAATTCTGGTTCAGTGTCCTCCTCCGAACCGTAGTATTCTTCGTTGACGGGGAGGTTGTCAAAATCGCCTGTGTAGAGCCATTTCCCATCGACAGTTGTGACGCACAAGTCAATGTGAAGATCTTTGAGACGCGGACAGTTCAGTGGGGCATCGAAGGCCGCCGAAGTAAGGATCCATCTTGATCCCAGGTGCAGCTTCTCAAGTGTTTCCAGCTGAAGTAGACGCCTCACGCCGACGCTGAGGGCATCTTCTCCGTCACCTGTCATGTCCGGGGGTTGGAACAGCTCGTTGGAAGGATCGCCGCTATCCGTGACGATTTCAAACTCGACCAATTTGGGGAATGGAGTGTCGGTCAGCGCAACGCCCAAAGCGTTCCTGAATGCCTTCAGATCCGACTGCCACGCCAAGCGACGGTCGTACGTCACGCGGACCTGAGGTGGTAGAAACTCCCAGAGCATCTTCCTCACTGATACCAGAGCGCTGGTGACGACCGAGACAGCGTCGGGGCTGAACGGCCGGCCATGAATCGCCTCGAATGAGAATTCGGAAACACACGCGACGTCAGGTAGTTTCCCGCCCGCCAGCAGTTTGCGATCGATGCTGAGCGCGTGAGTTCTCCAGCGCGTCTCATACACGGGAAACTGCCGGTCGCTCTCGAGCTCGCCACTTTCCATCATGTCTTGTATCGTCACGTCCGAGGGCGACGCGGCACTGATGGTGAGTTTGATGCCAGCTCCATCGCCAGATGGCCATGTAGTCAGGATGTTGAAGAAGTCTCGAGTGGCTTTCGTAAAGACTTCATTGTTATTGCTAACCTCGCTCTTGCTCTGGATCTTCTTGAAGCGTTTAGGGACGACTTCTGGGAGGATGACCTGATAGTCGATTTTTTGCACAGATGCGCGTTGGCCTTTCGTTAGATCGTCTTTCAGAGAACTGAGACCCTCGCTGGTCACATTGATGGAAAACAATGAGTCATGGTTAATGATCTCAAAAGTTTGAGGGAAAATCTCAACTTCGCGCATTCTTGTGGGTTGATGAGAGTTGGGTGGTGCTGGAACATCTGGGAACCGAACCAAGTGGGGTGACCTGTTATTTATACCCAGTGATAGACAGCATGTCCGTCACGTGATGGAACCATCTTCCCTGCTATGTATCCTCGGTTGTTTGTAATGACAAAATCAGGTGAATTCTCTTCTGAAGCCATTCGCTAGTACCGCCTGGTACGGCTTGGTGGTCCTCAGATTCGGTGTTCCTTTGGCGCACGATGTCGACTTGCAGTTGATGCTCAACATGAGCAAACATCATGATGCCTCAAAGCAGAGAGATTGAGGTAGGACTCTTGATGTACGTAGTTTATGCATATTAAATTCCTTCAAAGAAACGCTTTCTCGTAACTTTATGGCGGATCCATCCAAACTGGCATGCCAGACTTCAAGCCACGAGCCTGTCGCTGGAAGAAATGTGAGTTTACCACGGACTCGTCCAGGCCGGCAGATCATCCACGGCCTTTCTGAGCTCAACAATCTTCTTGCGCAGGGCCGCACGGCCAGGGACGTTGGTATCGTTGGTCGTGTCCTTGGGCAACACTTCCTCGATCTTCTCCGTCCAATCCACCACAAAGGCCTTCATCTTGGCCACCGCCTTTTCCGTGCTGCCTTTGATGAAAGACCTCCACTTCGCCTTCATACTGCTGTAAGCCCACGGTTTGGAACCTTTTCCGGTGAACCACTTGTCTACAGTGTCCAGCCTGTTACCCACGCGGTCGGCCTGGTCCTTGAGAATGTCCTTGACATCATCCATCACCAAGTATTTGTACGTCATCATGGCGTTCTTCACCGTCCGGATAGCCTCATCAAGGGTAGCTTCCTTCTTGATGGACTTCTTAATGTCCTTCTCGCCGGGCAGTGCGTTGCCCAGGAACGCATTCTCCTTGATGATGTTCATGATCTCGAGGATGGAGTAGAACTCGTCGTCGTTGCTGCCGATGTAAGGATAGCCTCTGCCGATGTACTCCCAGGGCAGTTCCTTCTTGGTTCCGATCGACTGTTCCTCGAACCACCCGCTGTCTTTCATGGCCTTGCAGAAACCACTGTTTTGCAGCATGAAGAGGTCCAACTGGTTTCCTTCCAGCACGTGCTCAACCCTGTAGCCAACAAACTGCTCGGCACCTGGCCTTACGCCATAGTGCTTATTGGGTACCTGTTGGAGGCTGGGCTGAATACCAAACTCATCTTGAACCCCAAGAGTTAGCATACTGGCTTATCGGGGTGTTCAAGAAGGTCGAAACACTTACAGTTGTTGCAGTCACCCCAATCCTCATTGTCCAAGATGGTGTAAGTCTTGATGTCCCAGGACTGGAGATAAAACTCATGTCCATTGAGCTTCCTAGATCCCTGCTTCGTGTAGCAGATGTTGATCTTCTTCTTGCTGGAGGCAGCGCGGATATGAAGACCCGTGGCGGGGTTCACGACGTAGACATCGTCGTCCGCGGCCTCCCAGTACTCCTCGTTCGTGTTCTCATTGACACTCCTCTTGAGGACACTGCCGGCGTCCTCGTCTTCGGTCGAGACTTTGTACATCTCGTCCCCGGCAAAGATGTCCCTACAGTCTTTGAGCTCGATCTCGTCCTTGTTCGTAGGGCATAGTTGCTGCATCTGGGGCAGAGTGATTATCGGACCGTACGGGATGACACGCTTGCGCAGGCCAGTCCCGATGAGACTGAATGGAGCAGTGTCGTTATAACCATGGCTGACACGTCTGACGCGGTCGAGTGCCTCGAGCCCAGACTCGATGGTGTCGCGCTTGGCCTGGCCAGTGAGGCACTCCCATTCTTGATCCTCGTTCTTGGGGATGTATGTCTTCTTGGCCTAGATAAACAAGGAAACATAGGTCAGTAACGTGGACAAAGAAATGGTGCCGGAGACTGCAGACTGACCTCTCCAAAGCTGAAAGGCCTGGGATTCCACCCGAACACGTCGGGCACGTCGGCAGTGGCTGTAAGCTTGCACCCAGCCTCGACGCGATATCCAAAAGCGCAGTCGCCGCCAACAATGTCCGAGTGGACTCTCATACGCGCCCAACCATCTGCAACGAGAGATGCGCCAGCGTCATCGATGCCATAGACCTTGTTGAACTTGATGCCAAACACCAGAGTTGGCATCAAGTGCGCTTCGGCGTATCCGTCGGCTTCGAGAGAGACGTCGAAAGAAGGACTGGCGAGGTTATTGTTGTCGATCTTGCGTGCCGGAGCCTTCTCGTCCTCCGGATCGTACTCTCCACTCTGCTGTGGGTAAGTCTGTCGAATCTCCCAGTCGGAGACGGTGACGCGAGCCTCAACACGGCCATGAACAGACACGTCAGCTTTGAAGCGCGCGTCGAGATCAAGACGAGGACCAACGGTCAAGATACCGGGGATGTTGAACGTGGCTCCGGGGATGGGTAAGGTGACGATGTTGAACACGTCCGAATCCCAGTCAACCCTGGCAATGGCGTCGAGAGTGAAGATGGCCTCGATCTTGCCCTCGTTGTTGAAGTACAGGAACGAGTTGTCGAGGTTCATGTTGGGGCCCAGCGTCGTGATGAGCGTGAATCCGAAAGACGTCGACATGCTGATTCCAGCGGTAGCGACGGCGTCGACCTTGGCGCTGAAGCTGCCGCAGTCCCATTCTTCCTGAAGGATGATGGCCTGCAGCTCTTCTTCGAAGTCATGTCTCTTTTCCTTGTTGTACTCGACGTCAAGAAGACCCTTCAGCCATTCAATGACGGTCTCTCCGAACCAGCGCTTGTGAAGTTCATCACGACTGAGAGCGCCGAAGTGCATGTCTTCGCGCCATTCCTCCTCGAGCCAGCGCTTGTGGTTTCCGCCGACGGACGCAAGCGATCGCTTTGCTTTCTTCCCGGCTGGTGCCTCGACGATCTGGTTCCAATAGTTCTCTTGGTTGCTATAACAATGTCAGTCATTGCTCAATGAAATGGGCAGAACACGGTGGTAAGACGTACGAAAAGTCGACTCGGAGCTGTGTGTCTCCAAAGTCTCGCGGAACTCGGGTAAAGTCGTAGTCAAAGGTGAGATCGTAAACAGCACCAGGCTTGTCCAGGCGTCCATACTTCCTCTTTACCAGATTCTTCGGCAATGTCTGGTTCGACGCAATCTCCAAGCGCTTGACGACGGCGTACTTTCCAGGACCACAACGTTGACCCTGTGGCATCTGGATGATGGTGCCCTCCGCGCCCAAGCCCCTGAAGATATGGTCGCAGTTGCTGTCATCTGAGTCATCAGTGCAAATCATCTGAACCGTCTGCTCTTCCTCGCTGTGCGCGTTGTTGCAGTTAAAGACCTCCCAGTGCGAACCGTCGCGCTTATCCAGAGACGTTGAGATCTCCTCAGGCGCTGCGAGGACGTAGAACTGGAAAGCAGCATCTCCAGGAGCAGCATCATCGGAACCGCTGCTCTCAGCGCCTCCCCAAGTGCTGTCGACCTTGAGATCAAAATTCGTGTCGACGTCGTCGCCTGATGGTGGGTTGGGAAACAAGTCCTTAAGCGGAACTGGTAGGAAAACGTTCTCGCCCTTGGGAGGATCGCAGCAGAAGATGCGAGTACGGTCGAGACGCGGGAAACATCCTTCAGCACCTCCAAAGTTGGACCAGGCAACCTGAACCTCCGTGTTGATATCGCAATGCCCGTCGAAGCAGTTCCCGGGCTCGCCCTTCCATTCGCAGTTGTTCCAGCGGTTGAGGTCTTCGGGAGGACAGCAGTAAAGATCAATGTCGTTGAGATCGTAATCCCTGAGGGCCGAGGCCAGAGAACTACCCTTGAGCTTATACAACGCGTTCAGGTCCGGCTCGTCTTTGCCAAAAGTGCCGCTGAACGTGAGGGGCTGCTGGCCGCTCTTGCAAGACTTGCCCCTGTCTCCCCACGCGCAGTTGTTCTTCTTCTCGAGGGCTGTCTTACAACAGTACGCCTTGTTGCCGTTCTCGCAGTAATTGCCATCACCCCATTTGTTCAGCTGCAGGAGAACTTCGTCGTTGTCGCATCGGCCGTTACACTCCGGAGCTGAACTCCTCCTAGATAGACACGGTAGTTGTTAGCTGACGCTTCACATAGCCATCTCATCGTGTCAATGTGGGTTTCAATCTCACCAGGAGCAATCGTCGGGATCCGGTGCTGCTGAGAGCGGGCAGCACAGAGTACTTTTCCCTCCCTCGGCTTGACGTGTGAACCAGTGGGCGCTGCCACAGGGTTGCGTCTCGATGGGCTTGAAGCCAGGCTTGCAGCCTTCATCGCCGCAATTTGACACATAGCAGTTTTGAGCGCCAATGTCTTGCCAGTAGGCAGCATCGTCTGACATGGAGCTCTTTTTCGCCAACTTGATTGTATCCTCGCCGACGACGGCACTGAGAGCGCTCAAATCATCAGTGTCTTGGTCGAGCTATTGTATCGTGAGCCAGAATCTTTAACATCAGGTGGAGGCGAGGGCCTTTTACTTACCGACCAAATGAGCAGACCACCCAAGCCCTGTCCGTTGGCAAACTTGATCTTGGCAGCAATGGTATCTTCGTCATCCTACAAGGTGATCAGCTGGTTCCATTATACAATATGTTAAGGGCACACTCACGTAGCTGATCCACTGGTCTTGGTTCCAGACGATGTACTTGACTTGGGCTTCTTTATCATAGTATGGCGTGAGCTTGTGCTTGTCGATAATGTCGATAATCTCGCGGTAAGCCAAAGTTCCGGAGTTCTTGGTGCACTAGAGGGCCACAGTGTTTAGCATTTCTGATGGAATACTCGGGCATAACACAGCTGGACGATGTCATGTGGCTGAACAACTGCAGACAATTTGCACTTACCGGCCCAGGGGATGCGCCAGCTACAAAGGGGCAGCCAGGCTTGTGGCAGGATGGGTCAGAAAGCTGGAAGGATCGGCCGTAGAATCCGAAACCCAGGTTGAGCTTGGAAGATGGAATGTCGTTTCTCCAGTATAGGTCAAGAGCGAGCTTGATCTCGGTGATATTGGTGTGTGCTAAAACATTTGATCCAATGGGGTTCCAGGCATCCCAGACACCGTGAAGACTGCGATATTGTGAGCATTAGGATGGAATGAAGACATCACTACCAGTTGCATAAGCTTACTCATAACCTGGTCACGTCGGTTAGTATGATGATGCAAAAGAGTAAGAGACGATGCTGTGTCGTGTGAGGGACGACTTACTCATAATGTTGACAAAATCAGCAGCATCGGTACTACCCTTGATGTCAAAGTGTCGGAGGTACCAGAAGCTTGTAGGTGTTGTAAATGATACAACATACTCGAGAGGTTGTGCATCGATGGCCTTGCGTAACTCCTCAAGCAGCAGGGTAAAGTTCTTACCATCTTCTTCCGAGCCACCGCGATCTTCAGCGCCAGGGTATTCCTGTGGCAGCCGAGTCAGATCACGTCTTTGAACGAAGTCAAGCAGGAAAATAGAAGACTTACCCAGTCAAAGTCAACACCATCAAAAGCATACTGACGGAGGAAACTCAAGAGGTTGCCAATAAACTTGGCTCGGTTTTCCTTAGAACTTGCCACGTCGTGAAAGACGGTTTGTGTTGGGCCAGGATCATTAAATGTCCAACCACCAAGAGCAACCATGACTTTCAGAGCCTTGTTCTGCGATTTAAGAGCAGCCATCTTGGTGAAAAGGTTGGTCTTGAGGTCGTCCATAGGCACGATCTGGAACTCTCCTGGGGTAATGTAGGCGAAAGAGAACATCAGATGGGTGAGGGCGCCGACAGGAATCTGCTCAATTGACTGTTGATGAAAGATGCATCAGTTCGTGTTGCAAAAGTAGTCGATTTGTCTCTGTGTCTCTTACCATGCCATTACAGCTTCGCGCATGAACCCAAGCTTCGTAGTAACCTGTGGTATTTCAGTAAGTGAACCGTCTCGCTTGAGGCAAGATCGATGGAGACTGACCAACGACTCTTTTGCGGATGTTTCCGTTCGAAGCGCCAGAATCTGGTTGTTCGCAGTTGCTTTGGCACCCGACCTCTTCGTCGTCAGAGATCTTGCAAAAGTCCTCCGTCATGCCACAGAAACCCCAAGGGGAGCAGCAGCTGCACGAGTCGGGTCAGTCTTACTTCCCAGCGATAGCGTCTGTTGACTTACACGTTGAGAGGGCACTCCTTTCCTGGAGGATCGGCGTATCGGCCGCACTCAGCTTTTGCATCGCAGTTGCTCCAGCAGACATCGTTGGGAGAAATGCCATTGGTGCCGCAAGCTTTGGGACCATAGTTGCACCAGCCAGTTTCCTTGGGACAGCAGGCACCTGCGATGAAGACTGTCAGATCAAAGCTGAAAGCTGTCATCAAAGTGTTACTCAACCCACCGTTTCCGCAAGGCTTAGTTTCAGAGCAGCTGTAGTCGGTCTGCTGCGTGACTTGTCGACCCAGAAGGAGATCTCGCGCGTGGACAGCAGCCAGCGACGAGTTCTTGGGGCAGACGGGAAGGTTACGGTCTCTCGCAGGCTTTGCAGAGTAATCGAAAGGGCTTCATATGTTCTTGTTAGCACTTTTTCGGCATAATCTCGAAGTCTAGGGCGTTGAAGCTTACGCGTAAGCTTCGTTGAGACATGTCTTCTCAGACGATACCCCGGAACGTCGATGCAGCTGGGAATGACCGTGTTTGTGAGATGGCAGAGCCAAAACAGAAAGCAGTAGATGGAAAGAAAAGATGAGTATGAGTGTACGTGCTGCTATCGAGCGAGAAAAAGCATGCACGAGTGCCATGATACTACAGCCCAATGGTCAAAGGAGACTGACCAAGATAGAGTGTGAATGATGCCTCCAGCTAAGATGTTGCTGGAAAAGAGACTGCGGAAGAATGTATTGGAAGTATTGCACTGTCAAATGAGTGACTGTGGACTACTGCCACTAGCTCGAACGCGCCTGATCGGTCCCTAGCTGGCCAACGATCGATATCACACGTCAATGGACGAGAGCAGCAACATCATATTACTTGTAAGAGACCTTTCACACACCCGGCTCCACATGAATACGTGGAGCAACATCTCCACGGGTTAGGCTTCAAGCTTATCGTGGTCCTTGGCATATTGCTGGTCGGCCCTACCAAGGCAGCGGCTAATGCAGGGGAAAATCCGGAGACTTGCAAGATGCCATTTGCAATTTCTTTCTAGGCATCGCAGGGGAGATTTGGGACGGATAACCGGAATTGGGTTCTTGGCGATACGGGATGTGGCCAGACGGGGCTTTCAGGAGAATAAGCATAAGGGACTTTTGTAAAAAGCTCCATATAAGCTGCGACGTTGAAAGAAACTCGCCCTGGGTCCAACTCTACCTAGTTTGGTATCCCTTGCACCGACTGCTGATGGACTGCAGTACTTGAGGTGTGGAGTATAGGTTATAATGGGGCAATATGTACTGCAGTCCATCAGCAGTCGATGGGATAGTCGCCACAAGGCATCGGAGGTTATTGATTGAGGGTACGGATACTCAAGGTCCGGCTGTTGGTCGCTCAAACAGGATGAAAGGACCGAATGGAACTGCCTGGCTCTGAAGGCTGGAATGGGTATCGCGATGCGGGCCGTTCGACCCCCAAGTCTCTTGACTCTCTTCAGCAGTTGTTCATCTCGACTATTGGCTTGGCAACCCACCGATATCCACATGCAATCGGCTGTCGCGAATCTCAGCTTAGCACGAGCTTCACATACAGGGGAGACAACAAGGATTCGATCCTTGGTCTCTGGGTGCCTGTTGTAAGCCCAGGAACATGCAAGTCAGCCTTCTTTTCGGTATGCCTAACGAGGCACATGGGGCCAGATCATTCGGGTCTCGCCCAACGTCCGAAAAGACGGCCGCGGCAGGCGGGGAAATTGTTTCTCGATGCCGCGACTTACATGTCGTTGTCTATGATAGTTAGTCCTGCCACCGTTCGTCCACTTTCGCTGTCACCAGCGACGAGTAGTCTAGAGCTGTCCTGTCTTTGGCCTCATAGACGACCAGCGTGTCACTCCCTTCACCTGCTTTCGTTCTGTCTGCGCACGTCACTCCTTCTATATTCACTCATTTTCAACATGGCCATCGCCACAATTCGCCTTCGAGGCATCTTGAATTCTCTCTCGGCTGTCGCTCTTTTGACTTTGCCAGTACTCGCCGACCCGTTGCTGAAGACGAGCTACCTCCCCGATGGCATCAGTTCCGCCTGCGCGAGTGCTCTGACGGCCGACACGGCTTGCCCGCAGGCCATCCGGACGCTGCAAGCCGGAGACTATCAGTCAGAATCACGACTTCAGAGTCTCTGTACCGATGACTGCGCTTCATCGCTGGCCACATACCACAGTGCCGTTCTATCTAATTGTGCCTCCGACACATGGGAGGGTCTCGAAGACGAGATACAGCCCGTGGCCTTTATCAGTGAGATCATTCGCTACCATTACAACTTCACTTGTCTCTCTGACGGCCTTCGTTTCTGTAACAACGTTGCGGCAGCCTTTGCTGCTGCTGCTGATACAGACGCGGCCGGTGACCCGAGTAAACTACCCGCTGGTGGCGACTTTGGTGACCATGACACCTCTGACCTCTGCGATTCGTGTCTTATCAAGAACCTGGCTTTCAAGGCTGGGTCACCCTTTTACGATGGTCCTGAGCTGCAGTCTCAGTCCATCTACGAGTCCAAGACGGCCAGCTGTGGAATCACAAACGCGCCATTGACAACAACTGCGAACTCAATAATTCCGTAAGCTCTTATGCTCCGACGATGAATACAGAGGAAAGCACTAACACGAAGCCATACGAACAGATCTGTGACTGAGGCACCCCCTACCACCACTACATGCGCAGGCAAGACATATGTTATCCAGCCCAATGACGACTGCTTCTCCATCTCTGTCTCTCAGAGCATCGGAACAGAGTGGCTCCTCCAAGACAACAACCTTTTCGCCTTCTGCCACGAGTTTCCCACCGAGGGCAACCTTTGTCTCGTAAACACGTGCGACGTTTACACAGTTCTCGAGTCGGACACTTGCAAGACCATCACGAAGCAGTTTGGCATCAATGATGCGCAGCTCAGAGCTTGGAACCCGGTAAGCGCAACTCAAGTCGCATCATGGAATTGGCCATTGTAGGCTAACAAGGTTGTGTCAAGTCTATCAACGCCGGTTGCTACAACCTCGACAAGATGATTGGCGCTCAGCTATGCGTCAGCAAGCCCGGAACACCTTACGTCGAGCCAGAGCCGACGACACTTGCGCCCTCGATCCCGACCACCGCTGCACCCCTTCCGACCAACGTTGCTGTCGACACGAATGACCACTGCGGGAAGTTCTACGAGGTGAGGCTGGGAGACTACTGCAACCTTCTCACCGTCAAGTTCTCCATTTCCCTGAACGACTTCAGGTTCCTAAACCCGGCCATCAACGAGAACTGCACCAACCTGTACGCTGAAGAGTCGTACTGTGTTCAAGCTGTAGGTGACAGTAAGTATCGTCTTGGTATCAGGATACATCTCTAGTCACCCTAGATTCTGACATTTGCCTTTTACCACACAGTAAACACCTACCCCGGCAGACCTGGAGCGACGTCTTACGTGCTCAGTGCCACCTCAGGCATGGAGGACTCGGTGACCACAATGCCCGATGCAACATGGACCGCTCCCACGCCCACGAAAACTCCCGCTCCGCTGGCGAGTGGTACCCTGAGAGACTGCGCCAGCTACTTCCTCGGAGACGACTGGCAGCTTGACGTCACTGACACAGATTACATCTCACGATGCCAACTCATAGCCGAGATCTGGGGAGTCGCGCTGGAAGATCTTGGCATCTGGAACCCAAGTAAGGCGTCACTCAAAGACATTGACAAAGGTGTTTTGCAACAAACTTACACTTCCACAGGTCTTGGTGACGTATCAGCTGCCGGTTGCACATTCAATAGTGGTGTTCGGTACTGCGGTCGATCCCATGTCGATGGAAACTACGAACAGCCAGGAGGGCTGACTGAGCCTCTTTTCCCGAGCAGGGTAAGTCTACATGCAATGAAAAGTCCAACTCCGAAGCTGTCGGATCCCTCGTTTCACACAAACTATTGCTAACCAGCTGATAGGAGGGCGAGGACGAGGACTGCACTGGCTGGGTCAGCGTCGGTGACGGCGGAACACCTACGTGCCAGGATATCCTTGCAAAATACGGACTCACCATCGCCCAGTTCTACGACATGAACCCCAGCGTTGGAGAAGATTGCTCCGGCATGTGGGCCGGTATGTTTTCTCCGTTCTATTTAACACGAGTTATTCAAGATGCACGATGATTGGGTTTTTATTGCGGCTAGCATTAGTCTTGAACAACCAGGTCCTAGCATACTGGAGTTTCTCATCAGAAATGTGTAAGAGCTAATCCGCGTGCTTCAGGTTACTTCTACTGCATCCAAACTCCGGAGCACCAAGGCTCAGGCGGAGATGCCACCACCGCGGTGCCCTCAGGATCAACAACTGCCAGCGCAACAGCAACAGCAGGCCCGACGCCTCCTGCTCCGACTCTCGACGGCCAACCTTCGAACTGCAATAAGTGGCACGTCGTTGCGGGTATGTCTGCATTCGTCTTAGTCTTGTCTTTTTCTTCAGATCTCCGAACGATACTAACAAACATCATCACAGCCGGCGACAACTGCGGCGTCATCGAGTCCGAATACAGCCTCACTCACTCCCAATTCCTCGAGTGGAACCCCGCCGTCTCGGAAGACTGCCTCACGGGCTTCTGGGGCACGTACGCATACTGCGTCGGCATCAGCGGCGGAGGCGGCGCCATCACCACGGCCCCACCTGCCACCACGACCTCCGCAGCCCCGGCCGAACCCACCAACGGACCGGTTGCGGTTCCGGAGCCAAACCAGGCCAACAACGCCATCGCTTCCTGCAACAAGTACGGCCAGGCGCAGTCCGGCGACTGGTGTTCGGCTTTTGCGGACCGTTACGGCCTGGCTTACTCTGACTTTTACGCGTGGAATACGGTTCTCGGGGCTGGTGGCGAAAATTGCGGTGGTTCCTTCTGGGCCACGTACTGGTATTGCATCGGGGTTGTGGCTTAGGATTTCAACAAAGGTGTATTGGCTAGAAGTGTTGGTTACAGGACGAGTTTCTTTCCTTTTGCGAAAGTTGCACTGCTTTCCACGAGCTCAACTTCTGTAACTACTTATAAACTGATTCGACCACTGTTGTTGAGACCACCTATGCCTCTTTGGTATCTCTCGCAAAATGCTATGTTCATGTCGAGCCAAGGATAATGTGAATCAAACGCTGAACAAAGTCGACTGGGGCTGGGTACATTTATGTGCTGTTTTCTGTTGTATATATTCCTTGTCTCGGTTGTTTCACCTTTTGGTCATTCCTATGAGGTACGTATGGAAACAATCAGACAGTATCTGATCCGCCAACCCACCATCACGCGCATCAACTGCATCGCGGTGCGGAACCCCCCGTCTCCCCCCTCTTCTTCTTCCCCCTTCTCCTGGGACCCCTTTGCCGATCCCAGGGTTCGTATCCACCGCGGCGACCTCTGAGCCCCCCGTTTCGGCCTCTCTGCCGCTGACGCCGCCTCCATCTTCGCCGACGCCGACGCCGTGATGGCGGAGGCGGCCTTGTTGTGGTAAGTTTGCCAACTTAAAGCGGTGAGCAACGCTCCTTAAAACTGACAGGGCGAAGCGAAGTGTAGCCGATTGAGTGCTGTCTTGGTCGGTGGAAATCTCTATGGTAAACAAGAATAGCTCAGGCATATCCTTTACTGCTGCCTTGGCGCTTCTGGCCGAAACCTATGGAACCTCGTCCCCATCACCATATTGGCAGGCATCACCTTCCTCGCGTGACGCTTGTCGCGTACTGTTAAGAGGGTTGCGAAACACCAGTCAAGAAGAATCAAGCCAAGGGAGGACGCCAGACTTTGTCCTTTTCAAATCCGCATCAGTGGCGTGCCTTGACCTGAATAGCAATTCACAGCTGTTTTGAAAGCTTGAACCTTCTTCGCAACCTAGGTGTTATATTGACTGCTCAAAGTGTCACCTCCGCCATGCAAATACTTCCTAGGGGTAGATCAGCACCTGCTCCCCTCAGCCCGTGGCCTTCTCCGCAACCGTAACGGCTTCCTCCCATTCCTCCAGCGAAAACCCCCTGCCGACGACCTCATGCCCGGCATCTTTGCCTAGCTTGAGGACTCCGGCCTCGACCATCTTGACCAGGGAGACCAGCTCCGCGCGGGTGTACATGTGCTGTCCCTTGACGGTGATGTTGCGGGCCATCAGGCTCATGTAATTGACCGTGACGTCGAACATCATGCCCAGGAGGACGGCGCGGCCGAACGGGCGGAGGGAGGCGAGGGACGCCGCCAGGCGGTGGGGCGAGGCCGTGGCGGCGGGCGGCGAGACGTCGATGTAGGCGTCCGCGCCGCCGGGGGCGAGCGCCCGGATGGCCTCGACGTCCCTCTTCTCGTCGCCGGAGAGTTCGAGGGCGGCGATGCGGGGGAGGCGGCTCGCGAGCGGCTCCAGCTTGGAGGCCGACCGCGAGAGCGCGATGACCTTGCAGCCGATCTGGGCGGCGATCTCGGCGACAGCGCCGGAGAAATGACCGGTGGCCGGCGCTACGATGACAGTCTCTCCGGCCCGGAGTTCGGCGGCGCTGACGCCGCCGTAGGCGACGGAAAGGCGCTGGATGTAGTTGATGTCCCCGAAAGAGTAGCCCATCTCGTCGACCAGAAGCGCCTCGTTGAGGGGGATGGCGTTCTCCAGCGGGACCGTGGCCACGTCTCTCCAGAGCCCGCCCAGCTGCTTGAACAGCTTGGCCTGGCTCGGGTCGCCGACGCCGGAGTGAAGGCCAGTGAGGACCCGGGTGCCTTCCGGGTCGTCCCGCGCGAGGTAAAAGCCGTTGAGGTACACGAGCTGGCCCGGCTTGACGGCCACGGCATCGGGCCCGACGGCGATGACGCGCCCGACGCCGCTGTTCCCCGGGTTATATGGGACAGATTGGGAGAGGGGGCTCTGTCCCGTGAAGCCGGCGCGGTTGTGTGGCCGGACGGAAGTGCTCAGGACGCGGACCAGGACCGACCCGGCAGGTGTAGTCTTTGGCGTCGGGGTCTTTTCCAAAGCGAGCGGCTCGTTGAAGGCGTTGAGGATGAGCGCAGTGGTGGTCTCAGGGATGGCTATATTTGACATTGTGGAAAATGGTGACGTTGTAGGTGTAGAGGCGGGATTCTGTATTTGCTGAGGTCAAGCGGGTTTGTTGAGGCTTACAAGCAGCTTCTTTATACTGAGCCTTCGGACTTTTAAAAAGTCCCGTCGGCATGGTCAATACCCCCAAACAGCTCTTTTGTTTGCATCATTACGTCCCGAGCATCGGTTCCCGTGTCCGTATGCTGGTGCGTCAGTGAGTTGCTCGGGGGTGTCCATTGCCTGTTTAGGCAATAATTAGATCCGCCATGTCCGAGGCTCCACTTGACTCGGCCGGTGAAGGGGGGTCTGTACGGCAGCCTGCAAGGCCGACTGTGTCAAAAGTCAGAAATTTTCCTAATTAGGGTTAGCGTTACTACTAGACCTATCACTCCTATATAAGTAGGAGATAATTAATTAAATACTTAGATATAATTATTAGATATTTATAGTAATACTATAGACCTTAGGTGTTATAAGATAAGGTAGTAAGTGCCTATAGCTAGGAGACAGATAGTAGGGACTAGATACCTAACATATATATAATACGTTATATATACCCTAGGTATATATCCCTTTAGTAAGTAACCCTTTATAAAAGAAAGGTTAACTATAAATACACCTCTTATCTATTACTTATCTTATCTTATATTATTTATTTAGCTTCTTATTATTATTTATCTTACTTTACTACTTTACTATTACGCTTTACCTTTATACTATATTACTTTATAATATTACTATAGCCTAGCTTTATTTTATTAGAACTATAATAGCTACTAAAAAGGCTATATTAAGTAGTAGTATAACTATTTTAATTTGTACTATTTTATTATTCTTACTATTTTTATTATTTTTATTAAGTTTTCTTTTTACTACTATATAGTAAAAAAATATATATACCTTAATAAGAGTAATAAGCTTAAAGATATAGTATACTAAAAACACTTTAACTTAAATAAATCTCTAACCTTAAGTAATTCTATATATAGCTTTAGTAAAATCTAACCTATAAGGTTACTTAGTAGCTACCTTAAAGTCTTTATAATAATATATAATCCCTTATAACTATAAAGTTTAATAAGGATATACTATACTACTTTAGTAATAACTAGTAATAAGGCTTTTAGTTAGATATTAGCTAAGCTAATAACTTTTTTTAAATTAAAGGCACCTTTTATATAGTAAAAAGGATTATTAGAGATATAAGAATTAACTTACTACTTTTATTAAGACTATATAGTAAATAGAAGATATCTAACTATCTTATAGTAAATTATAAAGCTTTTAGTTATTTAAAAACCTAGTTATACTAAAAAAGAACCTAACTAAGTAGATACTACTTAGTTTTTTAAAAAAGCCTCTTTAATAACTACTTCTAAATAAAGATATTATAATAAGTAATATACTTAAATAAAAAAGAAGTATCTCTCTAGACTTATTATTTTTAAAGTAAATAAAAGCTATTATAATAATATAGTTTAAGTTAAAGAATAAGAAATAAGAAATTATAAGCTTACTAAGCTATAATATTATCTTATTAGTAGGCCTACTTAGACTATAGTTTTTTACTATATTAAAGTAATTCCTAAATAGTATAAGTTATTATACCTAAGGCTAATAAAAATAAAATATATACTTACTTTTAAAGTAAATATAGTATTTACTACCTTTAGCTTAAGGTTAGGTAAAGAATATAATTTCTTTAAGTTAGTACCTTAGTATAAAGGCTAGTACTATAACTATAGCTACCTAATTAGTAAAGTTAAAGTTAATAATAAGATAATTATAAAAACACTAAGATTTAATAAGTATAGCTTAGTTATAAAATAACTTTAGTTAGTAAAAATAGTAAAAAAGCCTATAGTTAACTATAGCTATACTACTTTTACTAGTATTAAATATAAAAAAGCTTATAGTAGCTTTTTTTTATACTATAACTACTTAGATATAAGTAGTAGTAATACTAGTAACTACTATAGCTACTTTAGGTTACTTCTTAGCCTAGCTATAAATACTATTTACTATAAGAATCTTCTAGCTTAATACTAACACTAAGAGGTACTTACTAGACCTTATTTTTTATAACTACCTTATAACGTATTACTATAACATAAAGCTCTAGATTTAAGTAGTTAAGGTAACTTATAGAGATCCTTTATCTTTATAGTAATTTTATTAGATAATTAACTAGCACCTCTATAAATAAGTATAAAACTAGTAAGAATTCTAACTTACTAAAGTAAAGTTAAATATCTTTAAGTAAGAAGGTTAACTAGTAATCTTAAAGTAATTTAAGTACTATTTTAAACTAACTCTTATTAAGGTAAAAAAGTAGTTTTATAAGAACTACTTTACTACTAATAATATTAATAAGTAGTATAATATTTATACTTTTACTTAATCTTACTTTAAATACGCTAGGGCGTAAGGTAACTAAACCTAATACTAATAGCTAATAAGGTTTTATAATAACCTTATATTATAACTATAGTAATTCTTTTATAAGTAATATAGCCTTCTTAGTAGCTATTATAGTTCTAATAAGATAAAGCTAGGCTATAGTAGTGCTATAAAGTAATATAGTATAAAGGTAAAGCGTAATAGTAAAGTAGTAAAGTAAGATAAATAATAATAAGGAGCTAAATAAATAATATAAGATAAGATAAGTAATAAATAGGAGGTAGATTTATAGTTAACCTTTTTTTTATAAAAGGTTACTTACTAAAAGAATATATACCTAAGGTATATATAATATATTATATATATATTAAGTATTTAGACCTTACTATCTATTTATTTTCTAGCTATAAGCACTTACTACCTTATCTTATAATAAGTACCCCCTCTTAAAAAGACCTTATTTCTTTTTACTAAATACTTTAAGACCTAATTAAGAAAGTAATAGCTACTATTTTTTTATCTTCTTTATATTATAGCCTTATATCTTAAGGTTATTTATTTATATTCTAACCTTACTATTTACTTATTATTATTATTACTAAGGTTAATAGCCTTAACCTAATACTTTTTTCTTTATAGGCTTATAAGGCTACTAAGCCTTTTTACTAGTTAGGGTTACTTATTACTTCTACTACTTAAGCTTATATTACTAATAACGTTCTAGGTAGTAGTATATATCTCTTACTAGAGGTAAAGTGTTTCTATATAAGGGGGTGTGTTAAATATAGTAGAATTATATATAAATTAGCTAGTAAATATATAGTTACCTTATAGTAAATTATTAGGGAATAGGTAGTAAATTAGCCTTACTTTTAGGGGTAACTTTACTAATAATATTGCTAGGATTAGCTAGGGACTTCCTAACTAATAAATAGGGGTTTTTTCTATTTCTATAGTAATTTACTATAGTTATAGAATATAAAATAGAATTAATTAAGTAACTATTATAATCCCTACTATTTAATAAATTTAGCTTCCTTTAGAGGAAGAGTCTATATTTATATATAGAGAAAAGTAGGTATAAAGGTTAAAAAGGTAGAAAAGTTATAGATATATATAGCTTACTATAATATATAGCTTACTATATAAGTATATTAGATAGTTTCTTCTTAAGTATTACTATTATAGCTATACTATAGTAGTTTTATAATATACTTATATAAATATAAAGATTATAGAAAAATAATAACTTTAAGTTAATAGTTTTATATAGACTACTACTATATATTAAACCTAGTAATATAGTCTAATAGGTAATAGATTTATTAACCCTTTAGGAGCTAGAAGCTATAGCTAGTAGTAGCTAATTTTATAGACTGCTAATAGGTAGGATAAGTAGGGCACCTGCTAGGCCTACTAGTTAGTAAGATATATAGTCTAACTAATAGATCTACTAGTAAGGCTATAAAGTAGGTCTAAGGTTAGCTATACTATCCTATAATAACTACTACTCATTAATTAAAATAATTATTATATAGTAATTATTTTAAAGAAAAAACAAAAAGGGAAATTAGCTAACTAGTAGTGTAATTTAACTAATCTAACTATAGGTCTTAGGCTTTTATAAAGCTATTATAGGTATTATAAAAAAGGTATACCTAAGGTTAGTAGTTATTATAGTTACTATAGTTACTATACTTATTAAAGTGTTTATTATTATACTTATCTTTATAGTTATTAAAGTCCTTATATCTCTTAGTGTTATCCTTAATAGTGTTACTATTATTACAATAGTCCTATTTACTATTATAACTAGGTAGATTAGCAGGCTAGCTAGGTTAATATACAGGCTAGCTAGGTTAATAGTCTATAAGCTAGCTAGGGAGCTAGGTGTAGATATCTAGGTATAGGCTTAAGTATAAGTACAATAGCTACGCTAGTAAGGCTAGCTAGCTATAGGCTAACTAGCTATAGGCTAGTAAGGCTAGTAAAACTAAGCAGGAAGTTAATACGTAAGATAGTAAGATAGCTAGTATACACGTAACTAAACTAAACTATACTGCCTAAGGCCTTATCGCTAAGGCACCCTAAGCGCTTATAAACATAAAGGTAACTTACTAACCCCTATCTAAGTAGAAATAACACTTTAAAATAATAGCCCTTAGCCTAATTAGGGCTAAGGTTATTAAAAGAGAGTCTATTACTAATTAGTAGTTAATCTTAGTTAGTAATACTATTATTAATAAGTAGTATAAGGCCTATATATAATAGATTATAGTGTATACTTATACCTTTATAAGGGATATACTACTAATTTAGGCTAGTAAGGCCTAATTAAGGTAGTAAAGAATAAAAGGACTAGTAAAGTTAATCTAGTTACTATAATAATAAAGTTATACTGTAAAGGTAGGGGGTAACTTATTAGTGATAAATTCTATAATCTATTTATCTTCCTAGTCTTAATTAGTATTTAACGTCCTAATTAGGATAGTAAAGGCTCTACTAGCTAGAAAGATATATATAAAAGTATCTTAAAGAAAACCTAAAATCCTGCCCTATTCTACTAGCTAGCTATAAGTAGCCTAAGTTAATTAATCTAGCTT